TGAATCTATCGATTCGATTCCCGTTCGTAAGATGTCCAACCCTGCTCTCCTCGGATGTTTTGTTCATCCATGTCGCCGGGAAGACGGTGCCGCTGAACATCCGGACAGTTGGCTCGTCAAAGAGACCGTCATGACAGAGCTCGTCGTTTTTTTCATGACCCGGTAAGCCAATGATGCTACAATTGTACGGCACGGCGGTGTTCCATAGACTGGCACCAGGTTCAAAGTACTCGGCGCCCTCGAGGAAGGTTTCTGTTGCTATGGTCATCTCAAAACCAGACCGAATTTCTGCGACCTCAAATACAAGCGAGTTGAAGAAGAGATGAAGCGGAACGGAACTGCAGGCTAGGATGAGCCAGCAGGTGAATTTGACGGGGCCGAGATAGATGAAGTTGCGTATCGATGGAACGCCGATGTTGACCCAGCCCGAGCGAGCGTGGGCGTGATCGAGTTCGGCTCGAGAAGGCGCATTGAGAATCTGCATGAAGTAGTTGGATGAGGCCAGGATAAGAGTTCCGAAGACGTTGAGAAGCAGGTGGAGGGACAGATTGATCGTCTTGGATTGTGAGCAAGGGCCTTTGTAGAGGATGAAGGCCGCATTCAAACCGCTTGCGCGAACACATCCATATATCAAGACAGTTATGAGAAGCACGGCGAAAACACCGAGAAGAATGGTGTTCAATCCCGCCAACCGCGCCCAGGCCGGCCGGGGAACGGCGGGACGGCCAGGTGTCCGGCGGCGTGATGCGGCCATCGATGCCGGGCAACCTACCGCCAAACCCGTGTTGGCAGACGATGGAGAAACCTATACTTGGGAGAGTAGGGACAGAGATACCTTCGAATGTTGTCAAGGAATATGAGTGATTTATGTCGACATTCAATGAACGAGAGGCGTAGTGACAGGAGATTAAGGGCTGTGCTGAATCCTTCACGTTTCAGAGTCCGAGGCGCAGACGCTCGCGGTTCTTGTGCCACAAGCAAGGCTCCCAAACCCGTTAGAACGTGGGGCGAAGTCAATTCATGGAAGATGCGATGCTGGTCTTGACCCGCAACTTGCTGTGTGCACGGGCCACCAACAGTGTCGTGCACTATCCGCGAATTCCGAGATAGGCACCCCAGGAGCCGCGCCATCCGAGACCGCTTATTTTCTAGGATATTGCCTTAAATACGGCTCTCGGAGGCTTCTGCTAAATGCCGACCGCATCCGAACGCCGGTCTCGAGCGTGCACGGCATGCCGAGCTCGAAAAATCCAGTGTCCGCCGAGGGATGGAAGTGACATCTGTCAAAGGTGTTTCTCAAACATTCGATTCTCATCCTAGACGCCATCTTTGACAGGACGGGTCTTGTGCGCAAATGGGCAAAATAGTGATATAACGAGTGATTGATGAACCTGCCGGGGCCCTTGGGACCCTGGACCTAGCTAGCTTTATGTACTGCTAGTAGTAGTAGATTTATTACGCCCGAGAGAACGGATCTCATAGGGCCATGGAATACGCTATGCTATTTACATTTCTGCCACCTTCAATCCTGACCACAAAGTAAAGCCCCACTTTCTCTCCCTGCATCGCTTTCTTTTGGCCTCGCTTGACTCTTTCTGACAGGCCTGCTTGAAGGCCATTTTCTCCAAGTGTTCAGCATCCTATCCTCAGCAGCTGAAGCGTGGTCTGTCAAAATGAGGCTGTGTTGTGTTAGTATTTTCTAGTCCTGGTTGTTAGTATGTTCAATTCTCCTCCCTTGGCCCTAGTCTTCCTGTCTCCATCGCGAATTTGATTGTTGCTCGCACCGCCTGTAGGTTAGGTGACCATCTCGGTCCGTCCAACGCCGACTTTCCTCCCAGAAAGTATGAGAGGTTTCCCATCTCGCTTTGTCCGATTCGCCGCATGCCTTCGCGTTGTGCATCCCACTTGCTGCAGCGAAAGAGAAAATGTTCCATCGTCTCGGTTGCCCATCCGCAATCACACAAGTCTGATTCCACCGCGCCGATCCTCGACAGGTAGCTGTTGATCCTCGCCATTCCCGTGCGTAACTGTGAAAGCGTGTCTGCTTCGCGCCTCTTCAGTCCGTCGTATAGCACCTTTGTGTGTTTTCCTGGTAGCGCTTTGTCAACCCTCTTGGAGAAGCCGCCCACTCTGTCCGGTAGCGCCTGGTGCTGTTGTAGCTGTGCTCTCGCCAGTCTTGTCCGCGTCGATCGAGCTTGGTATGGCGGCGTCTCTGCCGTACGTCTTGCTTCGGTTGCTCTCTGCGCCTGTCTCTTCGCCTTGGGTCCCAAGGGGAACGCGTCGTCCCGGGACGGTACCCAGATCATTTTAACACTGTTGTTGCCTTTTCCCAGCCGTCGGATGTGGTTGTAGATTTCCCGGATGGCGCACTGTCCCGACTGTTGTCGCGGTCGCGCGATCGCCTTCAGAGCTGACTGGCCGCTTGACAGTATGGTAAGTCTTCGGTCCCGTAGTCCGTCAGGCATGCATCGCAATGCCATCGCTATCGCCCCCAACTCGGCCGTGTAAGGGTTCTGGTCGTCTCGAGAGCCGAGGGTGACCGAGTATCTGGCCACGACACTGTTCGCTTGCCCTGCTGCTCTGTGGCTGATGATGCCTCCCATGCCCACCATTCCTCCTTTGTCCGAAGCGCTGGTCGTGATGGTGATGTCTTCGGCACTATTGGCTGCCGCTATCGCCATCTTCCGCTCTACCTCGCACACCAACGACACGCGGGCGTGCCACGGCGGTGCTGCATAGGCTTCGATTGTTTCCATCCGCCCGATTCCGCTCTCGCCGAGGGCAAGCGCCAGTCTCTTCATCGGCGAGATGTACCTTCGACTCACTGATACTTTGAGTGTCGCTAGCGGGTGCTTCTTTGGCAGCGTGTGCATATTGATGTACAACTTCATTCCAGCCAGAGCATGTCGCTCGTGTACTGTTTGGATGTTGGCTTCTGCTTCAGCTACTGCCCTCGCCACCGTCTGGAAGGCTCCCGTGATGGCCCGCGCTCCTATTTTCTGTGCCCTGTTGAACTCTTTCAATTCCCTTTCGCCGCGCGCATGCGCCCATACGACAGACGCGTAGTCCATGGCTGGGGCAACGGTTGCGACGAAGAGTTGTCTGGCAGCTTGTGGTGGCAGCATCCTGAGTCTTCTTAGACACATGGCTGCCGAGAGACCTTTAGTGGCGGCCTTGGCCATGTGTTCCTTGAACCTGAGCTCCGTGTCCATGGCCACGCCCAGGAGCTTGGCCTTCGCCTTCGGCTTGACTTCCTCACCATTGATCATGAATGGCACCTCGCTGGTACGTTCAGCTACGCGCGTGAAGTGGACAATTGTTGTCTTTTCATGTTCAAATGTCGCTCCACTATGTACTGCTACCTTCTGCTGTTGCCATAGTAATTTGGGTGCATACCGCAGGATCCTAGGGAACGCTTACAAGAATGCGTCCCTGCTGACCTGGTTACGGTCACTTACAGAGGTATGTGACCCACACACACTTCCTGACACGCCACGTGCTTACATCAGCCTGTGACCTAAGCAGGCGCCCCATAGGTTCACGCCTGAGGCGCGATTTATGTGGGGGAATTGATAGGGGTGCTACACCATTTTGATACGCGTGCTACACCTTACGGGTGCTACACTTTTTGCCGCCTTCTATTGGTCCAAAAAAACTTGTCGGCCCGTCAGGTCACGGTGCACAAGTCGGTGAAGCCAGTCCGCTCCACCACGCCTTAACAGCGATGTCACAGCGGTGTTTTCGTGGAGTAACTGGGTCATCACAGGCATAGAATGGAAGTAAATGGCCCAGCGACGACGGCAGTGGACAGTAAGTATATACATCTATAGTCTCCTACGGTAGAGCTCTTTATATGAGGTTACTCAACGCTGTAACACTGTCATGGAACGGAAGCCAATAGGTTCGCTGATACTGCTGTCGTGGAATTCAATTCCGGGACGCCTTTTGGATTTGGGGTTGAACCTAATGATGCGGCAGATCGTGAGTCTGGCTCCGAAGCAAAATCCGATTGCTAGAGTAATTCTGAGTACCTCAAGGGCATGCCTTTGAGGTCATTGTATGGCCAACCGTATGGCATTTGCTGCATTTGCTTGGAGCCCGTGTAGCAGCTTTAACTGCTGTAGATTTTGTTTGGACAGAAAGCATTATCTCCTCATCACTCAATAGCTCCCATTGAGAGTTTGAGACCGCTGCCTTCGCACACTAGGACCTCAGCACTCCTAATAGTCCAATCAGTCCGTCTGGACGCCTCAGACTGCCCATTTAGTCCGTTTGACTTAGCCAGACTAAACTAGCAGTCCGTCTGACTTTGGTCAGACTGGACTAGCAGTCTGGCTGAGATGTGCAGACTGGACTGGCAGTCTAACCGAGATGTGCAGACTGAACTATCAGTCCGTCCGTGTGAAGGGCTGGACAGGAGTTTGTTCAACAGGCTGTTGCCGTAGGATTGTCTATCTAAAGCTAAAGAGAAGGGAAAAAGGGGCAACATAGCTACTGGCTAGTAGTTAAGTAAGTAAGGCCCCTGAGAGTGGTGTCAGACAATTGGCTCCACAGGGATCATTGATGGCACCAGTGAATTGATGAGAATTATCTGAGGAGCAAGAACTCAATGACAAGATGCACTGAGTCGTGCAGCTCTTTATACACAAATGAAAACATTGCCTGTTTAGGCAGTAGCAGCTGCCTACCAGGCAGCTGCTGTAGTGGGGCAGGGTTGATATGTGACAAGTGGTGAGTTGGCTAAACCTCGGATAGTTGAGTCCGGCACAGCCAGAATCCTTGTCCCAGGCCTCGGCCTGTAACAGTCCGTCACCGTCAGACCAGACTGCAGTGCAAACTGCGATCTAGACTAATAGTCTAGACACGTGACTTGTGACCCTTCTCCGTACCTGCCCCCAATGTTGAAGGCATCACGATAACAGTGGTCCAAGGTGTCACGGGCCAGGGCCCATATCCTTGCGGCTGTGCCGCAAGACGTACTAGGCTCGTGCGCGCCAGGGATGAGAAATCGTTCCACAGCTCAGGGGCACTTAGGAACTTCTTTCTTTCTTCTTCATCTTTGATGTAAATAGCATCCTGGACTAGATAGCTGGAATCCAGCTACTAGAGGCCGTTCACACTCAACATCAGAGCAATTATGTCTCTCTCAGGGAAAACCGCACTCATCACTGGCGGTGCCAAGAACCTCGGTGCTGAAATTGCTCTTGCCTTAGCTGCTCTGGGAGCCAATCTCGCTCTTCACTACAACTCCCCTTCTTCAAAGGACGAATCTATCAAGCTACAAAGGACACTTAGCACTTCTTATCCGGAGAGCAAGGTCCAGTTTTACCAAGCGGATCTTACCACAGGGGCCGCGGTCGACCAGCTGTTCACATCCGTTGTGAAGGACTTTGGCAAGCTTGACATTGTCATCAACACAGTCGGCAAGGTTCTCAAGAAACCCATCACCGAGATCTCAGAAGCGGAGTATGATACCATGTTTGCGTAAGTGCTCATCGTAACGTCTTTATTCGACAATCAAGGCTGATCAATAAAAGCGTGAACTCCAAATGCGCCTTCTTTGTCCTGAAGCATGCTGCCAAGCATATCCAGGATGGCGGCAAGATCATCACTATAGTAACTGCTCTTCTTGCAGCTTTCACAGGACTCTATACTTCATACGCTGGATCAAAGGCCCCGGTGGAGCATTTCACAAGGGGCGTTGCGAAGGAGCTTCAACCTCGGGGTATCAGCGTGAATGCAGTTGCGCCTGGTCCTATGGATACCCGTAAATCAAGTATTGACCTTGCTAAAGGATCCATGTCTGATTTTAAAGTAGCATTCTTCTACCCACAAGAGTCTTCAGAGACAGTCGCGTTTCATAAGAGCCAGGCTCTTGGTGGAAGGCTTACGGACGTGAAGGACATTAGTCCACTTGTGAGATTCCTCGTGTCGGAGGGTGGATGGATTACTGGTCAGACCATCTTTGCAAACGGTGGCTATACTACTCGGTAATAGGCAAATGGAAAAAAGCTGGTTGCGGTTAAGGGGTAACGCATTCTACGCCAGGGAGCTATTTGCGAATAATGACTCTTTCGGCACCTGTAAATGTGTACTGCCCGAATTTCGTAGGCAGTGAGAGAAACGCCTGAAATTATACTCAGAGCTTAGGCGAGACACAGTCGTAGGCAATCATCTCGGCAAGAATGTCTAAGATGAGCCAGAGGAGCGTTAGTTATATATGAATTGAGACAGATATAAGCCGATTTTTGTTGCTTACCTCGGGAACAGTGCTATCGTAGATGCGGATCAGGTCACCAGGGGCAGGTCAGATCTTAAGACCCTTGTAGAAAGCCAGAGCAGACTCAGGAGCCTTGGCAGCTGTAGAAATAAAGTCACTGCCCAGGACACTCGTCGTTTCGTTTTGGGATTCACTGTTTGTGGATCCCTCATGTGGGTATGGGCCTTTGGCTGGCTCGGGGGCATCGCCTCCGAAGAGTTCGACATCAACAAAAATGGGCTGCAGTTTGTGTTCATGATCCTCGAGTTTCTCTGGATGAACGAGGAGCAGCTTGGGTTTGATGCGACGATCACCACGGCAAACAAGGAGCGCTTCATTGAGATCAAGCGGAATGGCTGGACAGAGCGGATCATCATCGACAAGGTGATGCAGCACGCGCGTTGCACAGCTGGTCGGGCGACGACTTGCTGGAAAGCCCATCGCAAAAGACATCGGGAGATACTGCTTGTCATCAAGGATTCATGGCAATACCCAGAACGCGACGATGAAGGCAACTTGTTGCGCGAGGTGACCGATAAAGGCGTCGTCAACGTGGCCAGGTACTATCATCACGAGGTCGCAAGACAGGCCGTCGAGTCAACCCCGGCCGACTATCTAGCCAAGGCAGCCTGTTTAGACAAACTCGGAATCAATCTTTTTCAGCGGTATGACTCATGAGGGGACAGGTGAAATGACCAATTTAGAGGAAACCATCAGGATAATCTTTGCTACCGTAATCCTGGGAATTGTACTGATAAATTTCCCGGTAATCTATACCTTGTATCTCAACGTTTTGCTCAGCTGCGCATGAGTATAGCAACTGGACCTTGCAGCGCGGGTCAGCTGGGGATTGAGAGGCAGCCGGTCGTCGTCGGCGCTACCGGCAAGGTCCTTCATCCGCGTGCGGCGGCCAGAACCTGAGCTAGTGGACTTAGACAGTATCTAGCTTGGTACCCTCCGTTCGCGATGTATGCGATCCGCCAATAACAAGGGCTAAGATGCCGTTTGGGTGCCGCCGACCGTAATAGCCGGGGCTAGAACAAAGTGACAAGGCATGGGTTGACATTCGTCACACCAAAGACAGAGATTTTGAGCCATTACCGAAAAGAATCGAGGAGCTTGTGCCTTGGCAACACTTGATTCCCCACCTTTCAAATGTAGATCTCTGGGTTTCTTAACCAATCGAGGATTAGGCGATTTGTGACTGAGACAATGGCAATGCCAACCCGCAATCCGGGCGTTTGCTCACTTGATGGCCTCCCACATCCCACTTGGCTGGTTCATCAACACTGTTTGTCGGGGAAGAAAAAGCAATACAGGAGAAGAAACAGGAAAAGAGCCGATGTTTATTCGATCATCCCTATCCGTGCTAGCTATACAGGATAGATAGATCATGTGCCTGTCTGTGTTTCGTTCCGCCCGCATTTAAAGCCGAGGAATTCTAATGGACGATCTATTAATATGAACCGACAGCATGGCAGCATTCCTCCGCCAGACTGTGTCAATCTTCTCTACGTTCACAATGAGTGCTTCTGCCCGTCCATCCTCTTCCGACAATGGCGGCGACGCCAGCGAAGGCGTCAGGTCGCCGCGAGGTGTATGTCCCGACTGTAACAGGTCCTTCAAAGATCTCAAGGCGCACACCTTTACACACGCGAGAGAGAGACCTGAAAAGTGTCCAATCAAGGCGTGCGAATACCATGTCAGAGGCTTCTCGAGAAAACACGACAGGAATCGACATGCTCTGAACCACTACAGGGGCACATTAATCTGCGGTTTTTGCCCCGGCCTTGGGTCACCAGCAGAAATCTCGTTCAATCGCCTCGATTTGTTCAGAAAGCACGTTGTGGAGATCCATGGGGTCCCAAAGAAGCCGCCTAACGGTCCCAGGCTACCGGGCACTAGATCTGGTGTCGAGGCGGTTGGCGATTGTAATATCTGCGGGCAGACTTTCTTGAGCCCTGACGACTTGTATGACCATCTAGATGACTGCGTGCTCAGTGTGCTCAACGAGGAAGATCCTGCTGGGGCAATCAACGAGAAACTCTTGGCCGAGGTTGCAACTTGCTCCCCAGAGTTGTATCAGGGGGAGCCACCACCCATCACAGGCAGGGAGAATAATCTTCACATGGACGCCCGGAGATCATCCAATTCATTTTCTCCATCCGACACACGAAATCGAAGAAACCGGGGCCACTATCCTGCAGCGTGGGGATTCGATGATAGCCAATTGTCATTAAAGAAGCGGGTCACAGCCGTCTTCAACGGCCCTATTCGACTGGCCAGGGACGAGGTCCTGCTGTCAAGGGACCTTGAAATTCGCCTCAAGTTGTCTGATGGTGTATCATATGTGACCGATCTCGACGTGATGACTCTCAACAGAGCAGAAGCTATCTTTGCATGGCCGGAGGAGGCAGCGCTGAGCGCGACACAACAAGTTCCTCAGACATCGCATATGGGCGATTGATGACCACCAATTAGCTTACTCAATATCACACGTCTATCACACGTCGGTAGCTGGCGTAATACAATAATTCTAAGAAGAGAACCTGCAGTAGCTGATATTTAATTGCGACAGTGTGACTGGTTAACTCCCCAGGAGTCGGGACCTGAATACATTCTTGTTCCCTATCAATGCACTTTGGTGAGAGGAAAGATCCCAACACACATTCTGGCCAAAATGTGGCTTCAAAGTCGACTTTGGATGCGACTCACTTCAATCTTTAGGTGGCAAATTTCTAGCCCCAAGAATACCCAAACTTAGCCTCCAATCCGGTTAAATCGTTAGAATTCGAGTCTCAATCGCGAAGCTCATCTTCTTCAACGCCGACCCAATTCGTGGTATGATTGCCTCGTGGTCCAGACCTCGTAGAACTCGCTTACCAGTTCACGAAGGGCAGTGATCGACACTACGCCGCCTCACAAGGACCTAGTTAGCCCCGATTTGAACATGGACGAGATTCACCGTGTCTTAAGATGCGAATCGCTCTAAACAGCAATAGCATTTCGAAATGCCATATACATGAGGAACCATCTGTGAAGGGCTGGCCCTGGGTTTGTTCAACGTAAGGGTGCAGTAGATTGGTCTATCTAAGACTAAGGAGCAGGAAGGAGAGAAGGGGCTAGCTCTAGGGAAGTCATAGCTATAGAGCAGAGCTCTCGCTTGCAGAGCGGTAGTAGCTGGCAGAAGGGAAGGTCAATCTCGCCTAGCTCGGTCGGCCTCGGCCGGTCGGGAGCGGCACGGCGTAGCCCGTGCCCCCATACCGGGCCTCAGCCCGTGACACCATCATATGGAAGAGTCTGAACCCAACACTTGGGCCTCATCCGCCTTGACGTAAAGATGCGTACTCCGTATGGTGCGCTGCAATGACATGGCAAGCGCATAACTTGTGAATGAGTATGGATATCCGATGTGCGCCACAAGGTCCAGGGTTCATTCGACCTAAGCTGTGTCACTTGGTGATGAGGGGAGCAATTGATTTTTGGTCAGCTCCAGGGGTTTCACAAGATAAATTGCTTTTCGGCGGGGTTAGTGTCTCTAGTCAGAGCGTTCTAGACACGCTAGATCTTGGGGACGGAGACTCCCCCTCTCAGAGGCACTCTCCCACTTTCTACTTGGGCGGCAATGAAGAGTTCATTTGTTGTAGAGAACCAACAGGAAGTATCCGGTTACGAAACGAACATTATTTATTATCCATTCTCGCGTATTGAATGGGAAATTCTCCTTCAGCTCACGACGACAAAGACCAAGCGTACCCAATTGTATTGGATGTATGGGTTAATTATCTGCAGCCACGATTGGTCCGCCGCCAATTTTGTGAATGGGGGTCAGTGCGCATGATTTACTGCCACAAATCTTGGAAGTGTGGTGAAAGGGAACTATTGACACGAGATCTCCTGGAAAGGCATAGCATATTTCAAGTAGCTAAGCAGGTAGGTGTACCTTTCACCTGCATTAGGTGCACGGTTGCCCTTTGGCTGTCACGGCCGCTTGCGCAGTCGAACCAGTGTACATCATGCGGGCAGAGAAAACGCCCCGCTCGCAGGTCTGCTTAAAACTAAAGCCAGACCTTTGGCACAGTAGCGGCGTGAGTGGCGTGAGCAGCGTTTGTATTAAGGTGGGGTTGCCAGGGAATCTATGACACAAGCGTAGGAGTGCGCCGGATCTTCACCAGGCTCAGCATCGATCCCGCTTCGGCAGATAAAGCCCAGCTCTGCGCTTAGGTCCCCTCCGGCTCACAGGCCAGCTGGCATTTCATCTACGGCTAGCATCTCCCTCAATCTCTACCTCCGCCTCCGCCAATTGGTGACCAATGGCTTCCCAGGTAACATTAAACTCGGCCCCTTCACCGGGCCGGAATGGCTTCCCCCTACACCTTTGAACTCATAATGTGATTGGCAGGGTGCATGGCACGCTAAACATAAGATGGCTCTTCCGGGGAGATACTGGAGCATCCGAATGCAGTTGTATACCAACCAAAGCCATTGGTCACCAATTGCCGGAGGCGGAGGAGGGAGATACTATCCGTACCAGGAAATGCCGGTTGGCCTGTGAGCCGTTGGGGGCCTAAGCGCCGAGCCGGGCATGGTCATCGGGGCTTGCTGAGTCGATGGCTCGCTGAGCCTGGTGAGGGATCCAGTGCAATCCTACCCTGGTAAACCCACCTTAATACAAACGCTGCTCGCGCCGCCACTGTGCCAAATGTCTGGCTTCAGTCGCAGCCCTGTGGGCGGGGCGTTTTCTCGGCCCGAATGATGTACACCGGGTTTGGTTACCGAAGAGCTCTTGGCCCAAAGGTACACCCGCTTGACCCACTACTTAAAATAGACTATGCCTTACTGGGAGATCTCATGTCAATAGTTCCCTTTCATCACACCTCAAGGTTTGAGGCAGTAAATCATGCGCACTGACCCCCATTCACAAAATTGGCGGCGGACCAATCGTGGCTGCAGATAATTAACCCATACATCCAATACAATTGGGTACGCTTGGTGTTTTCGTTGTGAGCTAAATGGTACGCGCTCGAGCTTCGTGTCCCCCCCTCCTGCGGGATTGAAGTGTATTTGAAGCTTTCGAACCAATCTTAAAATGGAATCACTGGCCTCCTTCATCGTGCAGTATCCGCCAGCCGAGAAAGGCCGAATCTCAGCTGGCAAGCGATCGAAACTTTTCCCAGTCCAGTGCTGCCATCCCTTCATGAGCTGCCAAGTCCCTCTTTCCATAAACGTCCCTGCCAGCTGAGTACCCAATCTTCAGGCCAGAGAAGAAGACATTGAGATTCTATCGTGGCATGTTCGCATCGCTGCTGATGCAGGTTTTCTCACAGTTCAGTTCTGCGAGAAACCCCTCACTCTGTAGACCTGCGTATGCGAACTCCCACCTTAGCGCTATCCGCTGGTGCCGTAGCAGTGCGCACTAGCCACAACACCTGGGACCGAGACAATGGTGATTGGAGCTAGCATCCGATGCTTTCCAATCAGTTGTGTGTCGAGGGAAGGATTTGGTTGATCGAGCCTTGAGCCAATATACATCGTACTCACAGGATTTTAGTCACGGGACGATGAGATTCAGCAGATCCAGAGAGCGCCGGAAGAAGCCGCTGGTGAGGGCCAAGGGAGAGATGCCATCGGTCTTTCCACGCCCATGCCAATTCGTGGCCGGGAGATTCCGTCTTCCGGAGTCCACGATACCTCCCCCACATCGTTGACCTACCACTTCACCCCCGAGGCTATCGCCACTGCGAGTCTAATCCTGGCCCAACGAGACACCAAGGAACTGCGAGAGCGGCGTAGGAGGATTGACAAAAAGGGTTGCACAGATTTACCACATTTTCTATGACGGGAGTTGGCACCGTCATCCTGGTTTCTGTCGCTCCGACCTTCCGTTCCCTTTACCTTGCCTCGTACTCTTGCTCCATCCTCAGCTCGAGACGTCAACCCGTCAAGCTAATCTACCATGGCCTTACCGCCACAGTATAGGGAACCCGGCCCGGCGCTCCCTACCATCATAGTCCCCTCGGCCGACCGTTTTCGAAGTCATGGGAATCATCACGACGTGCCCTTTGGGGGAAGTCCGGCCATGTCAATACCCAGACTCGAGACTCCAGACGACGTCCCTCCTCCTCTCCCGCCTCCACGATACGTTCCCGGCACTGTTGACCTACCACATCACCCAGACGGCATGAGGGATAGAAGAGACTATGGTCACGCACCGGCGTCTATTGCCAGCGACTATGGGAGCATGGGCTCGTCCTTTGCGGAAGATCCACCTAACTATAAGAGGGACAATGCTGGTACCATTGGCGATCGAGACGAGGGATACGTCAGCTACTCGTCGACAGAGAGGTACGATCTTGTTTATGGGGCCCCGCCAGCACCAATAAGGTCCCATATATGCCTTTTCAATATGTAACATTTGGTTCTTAGGTCTGCCCCCAGCGAGTTTGGTATGGGTCACAATGCCTTCCACTTCAAGTCTCCAGCCGAAATCCATGGCGACAGCATGAAGATGAAGCTCATTCCCAGCCGGTCTATTGACAAGTCACCTCCTCGACCAATCCTGAGTGCCTCCCTAAATGAACTCCTTTCTCGAAGACCTCCCACCGAGAATCGGTTTGCCCAGCTTCCATTTCAAACATGCCCAGTCCTCGACTTTCCCGCACGATTCACAGAAACGTCACTGCACTCTGCAGTCTCGCCACGTGCTGAGATCTTCCACTATGGTGACCGCTCGCCAAATGACAGCTGCGACATTGACCACTCATCACGATCTCGATCGCGAAGGAATAACAGCGATGATGCTGCATCAATAAGGAGTTACGAGTTCAGTAGTGCTGAGGATATGGATATGGTAGAGACTTCGTGAGTGAAGAGACTTCACATTGAAGGACCCGAACCTGACTGGTGACCAAAGGCGAAGAGCAGCTAGTCCGCAAATTGACCACCCCCTGGCCACTCAACCCCATCTTCTCCGTTGCCGCGATGTAGGATCTCGACGGTCACCGACGCTATGTCTCGGCACTATTCCCCAAGGCTTATGTATCTCGACGTCGTCATCGGCATCTCAGTCCAACTCGTACATGTCTTCCATGTCAATCCCTGCGAGTGTTACCACAGAAAACTCACCCACTGGCTTCTCGTCTGGTAGCATCTCGCCTACATGCAGCTCTTCGTATAACACGCCCATCTCTCTCACTCCTAGCTCAAGAAACCTGATCTCAGGTCGTGTGCCAGCAGATGCTAGAACCGTCTCTAGCGCCAGCCCTCCTAAGCTCACTAGTCTACAGAAGCCTGGCGGTTCTACGCAACTAAGCTTACTTAAAGTATGTAAATGTTGCCCAAGGAAGCCAAAGAAGTTCGAAACGGAAGAGGAGCTACAGTAAGTGATAATCTACCCTCTTGTGTGCCTGAGATGAGCCCCTTGTACCCCCGAGTCTCGGCCTCGCTCTACGGCTTGGACAACGCGAGGTCCCGATTACGATTTATGTGAAACCTACAGCTAACGGAAATTTCAGCGCTCATGCGGCCGAGAAGCAATACGAATGCTCGTTCTGTGGAAACCGGTTCAAGAACAAGAATGAGGCGGAGCGCCATCAAAACTCACTCCACGTCCGCCGTCATGCGTGGTGCTGCTCCGCCCTTTCCAGCTACGACCGCGCGTTCCACGAGTCGGCAAACCGACCTGCCGAAGCTGATACTTGTGGCTATTGCGGTGACGAGTTTCCGCGATCTGGATGGAGCCCGGGGGCGGGTACGCTGAGTGGCGACAACGTGTTTAGACACGCCACGGAGCAGGACTGGGATGAGCGGATCAGGCACATGCAGGAGGTGCACAAGTTTAGGGAATGCAACTCATCCAAGAAGTTTTACCGGGCGGATCACTTCAGACAGCACCTGAAGCACAGCCATGCGGGCACGAGCGGCAAATGGACGAATATGTTGGAGAATGCTTGTATGATGGAGGAAGAGGATCTGGGAGCACAGCTAGAACAGGAAGCGTGGGATGGGTTTGGGAATAATCCGCCCGTTGTCCGGGCGTGATGCATGTCCATCTGCTCTATGGCGAAAAGCCGCAGCTGAGCAGGAGCTGGTAGCCCAGGGGACGAAGTGGCAGGGTCGACTCGCAATCCACAGAGTGCCGTGAATGTCTGTCAACCTGCACAGGTCGAGGTCCTCTTCAACGCAGGCTGTAGCATGACAAGCCGGGGTGACTAGGTCATAGGTCTGCCTCCAGCCACGGCATGTTCTAATTTTGTCTAGCATTAGAATCAACACCGAGAAAGGGCTGTCTTCAGGTTCCTCTTGAGCAGCCACTTTCCAAGACCAAATTCGCATTCACTCTGGCCCAGTCTAGAAATCGCATCATGCCCGTTACTCTGAAACTAGCATGAATATTGTGCAATTCAAATACGACCTTTGCGTACATGCTACAATATGCATATTCGCGGACTCCCAGATTTGCGGACCCCAAGAGCTCGGCGCCTCCTTTCCCTACCTGCTTCCAAAATGTATACAAGGCCCCTTCTTCCCCTCCCTCCTCGGCACTATTGGCATGCGACAAAGAGCTCGTATCCAGGCGGCAAGCCCCTGACTAGGCGAAAGATTGATGCCCAGGATGGGTAGCATTCAGCCACAAGAACAGGCTGACTGTGGCAAGCTTAGGGGGAGTAGCTTCACTCAGCCCGAGTCATCTCACAAATCTCCCCTAGTCGAGGGTAGACGTCTAATTCAAGAAGGGCTGCTGTCCGGATGTGGATCTTCGCATGAACGAAGCGGCAATGCGTCTGGGGCTTGAATCCTAGAACTTCACCGGGGAGAAGAGGCTCGCGTGAGAAGGGTCGTTAGGAGTGGCATGGATGAGCCGGAGGCGACTTGTCCATGGGTGTAATCTTACAACGGTATTGGTTGTGTCTTTTCTTTCCTTTCGCCGCTAATGATGTGCAACACCCTGGATGAAAGTGATAATCAGAGGTGTGCTGGGCTGCGTATGAGTCCAACTCATCTCGAACGGCCTTCAGAAGGAGAACCAGGTTGGTAGCCTCTGTATCGTTGGTAGGGTATTCGACATCGATGGCATCAAATCCCCAGGCTTTCATGATGGTCACGGCAGACTTGGCGGAGGTAGCTCGTGTGACTCGACAATCGCTAGCCAGTCAATCTTCAGATGAGTGAGAATCTGCCATCTTTTTGTTCTCTCCCGTACTATAATAGAGAAGAAAAATACTCAACGAAATGCACCATTACCTGAGGCTTTCGCCGCTCAACATAGTTGCCCATGCCGCGTATACAGCCCCTGGTGTACCAGGAGCTGCACCCTTGTCTTCACTACCGCGCCATCAATCTGATGTTGGAAAAGTCATCTCATGGGGCCGCCGCAACCTGAGCAGTGAACCTCAGCCAAGAATGTAGACCGAGGTCCTTCCTTCCTCGAGTTTTTAATCTCCACCACGATCGTTCCCTCATCCAACTTCAGTATCGCCTCGAACGGACTCGGTAGCGTCCTGTAAGGATTAGGTTCCCGCGCTACCGTCTCGGTCTGCTCGTCCTCACGCCCGTGCTCTAGCAACTGTGCCAATGATCGGGATACGATGGCTTCTAAGATATCCATACCCTTTGACATCATGGCAAGTGTCTCCTGGCCATCCGTCTCCGCATCGGAGCAACTGAGATCGCCCGGGCAATTACTTCCGTCGGCTCGCGTCCATTTCCCAGGGAGGGTGCCCTCACCGTCCTGTAGTCTATTTCGAAGCCGTTCAAGAGTGTCCCATATGAGGCACCATTCATGAAACCACATGCCGCATGTTGAGCAGCCGATTGTGCGTCGGTGTGGGTTAGCAGGGAGCTCGCATCTACAAATTTGTTCGACAGACTATGTGGATTAGTGCTGAACTGATATAGTTTGCTTAGAAAGACACACCGTGAGTCGTTTCTGATGACAGTCAAATCTCTGTCGCCAAAAGAAATCTGAATTGAGCTCGTCATCTGAGGATTCCATCCATTTCTTCACGGATGCAGGCCCCTCGACGCACAGTACATCGATGACATCCACTAGATTGTGTCACTAACCCATGTTGGAGCATTTCTTTTGCATCACTCACTGTGGTTGGATGCTATAAGCTCATTGCGACCATGGTATGGCTGGCGTCCTCGGATGGATTTCTCGCCGTTGAACGTACCTGGCGGTAGTTCATCTGGCCAGTACATCCAGTAAACCCGAGCAAACACCCTATTCTCATCAGCAGCTCTAATTTCTAGGATGTAGGCGATCCAGAAGTGACTCGATTCGTCGGTGGTCTGTTTCGAGTCTCGTGCATTATTCGCTCTCTTGAGAGTCGTTTCGTTGGCCACCAGAGCGAAGTCTCCCCGCTCGAATTTCTTGTCCTTGACTACAACAAATTGTCAGTGCCTTGATAAAGGGAGTGGTCTGCGTAGTCGTACGAATGAAGCTATTATATCGACTCATTTTGTCCCATTGTTGGCGGGGTTCAACTGTGTAGTAGTCGAGCAACTCGTCTTGCGCTAGAGTTCCCGAAAGTGAAAAAGGGCTTTGCTGAGCCTGAGCCTTCAGTGTTCCAGCAGGAGAGCGCTTGCGCTTGCGCTGGCGGTGACCATTTGTTCCTTGGGATGGCGATCCCACCAAGCCATTGGCGACGTGCCACTTTCCCTGGATACCGGCCGCCATGACGCCAGCTGGAGTTGGGCAACGACGGAAGAATATCCAAACACGCAGACAGTTGGGGACAAAGTCCGCACGAGAAGGTAGTCCGTGCCCGATATGACGTCCAATCAGCGAAAAGGACCCATCAGGCAAGCCGAACTTCGGTGCCAGTATCGAAAGGACCCAGGGACGTTCCGGAACCGTGAAGCGCGGCCGAGAATTTCGTAATGACGGGAATCGCATGGATTCCTCGTCGTCATTCCACATTTTTGTCGCGACACGCCACGCGACACCCTCTATCACAGCACAGACCATCCACAATCTAGGGATTACCGTGAAGATGCGTCGTTTGCTCTTATGCCACAGCCAATCGCGCGACCCAGCGGGGCCGGGTGAGCTCTGCCGGAGCTGGCTCACCCGGCTCACCCGCCCCCTTCTTCAGGGTGAGCCAGGCATCAACGCAGGTCTTGGCCCGGGGCTTAGACGTAATCAATTTATGCGATCGCGCATTGCCGCACTTGATTGGCTTCTCCGTCACGTCACGGTGGTTGCGTCATTTAGACGCGTGCGTGTTTTGAACGCGTCGCCTGCATCGTCGTCTTCCACTTCGTCCTTCCTTATCTTGAGTGGTGATTCCTTTCACCAGGACCATCAACCATCAAACACCGACTTCTCTTGCATCCTTACTAGCTACGGTTCAATTGCTCGCTGAGAAAAGGTATCTCTCACCACGTCTTTTATCAACTACCCACGGAATGTTCATTAACCGCAGATGTAATATAGACCCCGACAACGGCTCTGGTGATTGCGATACTCTGGTAGGGACGAGACACTCGAGCACGCACGCGATGCTTCTTGAGCTGCCAGAAGGAATCACTTCAGACGCATATCACCCAATCGAGACGATGGTACCATGACGGGGCTTGCAGCTATGACGCTTGTGGAGGACGACCAACAGTCTCCCCTCTCCAACCCTTCACGACCTTTTATGCCCTTGCACGACCAAGAAGAGCTTTGTTCGATTCTGCTCCGCCTCTCTTAACCAAATCCGCCGTCGACCCGTGCGAAAGGGCCCCTCGACCGTCATGGAAGGTTTGGACTGACATGGCAATGCGTGGGCTTGCGCGCCCTCGACATCGATGGTGAAGACGGGAACGACGAAAAGATAACGCGTTGGGGGGAGGGGGCGAGAATCAACATCACTGGCGCGGGTTCCTATCCGGTTGGGTCTAGCCAAATCGCAGACAAGCGACTGGCTGTTGAGCATCGGATTGCTTCCGCGACCAAGGCAAACAAGGCCACCTGACACGTCATAGACTCGGAGATGGCCGCAACGCAAGGGGATGACCCTTGAGGCGCTTTCGTTCAGGGTCGATCAAAGTGGGGACATAGTAGGACAGAGCATGCCAAGGACAGAGTTACAGGTGAACTACCAAGAGCAAGGGATGGGTTAGGCGTCGCACCTCAAGCAGAGCAAGCGCTCCTATTGCCTCTCATTTCTCAGCATCTCAAGTGCTCAATATTCAGTTACACCAGTATGTTAGGTCACCTCCATCAAGAATACTGGACTGAGATTTCTGATAGAAATGCTACGCCGCGAGAGGGCGTCCCAACAGGTGCGGAAAACCTAAGGCCAGAGACTCGAGGGGTCGGAAGACCTTTGTGTTATGTAGCCAAGAACCTATTCCGATCTCTACTCTAGTTCCTCAGGAGCTTCCGTATGATGCTTGGGAGCTCTATCGATGTGATTGGGATTGGGGCCCTTGCTAAGAGCAATTTAGCAGAAGAGAGTGGAAGTCGGTGGCAGATTGCTATTGAAGCCCCCTCTGGCCAGGGAAATCTGCCAACAGCCCCGCGATGGAGACAAGTTCGCGACGTCTGCTATGATCTCTCATGCTAGAGTTAAAGAGGTGGTCTAGTGGATGATTTGCGAGCAATGTCTTCAGAATGGCGCTCTCCCTGGCGGGTGCAGAAAGCTAGACGACGCTCGTTCAAAATGTATTTACAATGGCTGCCAGAGATCGTGTACTCTGAGGCAAGAAATCAATTTCTTTTTTACTCTACTTCCGTCTAATCAAGGTCTCGCACCATCCGTCAGCACCAACCTCGATTTCTCTTCCCCTGCGCCGAAGCATGGAATCCAAGTCCCATCATCTCGGTAAGAATGGCTTTGGTCTTCCAGTACCACCACCGTGCCTCATTCTTGGTCGCCTCACTGAACCCTTGATTGTTCGAAGCCGCTCGCCATCCTGCTGCCTCAAAGGTGGGATCAGGGGCTTGTTAACAAACCAAGATAGCTATGAGTGTTAGCAACCTCATTCACGTATGAATGGACTGGGGAACTTACCGAAAAGCTCTCAACGGGGCGGAGAGACCGAGGCCTTGGCCGAGTGGGGCCGGCGAGTCCGGAGTTAATCGGCATCGGCCCTTAGAGTCGCTCAAATGTGTGTAAGTTAGTCGTGTTTTAATGGCTGCCAATTAATTTACTCAAGCTGCATCTTCTGCTCAGCAATCCCATTCGGCATATCTAACTAAGCCTACGATCCTCGGGTTTCTCTGGATGTACGAGGAGCAGCTAGGGTTTGATCCGACGATCATTGTTCTCGGCGACGCAGGGTGCCCACGAGGTCAAGACATCGTTTGCAACCGAGGACGAACTGATGCATTATTCGGATATACCTTCTCGAAACCGGCGAGCGGATGGCCCACAAGACTCGGTATTACCAACATGTCCTGCCGACTGTCCTTCGCGGCGATGGCTCTCCCGTCTTCACCCACAACGACTTCCAGAGAAAGAACGTCATGGTGCAGCCCGATGGGACGCCAATCATCATCGACTGGGAGTTTGCGTCGTGGTATCCGACCTACTGGGAATATTCGACGGCTACATATGCGAACGGTGGTTGGAACGATGATTGGCACGAATACGTGCGCATGGCCTTGGACGAATACCCAAACCAGTCCCTTTGGTTGTCAAGCATGAAGCATGAAATGTGGACCTGAGATGGCCGACGATGGCTGGCGAGACCGGATGAATGACGAGGGTTGATCAACAGTTGAGGTAGTCTGCTGAATTCATTTCTTTCGTCTCGCCGTGTCTGCCCCTCTCACCTCTCCCTCTCTATGGAGTCTGTGGTAAGTCTTCTACTCAAGGGGGTTCTCCAATTTTCATCTTCTTTCAGCATTCGAAACAAAAGTATAACAGGACGAAGGTTAGTCCCAGCTTTGGGGGGCAAGTCTTATGTCCGTGTGGATCCCAAGTGAATTGCAGCTGGAAGGTTGTCATACCCTGCTCCCATCACGCGCTTGAGACAGACATCCTGGAGTCGCCACTCCTCAAATGTCGCGCAAGCGTGTCCAGGTCGTTTCCAGTCTACGACGGGCTTAACTGCGAGGGGGTGGGCATGGTGCACGACCGAGACGATCTCCTTGGCCAGGGTCGGGCCAGAGCAGGTCCTAAGCGGACCCGTCGAGAGCCGACACCGCTAGGCGCCGTTCGGGTGGGAGGGGTCAGTTTGCGACACTTGCGTGGTGGTGGCTCGTCGTCGTCATCGTCGGCCTCGTCGATCGACTCTTGTTCGTAGTCCCCGTCGCCGTGGCGTTCTCGCCAATCCTCTCGATAGCGGCACTGCCCCTGCGGAAGCGACTGAGCCGGCAACTGGGCTGGTCGGACGGTAGCTCAACTTCGTCGTCGTCCCTCCCATGGGCGTCTGCGATGCGGTATTCGGGGCCGCGAGAAGTCGCGTGGAACGGGCGGGATTCGCGATTGCGCCGCCGGGGAGACCGCCGGTCGATCTCGTCCAGCGCCCCGCACGTACCCTCACCCATCGCAGTCGCAGGGATGAGATCGGCCGTGGGGGACTCTCGCTGGTGCGACCTGACGAACCGCAAAGTGACCGGGGCGCCACCGGCGGAGGCGATGCTGCTGGCGGAGACGAATGGCGTGAGGGTGTAAGTTGTGGTGTTGCTATCCTCGGTCCGGCATGTGGGCTTGACTCCAGCACCTCGATGGCTGACCAGTCCATGGGGTCATCGTGGGTAGGATCAAAGATCTCACTTGGACTGTCTAGGACCCCATCAGAGGTTTCAATATCCTTCCCAGGCCAGCACATGGGACTCACTTGGCCTCCTGTCTAGATAGGAGTCTGAATGCCTGAGAATCTCGTCAATGTCAGGATATAAGGCGTCAGAATCGTCGGCGGCTGGGTTGCCATCTTTGTGCTTAGGCACGTCCGCGGCTGGCGACTCCATGGAGCTATCGTAGGTATGATCAAGGACCTCGCTAGGACTTTCTAGGATCCCGTCAGCGACTCGACGTCCTTCCAAGGCTAACGGACGAGACTCAACTAGCCGCCCGTCTAGGCGGGGGTTTACATGCGCGTAAAGCTCGTCAATGGAGGGAAACTCGGCGTCAGAATCGTCAGAATCGTCAGAATCGTCAGAATCGTCAGAACCGGAGGCGGCTCTGCCGCCGTCGTCGTCGTGTCGTCGGAGATCACAACGACGTCGGCGTTTAAGTTCTCCAAAGAGCGAATCCGAGGGCAGCGGTCGGTATCCTCCTGGGGAAGGTAGGCGCGGTCGGACCCTCTGGCTCGGGCGGCGAACCGAGGCATCGGCTCTGGTCTTGACGAAGTTGGCTCCGCGTTGCGTTGTCTAGCTTTGCCGCTGCCGCAACGGGAGGCCACCGAAAGATCGCGAGGCCAAGGTCGACTGGAGGCATCGTCCGTGGTGCAGAGTGGGAACGATTCGACAAGTGTTTGCGGCGAAAATGCTTATATACTCAAATCGCCGGATGTGTAGAACTCGTGGATGAGATCCTGGACAGCTCCGTCATCGTTCGCTAAGGTGAGTGGATGGGTTAGGGCAGATGGTGGGCAAGAAATGGCCCGAGGCAAATCCCGGACAAGTGGTCCAGAATCGGTCCGTTACTTTACCCATTGTATTACTAAGAGACTCGCAGATTCCTGAGGAACGTTAACTACTATAAACAATGCGACGGCGACTTTGCCGCCAGAATCGGCAGGCTTGCCCTCTAATCGGAAGTGCCACAGAATCGTCGCCGCTTTAAGCCGGCGACCTCTAGCAACCCCACTTGCTCCTCTGCCATGTACCCGAACGTACTCCCCCAAGTACCCAAGCTCGTTCGACCCATGCTCGTCCGCTTTCTGGGTCCATTGCCAGCACTGCAAGGTTCGCTTCTAGATGGCGTGCTTCTTAGCTCTGGTCACAGTTTATTACCTATAGCTGGCCGCTCAGGAGTTTGTCCGAGTCATCGCGGCTGCCGTGAATGCGTCCAAGACGACCAGACGGGCTTATTTATCCTCTTCAGCGTTGCGCAATGAGAGAAGAGGCAGCTGGAGACCAAGTTTTCACGAAGTATTTGCGGCGCGACGACTTTCCCAGCTAGGCTGATGGTGTCAGGCCCTCGTGCCAACCACCTTCGAGTTCCTGGTCTACACCGACGCGAAGATTCCGACAGACAGCCGGCTCGCAGCCCTCTACCAATGTGACACGACGCCAGTGGGGTTGGGCCCCAGATGATCATGGCCGCGCGATGCTTCTGAGGTAGAAGTGCCACCCCTCGACACAGGCCCTCCCTACGATGGTACGGCCGAATCGGGAACCGCCCACTGAGGTAAGGCCTAAACGGGCTGGCGAGATGCCCACAGAAACCCTACGACGCAAAACAGGAAGCGCTTCCCTCAAGCACTCCGCATGCCCCTACGCATGAGCTGGTGGGTAAAAATGGCTGTCGGTCATGGCGGGCCTGGGGGAAGGAGGTGTATGAGCTGCCACAACCGTCTACTTCTCAGACTCCAGCTTCAGAAACGCGTACTGACGGCGTCGATGCGTACGCCGCTCGTGCCACCCGCCGGCTAGGCCAACGGCCATGCGTCTAGATTTCTTGAGGCCTCCCTCCCAGCGACAAACATCCTGCTGGTCCCATCCTTTGCCCAGACACAAGGCTGGTAAATTGCCCATTAAACCATTTCCATTGAGGTAGCTGCCCGTTGAGCCGACTTCCAACGAGGTGATGACCCTGTGCAATGCAAGGAAACGAATAGAAGTCCGGAGCCCACAAGCCGTGATGCCCAGTCTCCCGCCTTTGTCGTGAGCGCGTCCCTCCAGCGCCTGCCGATACGTCCTTTCCGCCTCTACGTACTTGCCCTGATCTTGCAGGATTGTTACGCCCGAGAGCGTATCCGGGCGCTCATTGCCCAGCACGTTCTCTCATCGGCGGACCGCCTCTCTCAACATCCCCTCGGCTGCTTTGTATGAGCTTATCATTGTTCGATAATACCACTCTTCATCGCGACGGCCTCTTCTAAAGATAACTCACCTCCGGGCCCGACGGGTAAGGCTTGGCGTGATAAGAAGAAAATCCAGCAGCATCCTCCTAGTCACTTTAACACCGATAGCATCATAACCGCTTATATACGTCAAATGGCGTGTTTGTGGCTAGAAAACTCACGTGTTGCTGGCTTCTTACGCCGAAGCAGTCGCACAGAGCATAGCAACTCCATCACCGCCCCACCTGCTAGGCTTGCCAGGCAGTCACGGTTGAATCAGTGGACTTGATCTACTGTTAGCAGACGGAGCGTCGCTCGGCCGTGCTAATTTCGATGGCCTTACAGATCGTACAGCAGATTTCAGCATCCGGACGACGGTGTGGCTACCAAGTATCTCAGCCATCTCCAGTGGCGTGAAAGGGTTATCGCCATGGAAATCCGGCTGAGCACCATACTAGACCAGTAGCTCTACCGCGCTATGGTTGTCAGTCTCCACTGCCCGCGATAGCGGCGACTGACGATCGCGTTAGTAAACAGATCGAAACAGATTCGATCGGGTTCACTCACACGCTAGAATAGAAAATTAGCGCATGAATTGGACAAAACCAGATCATCTCAACTTTCGGCTGTTAACTTACACGCTACAAAGAGCCAAAGGTGGCGATGTCAGTCATTGGTAGAGAAATCAGGGCGGATCATGTTCACTTACATACTACAGCCGCCAAAGGTGGCGGTGTCAGCCATCGATAGAGAAATCAGAGCGGATCATGTTCACTTACATCCTATAACAGCCAAAGGTGGCGGTGTCAGCCATCGGTAGAGAAATAAGAGCGGATCAGGTTCACTTACATCTTACAACAGCCAAAGGCGGCGGTGTCAGTCATTAAGAGAGATCAGTGCGGATCAGGTTCACTTACATGCTACAACAGCCAAAGGTGGCGGTGTCAGTCATCAAGAACTCCAACATCAAGAACCTCAACGTTCTCAACACCCCCGTCCAGGCTTTCAGCATCAACAGCGTTACCAACTTGGGAGTGTACGGTGTTACCCTGGACAACTCGCTGGGAGACAACAAGGGCGGACATAACACCGATGCTTTCGATGTTGGCTCCTCCACCGATGTCTACATCTCTGGCGCTATCGTCAAGAATCAGGATGACTGCCTCGCCATCAACTCTGGAACCAACATCACCTTCACCGGCGGAAACTGCAGCGGTGGCCACGGTCTGTCCATCGGCTCTGTTGGCGGCCGAAGCGACAACGTTGTCAAGACTGTCCGGATCCTCAACTCTACGATCTCCAGATTGGGTCAACACGAGATCGAATTCACCTGGGGAGATGGAGAGTAAAGCTTGGATAAACTTTAAAAAAAAACGGAGGGGGGGCCTAAGACCCCTTCTGCGAGGTAGTCAAGAGGTCGCCATGCCTCGGTTGTTGTTGATCCAATCCGTATTGCTGACGGGAAAGAGATCATTGTTGTGCACAATCTTCGAGTGGCAAAGGGTCCTCTAGGCCGGATTCTGAGATCGAAAAGCTTGTGGGAGCCTGCGTGCCCACTGCCAAGCTGGCAAACTTGACCAAGGTGCTCATGGAACTTGACTCTTGGCGCCTGAGCCAACTTGTCTGATACGCGACAAGGCCTACATTGTGTTGTGGCGGCCATCGCTTACTTGAATGGTAAGCTTGAATGCGGTCTGGGGTCCAATGTATGTTGGACGTGTAGTACGACGTTTTGGGGGGGAGTACTACCTGGACCATCTGCTGGCACCGGGATCACGATATTGTGGGGAAATATGGCGCTTCGGTGTTGGTGGATATTACAGAGCTATCGCGCCTCTGTATGTTTTCGCATTTAATCACGCCCGCCAGGAAGACGAAGGAAATGAGGAAGTGTTTACTAAAGCCACAATATGACTATGAAGCGTCATCCTCAGGGGACTGTACCTGGCCCTGTTTTAAAGTCATAGACTCTGCATGCAGGTTGAAATTTTCCTCGTATTGAGAAATGCGCCCCAATTAAGATTTACGGGCCTACAGCCTGGAAACCGATGTCTCTGCCGAGCCTGTTACCGAACTGTCCCTGGTCCTGCCAGTCATGTCAGAGCTTATCAACAATATTTTACTAATGTGTGGTGAACCCGGTGAAAAGCTCATGCAATATCTAGCTCGAGGAGCGATGCGATACCACCGCGAGACCACGCCTCTCTCTCGCAACCTCCAGCAGCACATGTATTGCTGTCCCCGTTGTCCTATTTCTCCTACTACCCATCTGAGCCATTGGGGTATGTTGTGGTCCTCCGCCGCATCAGCGAGGCGCCTTGCCATCTCTGACTCGATCACCTTTCCAACCGTTCTCAATAGGGAGATCGGCCTTCAAGCCTTCGGCTGCTCTACTTCCGTCTTCTTCTTATCTGGCTTGCGGAGGACGGCTACCTGCGCGTCACGGAAGCATGGGGAGAATGTCGAGAGCGCCAGGCTAGCACTCGTTATCCTCGTCGGCGCATTAACTGATGACCTCCTGCAGGCCTTAGAAGCCCGTGCGGGATGTCATCTAGGCTCCCGGCCTTCTGGGTGTCCTCATATGTGCAGTCCAGCCGTGCCGGTACCGGTACCTCCGTGGTGGCGCGTCGGACGCTATCCTCTATGCCGTGTAGTTCCGTGGTTGGCGTTGGGAAGAATCTCGAGGCCTGGAGTTCCGCCTTGTCCTTATGGGTAGTGGCCCGTGTGCCATCCTGTCTCCGGAGGTGCGGCAGCGCTGTGCCCTTGATAGGCCGGTCGACTCTTGTTCTCGCCCAGTTCTCTAGCCTCCATGCTAGCTTTGGGTCTGCTGCTGCTTCAGCTACGGGTGTCTCCCATAGGCTGCACCGCGATCGTAAAATTGCCCTATCGTGCCCCCTCTGTGCCTGTTGTAGCATCGAACAAGCGTCGTTAGAGGGGTGCTTCCACATCGCCCGCCGGGATGCTCTAAAGTTCCTAGCTGCTTTGTCAACCTCGGCCGACCACCAGTCCCTCACTCTTGGGTTCTAGCCCTTGTGCAGATGGGCCGCTGCGTCCCTGCGTCCCTGCGTCCCTGATCCTCTGTAATTCTTCCACAAGGCGCAATGCCTCCATTCAAGCCCTTCCTTATCCCTGATGTCGGTGCCTTCTCTCGGCAGCCTCGCTGCCGCTTCGAGGTCGACCCTCAGCTTAGTTAGTCTATACCAGTCCCGTCCTTGTGGCGCGGGGGCTACGCTGTGCTCGCGCTTCTCGCCCACTTCCGCCGTCTGCGAGACATGGTCGGACCCATCAAATCTGACTGGTCCCGTATATCTAGGCCATAGGCCCTCGATATGACAAAATCAGGTCGAGTGTGCCGTATCTACACCCATTTCTTGCCCACGTAGGCTCTCCCTTCGGCGTGAGGACGGCCAGTCTTAGACGCCATGCTGCCACTATGGTAGCATACCAAATATACCCCAGGGCTCGCCGAGCCTTGGTGGTTGAGTTAATGTTTACTTCCTGTATCGCCACCACGTCGTAGGCGCTGGGCTTGCTCAGCGCCTCAGCGCTATATGCGTTAGGGTTGGGCTTCGTCTGTGCGTTCCACGATAGTATTCGTATTACATTTGCCCTTCGAGCTGATGACTGTGGTTTGGCTCGTTGTTGAAGTCTTGACTCAGCTTTGTCATGCGCTTGCGCGGCGGGTCCGTCTGATTTGGTTGAGAACCGACCGGTTTTGTGGATGCTTGTTGGCCGGCGTCGGCTTGGGTAGTCTTCCTCCTCACCTCGATGGCTGGGTAGCTTCCTCGAAGGCTTAGGTCGTGGTGAGTAGTGGCCCGGGGAGGAGGGGGGGGGAAGGGGTTCTCGGGCGGCGTGTAAAATCTCTCGTCGCTTCGTTCCTTAAGGCACGGCGCCTTACAACAGCGCTCCTAATAGTCCAATCAGTCCGTCTGGACACCTCAGACTGCCCATTTAGTCCGTTTGACTTGGCTAGACTAAACTAGCAGTCCGTCTGACTTTGGTCAGACTGGACTAGCAGTCTGACTGAGATGTGCAGACTGGACTGGCAGTCTAACCGAGATGTGCAGACTGGACTGGCAGTCTAACCGAGATATGCAGACTGAACTATCGGTCCGTCCGTCACCGTCACCCCAGACTGCAGTGCAAACTGCGGTCTAGACTAATAGTCTAGACACGTGACATGTGACCCTTCTCCGTACCTGCCTCCAATGTTGAAGGCATCACGATGATAGTGGTCCAAGCCATCACGGAGTGCCTCCATAAGCACACAATGCAATTCCGTCGCTATACGGACGCTGTCATGATATAAAGAATGAACTACATGGAATCAAGCACTCAGTTGCCCCCACTTATCCTCCCTCGTGTGTGACATCCAAGCCCCCTGATGCCATCGTCGAAATGTCTCCTCCGCCACCTTCCTTTTCACGTTCTGAATCATAAGCATCAGAGATAGCACCCGTAGCTGCCGGATCAACATAGCAACACTAGAGTCCATAATTAGACAATCGAAAACCTCACGAAGCCGAATGCTTACTTCTGAAGGGACTATCAGAGCGCTCCTGTCCCAGGATCGCAAACATTCCAAGAGATTCAAAGTTTCAATATTCATAGATCCTCGTTGGTCAGTTACCGTAAGTTTGGCTTTGGAGAAGAGTCTCTCTGTCTCAGTAGACATAGGCGCAATCGACAGAATGTCGATGGCCATCAAGAATAAGTTAGGGAATCGCCTTCGCTGGGCCGATTCTAGCCACCATTTCAACGGATCCGGTACCATCAGCACAGGCTCGCGGCAGTACACTTCGTACTCGTCATCATCCATGTTGAAAATCGTAGCCTTCTGCTCTTTCATCCACATTTTGTACCCATTTGGTCGTCCTGTTGATGGCCCTTGGGCCGAGCTTGGTCGAAAAACAGGGAAGGAGGAGGTGGTTGACTTGTATGTCTCCCTCCACAGTTCCCCCACACGAGCTTTAGCTTTCTCAATCCACTCATTCCTGTCCTCCCAAGTCTTTTCCATGTAAGCCCACTTGAGAGAAGGATGTAATACTGTAGCTGCTGAATAGACCGGTGAATCTTCCGTCAATTCATAGTAGTCGGCCAGTTTGGCCCAGGCCGTCTCCATCATTGTAGCCAAGTGGGGTAGGGTGGTGGCCTTCTTGGCGGCCTCGATGTGATGCAGGAGATAATCCATGGTAGGCAGAACGTCAGATATGGAGTCTCCCATGCCTTCGTTGGCTATTGTAGCATCGTGAAATGGCTCAAGAAATTTGTGAGTCTCGGCCAAAGTTACCCAGTCAGAGGAAGTCAGCACATCCCCTTGCAGGGCCGTCTCTTGCGCACAAAATATTGTGATGGCTTGCCGGACTTTTGGCCTGAGTACCCACTCAACCATTTTGTACCACGAATTCTAACGAGTGTCGTTGTCGCGCCGTAACCTCAGACCGTCGCTGAGAGCAGTAAACGTTTGAAGCCGCTGAGGGGTCCACATGATGTAGATCACGATATTATGAAGTTTTCCTATCGCCCCTCGCTTTCTCCATTGCTCAATTTCCTCGTCGGACGGCCCACGGTAGGAATCTGTCGTCGGTGGTCGTTTTCCTATGAGAAACTCCATCACGGCCAGATTAATGATGTGGCCAAAACAACGAAGTCGGTGTGGAAGAGGGTCGTAAAAAACATCGAACTCGTGTTCCAAGTCGTCGGAGATCCTGTCAATCATGGTGTTCATGTTGCTAGCGTTATCCATCATGAAGTATCCAACTTTTGAAGCAATCCCATATTCTCGTATGAACTCCATGATGGCTTCTGCCATGTTGTCGCCGCTGTGCTGACCTTCCAATTCTTTTATCCTCACCACAAGGGACTGCAAGCCGTGATCTTCAGTAACGAATTGAACTGTGAATCCGATTACGCCCAAACAATTTGGCGCTGTCCAATTGTCGGGAACAATGTGGATCGAGGAAAGGGCATTTTGCAGAGCTCGCTTTACAAACACCTTTTTGTTGTCGTAGCCCCATTGTAAATCATTTTTAACCGTATCACCAGATCTCGGGAGGAAGTCATCCGCAGCCGGACAAATGTACCGGATAAAGTCGCGAAAGGCAGGCTGTTCAACATGAGCAAAGGGGAGACTGCAGGCGACGGTGTAGCGGCAGTACAGCTCGCGCAGGGTGGCTTGGTCAAGTGCATCTGCCTCGGCCGTCGCCTTGCGTTTCTTGGCGGAGGGTAGGCTTTCATTGGCCAGGAATGCAGCGATGTCTCCAAGCCGATTTTGCGTGACTTCCCGCCGGATTTCTTGTCTCCCAGAGATCAAAATCTTGTGCTCCTTGCGCAAATGATTGACGATGGTGGACGATCCACCTGAGTAATTGTATTTCTTCTCTCTTTTCTTGTCGAAGCAGGGCTGGCAATGCCACCATTTCGTTCCCTTGGAATCGACCCAGGCTGCCGGAATGCTCTTGCCTTCTTCTATTCGACAATACTCCCAAACAGGAGATGCCTTTGGGCGGGAGATGCTAGGAGTTGACGAAGACGATGGTGTCAGCGCACGGGTGGCCACTGTAAGTTCAGAATCATCCAGGTGGCTGGCGCTGCCAATAGCACTGGCAGTCTCAGAGAAATCCATGATAGAAGACATGATTCAGGAGATGGCAAGTAGACAGAAGGGGTGGTGATGACAGAGCACGGTGGGAGAGAATTGTCTGGCGACTTCGATGGTGCCATGGTGGTGGGCACAGAGATTATGTAGCAGACGACTTTCTCTCTGACCATTCTGGACACATGAGAGTGGATGAGTCCAAATACCCAGACATAACTTTCGGTAGCCATTCGGGCCAAGCCGCAGGGTGCGTAATCAACGAACCACTTCCAATCGTTGGAGGCGTTGGATCCCCATCTGTGGCCCAAATCATCTGAGATCTCACTCCCCATGCTCAGCAACCAACCGATTCCTCGGTCTGGGGGCCACCGTGAAACTGCCCGCCTAGCGCCCACAACTTGGACCCACCTTCGACTTCCCTCTGCTCACAGCTCGCTGGCCAATGGCCGGCCGCTAGGGGCCAACATCCTGTCATGCCTCACGAAAAACCTTGGATCGTCGTTGCACTGTTCCACCCGCGCCGGTTTCGCGCTCTTCTCGCGCCAGCCTGGTGTCTGATGAGAATGTGTTCTTGAGTTCGTTATTCAGCTTGCGCACGTAAGGTTGAACGACGGGGGCGCGGAAGTTGAGCCTCCACATGAAGGTCTGCGGGGGATCTGCGAAGTCGCTGGCACATCCGTCCGGGGGGTGTATTTTGGCTTGGGCGCAGGTCCACGAGACCAGCGGACTCCCGTCTTCGTCGATAAAATGATATGACATGGGATAGCGAGAGTGGACGAAAATGGTTGAGAGACAAACATCTTTCAAACGGACTGGGCTTGGCTTAATCTAGGCTTTGGGTCGATCCCCCACATTGATCGTAACAATAAAGATTCACTGCGCCACGCCACGGACATGTCTCTATCGGCTGTAAATCGACGACTCGGGAATATATCTCTAATCATAGAATTGATACCAGACGGAAGCTCTCAGCACGGTAGATTCAGTGACTATATCGTAAGCAGTATGAAATATGATTCTTACGCAGAGACCTGCGTGTTTACTGGCATCTCAATTGATTTGCTGAGGTGCGTGTTACGCGAGCGAACCTACCCTACATGCGCCGGATAGGGGATACTTTGCATGCCACCTACCTGTAATGGCAGGGCTGGTATCTCTTAACGCCACCGGGCCGGTTATCGCCGCTCAGATAACATGCACTTCATCATCTCTCACGTTGCAGATATTCTTCCTGGAATCCGGCCAGGTAGCCCATTCAAAGCTATAAAATTAGATTGCTGTTGAACAGATGTAATTCTGGGATCTTGTTAGGCCGATGGTTTCAGTTGCAAGATACTTGGTTTGCTATAGATTAACGCAGTGCTGGGCGGTACCGGCTAACATATCTTAGCAGTGTGTCGAATTTTTTACCAAACGCGTGTCACGCGTTGGACGCGTTGGACGCGTCGGACGCGTTGGATCACGTAGTTGAATTGGCACTCTGCAGCAGGCCACAGATTTGGAAAGACATTGCCTGAGTCACCCCGAATCTGGACAGACTAATAGTCAGACTGTTAGTCTGGGACCCTCGGACTGGACTACTGGTCAGTTTGGTAGAAGTCAGACCGAACCATCAGTCCAGTCCAAGAGACGTAGACTGGACCGTCGGTCTAGTCCGAGAGACGCGGACTGGACCGTCAGTCTAATCCAAGAGACGCGGACTGGACCGTTAGTCTAGTCCGAGAGACGCAGACTGGACCAATAGTCCGTGGACTACTAGTCTGGACTGCAGTTTGGACTAATAGTCCAGTTTTTGGTCTGGACTATTAGGAGCTCTGCCTTACAAGAACCATTCTTCCAACCCCTTTGAGGCTATAGAGTAGCAGCCATCGCGCAAACCGCACAGGAACACACCGTCTTCCTTTCCTTGAGTCTTGTTTTTATTCCTTTACTATCTACAGTCAGATAATCCAATGATGACATGCCGCTTCAGCCCCTTCCTTGGTTTCTTGGATCAAGCAAAGCATGTCCTTTCTCTCGACCTTGCCTTGGACGCGCCTGTGCGACCTAGACCTCCTTCATCTCGTGCAGCTCTAGCTCCACTATAATTCTTCTAACTTTCGTAGGTTTTGCCCTGGGCGAGCCCTTGATGCCTCACCAACTGCAAGCTTCGCATGCGTCGGATGTATACGCTTCGTTCTTTGATACGTAGTTCTTCGCGTCTTCGCGTATCCTCCTGTGTCTTGTGCCAGTCACGAACTTTCCCTTCTTTGTGGATCTCACAGTGCACATCCTGACAACTGCGATACTCAAATGGGGACCGAAGACATTTTTCTCGTACGTCTGGTGCCAGAATTATGTGTTCATGTTGGCAGGTGCTGGTTTGGGGTGACCAATATTGTAGTTCGCTTTTGAGATATGGGTTTGCGAGAACGTTATTGGATTGCCTTCTGGGGAAGGCGTTGTGCTTGATCTTTTCGGCGAGATGGGTCTCGCAAGAGTGAATAATACAGGACGTCCATGAGATTTCGTGGTGTTGTTCATGCGTAGTGGATATCCGCGCATCGTCCCCTACTTCCCTAACTTCCTCGTATGGGTTGGCCATATTGGTCATGGCCTCTTCTGTTGATATTGCTGGGACAAAAATTGACCGTGTCTCAACATTCGGTGTCAACTCAATGCGAGTTTGGCTAGCTTTGCATTGTTCCCTCGGCGAGGTATCAATTCGTTCTACCCGTGGAGGCATTGAGGTTTGTGCTTCGTTTGTTACCATCGTGGCTGGAAAAGGTTGCGCCAGTATGGATGGGTAGCTAAATGTGTTTAACTAGATCTTCACGGTTTCCAGATTAGTATGCGGTTAGTCTCATAGCGTTATATAGCGGATGTGCTATTCACTGTTCCTCCATTCCAAAGTAGCTTACGTGTCATAAATGACAGGGACAAATAGAATTTCATGTGCAAATGCCGTTCAGTATCCCGATTGATAATTGAACACGAGGGCTGAGATGCGCGCCGGTGTCCCGAGCATGGACGTTGATGGGTAGGCCCCAGCGTCCTCCGACAAGGGGTAAAACAGCAAGGGGCCAGGATGAATAAAAGTCTGTCGGACCGAGCAAAATAGAGTTTTAAGCCTCCAAAGACAAGCTTCCAAGGAGTCGCCGCCATTAATTAATTGAGACCCACCGTAGTCAAGGGAAGAGGCTGAAACGATGTCCAAATCATACGAAGACGGTCATTTCCGAGGAGAGATGGTTACTCGTAACGAAGCTTCTATATTGCACACTGTTACTTGTAATTGTCATACCGCCCTATCGTTTAAGAAGGTGTCGGATTATCTGAATTGACCAAAAGGATCCTCGGAGATACCCCTCATATTCTAATAAGGGTATATATCCAACAAAAGGTTATAGGACTTGAACTCATAATTTCCGCCTTGAATCAGCTATCATTGTGGGGCGGGGTAAGCGGCCAGCCTTTTCGCCAGCTCCACGCTACTAAATTCCGGGTCGAGTGAAAGTTGATATTCGAGGATTATGAGTGCTAACATCAGGACATATGAAAGCGTTGTATACAGTCGATTATACAACACGGGGTTCAGAGTTGATGAGAGAAAGAGTTTTGGATGCTTAATGTAGCGTCGCTTGGGATAACCGAAGAGAGGTTAGTGTCTAACTCGGACTGTGATGGTTACGTCCTCCTAAAGGCGAGGCTGTGATCGACAATGGTACGACTTCTCAGCTGAAAAAAAATCGACAATTTCTTGCCGGGTACAATGGCTTACGAGTCTTAAGGCGGTACTATAGAAAGTCCGAAGATGATTGGCTGCCTCATGACATCGCAGTGGATATACCCCCGCGTTACTCCCCTGTACAGTTGTGGCAATGGGCCTTCTTCTTGACCCGGGCCATAGCGATGTTGCAAAGTTTCACTTGCCGGTACATATTTGACCAGATTCCCCGCGGATGATCTCCTCGGCCCGCAAGTTTCCGCTTTGCAGACCTCGGATATTTAGTCACTCGCCATACATAACGATCATAAACAAACAGCAAGAGCCGAGGCGCAGGGATTCTAGACTTCCGACGGACTGTTTCCTCCGTCAGGTTAAAGGCAGTCCATATATAGCCCATAATAACCTTTCCGCATGCAAGAAAGAAGTATTCAGTCTAAGGGGCGGTCAACTGCATGCATGATCCTGCATAATCGCAGTATGAAACCCATCCGCCTTTCCTGATAGGGAAAGAAGTGAGGTGAGCCCACTCGCGTCGGGCACGCGCATGGACCTTCGTGCCCGCGAATCCCGTTTACCCGGCCCCCTGTACCATCGTACCAGCTCCCCCCCAGAATCCCTTGTTCGAGCCACATTGGATGGCATCTGTGAGTCGGCCACTTGAAACAGTGACTGAGCCCACACTTATTTCTTTTTTGGGCTGTAGGCGTGCGGAACGGACCGCAGTCCGGGTCCAGAACAATACCACTTCGATAGGCGAGTCGGGCCGCGGGTGGGCCTAGGTTTTAGAGATACGATTACCTCCGCCATTGGTTGAGGAAACCCCTGTGGACTCTCTGGTCACATAATGGTAATAAGAACTTTTGTGTGGTCTCTGGACGATCCATCCTGGAACCTTCTACTGAACGAAAATGTCTCCGGGCGACTAGGGTTGGCACATCACTTCTAGATCTCTGGAGCCGACGTGGGGCGGGTGCGATATGATTGCCATAAGTGGATTGTACTTGAAGTGGTCGGATTGGTTTGATAGCAGCGCTGACATTGCCGCCTGGATCAACGCGAGATGGAATTCACCTGGGGAGATTGAGAGTGAAGCTTGGATAAACTCAACAAAATGGGCACAAAACCCCTTCTGTGAGACAGTCAAGAGGTTCCTCCGATGCCTCGGTTGCCGCTGATCCAATCCGTATTGCTGGCGGGAAAGAGATAATTGTTGTGTACAAGTCGTTGATTGCGAAAGTACCTCTAGGCCGGATTGGGAAAGAGAAATTGAAAAGGTTGTGAGGGCCTGTTTGCCCTGCAAACCCGAGGCGATGATGGAATTTGACTCTTGGCGCCGTAGCCACTCGTATTTTCCCTTCTTAAGAGGGAAGTTGTAAGCTATGGTAGATGTAACAGGATGCGAATGCTCTGGCCGGGTTTAATGAATGCATTAACGGGTATGGGATGAACGTACCGCGCCTCTGTCTGTTTTCGCATTTAATTACACCTCACCCTAGAGACAAAGCAAATATGGAAGTGCTTACTTAAGCCGCACAATGACTTAAAGCGTCAGCCTCAGGGGACTGTACCAGGCTCTATTTCAAGTTATAGGCTCTGGATGCAGGTTGAATCTTGCCTCGTATTGAGAAATGAGCCCCGATTATTAAGATTTACAGGCCTGATAACCGATGTCACTGCCGAACCAGGCACCGAACTGTCCGCCAGTCTATATATCAATATATATAAATGTATCACAGACTCTTGTCACGATTACTTCTTGTCTTTCCTCATTCAGTATCCAGTTACGCATTAAAATTGTTCACCCTATACGGCTATTCTCGATTCTTTATTCCCTCTGAGTCGTTGCTCATTGTAGTTACAAGGCAAACTCGACAGCCAAGCAATTCAACTTCTCCCACCCGCAAATCTTCGTTCAAGTCTATCATGATGTGCGTTCCCACAAACTCCGCATACCTCCCCACTCCAGGAATAGTGGGCATGCATGGTGTAAGCACTTCTATCCACTGTTCAAGTTTGTCTTACATTTCAGTAGAACCAGCCACGCTCGGACTGCATCAACGAGCTCGGAATGCAGGTCCAGCATGTCGCATCTGCTGAGGGTTTCCCGCCTGGACACTGCTTGTCCGTTTCCGGGACTCTGGAAAGAACAAATCTTGATTTCCGTAACACTCTGGCGGACTTTTCTGACACTTTGAGACGTCTGAACGATCAGCAAAAAGCGACTCTCTTTTGGCAAGGAATGTACGAAGGTCTTTGTGACGATTATAGGAACTTGGATCAGAGATACGAAGCAATTACGGGCAAGAATCTCATGATGAGCATTGAAATCGCGAAGATGGACGATCTGATCAAGATCCTAGAAGACAAAGTCCGTGGCATAGAGGTAAAGATGGCGAGGCGATGCAGAGAAAGCCAGTGATCCGGGAGAGTTGGGCGGGAACCAAACTCAAGCCGCTCTGTCAATGTGCATGAAGCAGTAGAGTTGGTGGCATAGAGTTCAACTACCACGTGAAGGAATTGATCTGAGTTGGTTTCAAGGTTTACCCAGCCCTTAATCAGTCCTTACTGAAAGTTCGATCCTTTGCCTAGCTTTACCAAAAAAGGGGAGAGCTTGAGAGTACGTGATCTCGCGTTCCACTGTGATTTGGTATATCCACTCATATAATTGCTGGATGTCTGAGGGCAATTGTCTCGTTACATCATCACCTGGCGTCGCGGCTTGGCTAGAGCGGTATGAAGAGGCATCGCTTGCATCGGAGAGTGTCTTGATGATTTTGAGGATATCTAGAGCATGTCTGTCATCGTTTGTCTCTTCCTTCGGCTCCTCGAGGCAGATTCAACCATCCTCAGGGACGCCGAGAAGTTTGGAGGCCTGCGTGCTCATCTCACGAATGTGGACAGCAAATCACACTCAGATTTTGGCCAGGTCTGTGAATTGTTGGTTGAAACAGTGCAACAGTTTGACATGGTGTACTTTATCATAGACAGGGTGGACCCAGTGATCGGAATGGTCTGGTCTGTCTTGGTCTCGGTCTGGTCTAGACCGCCAAGACTTGGTCTGGTCTGGCGATTTCTCAAGACCATGGTCGGACCGGTCGGACCGGTCCGACCATTAACTGCTATAAATAGATTAAGCTAAAAGGCAAATGGCGGCTGGTGGCTGAATTTTAGACCAATATGGTTAGAACAGGTCGTTTTGCTTTTTCCTCCAGGGTTCTCTGCCTTATTCCATAACAAGGGGTAATTGTCTTTTGTTAGGCAATACGTAGGAATAATTGCCTAACATAGCGTGCAACAACCTGTTTATATGTTATTGTTGTTAATAAAGTCCGCAGCTCTAATTCTGCCATCCCTATTAGCTACAATAGTCATCATCAACGTCTCTTACAGCGTCCCCTGCCCCGCCGTGATTTTCGGTCCCGTCTCTGCAGCTGATCTGTATGAGCAATACATTTCTACCGACCAACTCCATGACGGTGAGGCAAGCCGCGATGAGGCTATTGCGTACTGGCTGTCTCACTATGATTCTGTTGAGGATGATGGTGAGAGCTAAGATAATAAGAATGACGACAGTAGGATCAATGCAAAGCAGACAAATATACTTCCTTTCCTCTTTATTTTGCTTCAGCCTCTTTTCTTGGCGGTCTTGTTGGTCGGACCGGTCTGGTCGGACCGGTTATTATGTAAGCAACTGGTCTGGTCTGGTCTAGGGGTCCAGACCAGACCAGACCAGACCATTCCGATCACTGGGTGGACCGCATTTCCGGGAACTTCATGAAGGAGTTTCTAAAGAATGTCATGCTTGGGCGCACCGGGGCTAAAGTGAAGACTCTTTGCGTGGCATCGAGAAATCAGGAGATGACAGAGAAAATTGACAACCTGAGGGAAGAAATGGATGAGAAGAATTTCATCTCGTTGCGGATTGATCAAGGTCCATGGTAGGGTAAAAGAGGTCCCAATGTTGGACGAAGATATATTATATTATTTCACCCTCCTCAAAAACATCCCCAGAATGACTGATGCGAATATTACGCGGAGGTCACATAAAGTGTGGTTGTCATGTAGATGTAGAAAGATGGATGACGAGCTAAGACTACAGTTGAGGACGGGAGCATAAGGTCTCCTTTCTCACGTGATGTTACATATAATGCCAGTCTTAAGCACCAGGCCCAAGACTGGTTCTTCACGTATCAACCGTCCAAGACTTTGAGCATTTATTCCAACATGGTGGCCTTCTGGAATCTTGGGCGTCTTTCAGACTTGCACCGCTGGACTTGGTCCCTTCGATCTGGCCCCACCATGACAGGTGTCTCAACTAGATGCCAGCTCCTGGCCGATGGTGCTAAGTCGGTTGCGGATGACGCTGCTTTGCCGCTTTGTCAGAAGGCGTGTGTGGGCTACATGCCTCGCTAAATGACTGTATCTCGGACAACAGAGACACATGCCTGTAAGCGTTCCCTAGGATTCTCCGGCATGCGCCAAAATCACCCTAGTAACTGCAGCACGTCGCAGTACAAGTAGCTAGCTAAGTCCGGGGCCTGTTGGAAACAGATCTGTGGGTCTTGACAATAGTCTTGGCCAATTTGATTCATCTAATCTCTCACAATCTTCCCGCTCTACTGTGTACCCTTTTTGGGTTTTGTAATGTCCATGTAGTTTACAAGTCGCTTTCCGTTTCCGTAATTAACCGGGAATATGTTCAATCTCGTCCCTTTTTGCCTTTAGTGACCACCTGTTTCCTTAGAACAGGGCTCGAATGTATAACCACTTTCTCATACTATGGACACGGCGCCCGATGGGGCATGGGGAATCTCCCCGTTCCCCGTTAGATTGGGCTTGCAGATACCCAGTTGGCCTTGCGGCGGTCACAGACTTTGCGTGCGTTGGTCGGCTTCTGTGGGAGTGGTGGTGCGATCCCTTTATGGGACTCAAAACGACCATCATGTGCTATCCCTGTCCTACCCTCGTGGCGTAGCTCCGGTTGTGGCGGTAAATGGTGTATGTGTGGGTGTTGTGCCCAGACGTTGGAGTGTGGCTACCTTCGGCAATGTCAATCACAATTTCGTGTTGCAACCACTCAAGATTGAGAGGCATCATTGACAGCGGAGGACAAGGAAGCTACAGCAACAGAAGAGAGGCCTTGTCTCACTTATACCTAACCGGGGGCCAGGAACAAGGACTAGCGAGCTGTTCGACGTTCTGCACAACATCGAACAACCCCAATTATCACGCGAGGATGCTGCGAGCCAGCCAATCATATCGAAATCTATGATGAGTGGACGGTTCGAGAAGATTCCTTTGTATTTGATCACCTGTCTAGCCTATTTTGTGCAATGTCTGATGTGCCATGTACTTTCGAAGGACAGAGCGTTGCGTAACCTTTAAAAGCATTCATTCCCGCCCTAAGTTAGCCACGTTAGACACGTCTTTCGTATTATCTGAAAACGGAACGGTTTTACTATACGAAGTATGTGAGAACTAAAAACCGTTTCAATCACGAATCCTCTGCACCTATGATCTCCGATGTAACCCATCCCCCATGGAGATCCGACCGCTGAGGCACCACGCGCTCCCCATCAACATAGCACTGCCAGGGGCGCGCATAGAAGGACACATAGCCCTGGATGGCCTTGTACAGTGGATTCGGCGTTTCATAGGACCAAGCCCGATTCGCTATGACACATCCATCCGGCCCAATGATAGCGTAGTGCGTCGACTGTCCCTTCCACTCACACGGTGGCCGATATCCAGTTGGCGTTAAGGGGACCTTGAAAGAAGACCGAGGGAGGTAGTATTCTGGCCAAGAGGATGTGCATGTTAGCTACCTCATATGATAACAACATAAGCAAAAATGAAATGTTTTTGACTGAGATTGCAACAAAGACGAACGCACGAACAAGTAAGCACAACCGAATACAAGCACACATGATGAAAGGTAACACACCAGGTGGGCGATGCGCCTGAAGCACCCAATAAGCGTCAGTCGTCTCTGCAATCTCCAAACCATTGAAGGCAACGCGGATATGTCGATCCACTTTTTCCACCCGCGGCTGTTGCGGGAAGTCGCCAATGTCCATCCTAGGTCTCATAGTTGTCATGGTTGTCACAGTGGTCCCTGGTGGCAGTGGTTGTTGCTGTTTTCCATCCATCCTTTAAGTGTTCCAATGATTCTAAATGTCACGGCTCTAGCCAGCCAGGGGCGGCCAGGCGGTGAACGCTGGCAGAGCCGTATGCCACGGATATAAGTAGAACTGACGCAGAGTTTCAACAACTGGATAGAACTTGCTTGAAACGGGTTGCTGATATCGGTAGATTGATTTGAAAGATGACATGCTGGTGGGTTTTTCTCTCGGTGTCCCGTTGTGCAGTGAATTTGGGCTGTGAATTCCAAAACACCCCTGTTGGGGGGTACCATTGGGTTTTGAGACATCGAACCCCTGTCCGAGATTTTCATGGAATGACTTAAACTTTTCAGGTACGGAGGCCGCTCTCAAAAGTTTCCGCCCAGGAAAAAGCAGCGACAACGCCACAACGACGGAAAATACAAGGAGTACCTCAATCTCATTTGATGCTGCTAAACGCCAGTAGAGTCTAGCGGATTTTAGCCAGTAACTAAAAAGTTAGCCTCCTCTATAACCCCTGAAGTTCTGGAGGCATTAGAGAGATGCCTGCTATGGTCAATCACGGTGAGATGCATCTGCAAGTACCGACAAGGATTGAAGGGTGTGGCGTTGATTAGCTTGGGCAATAATTTTGAGAGCTTCCTCCGTACTTGGATATGTAATAGTCGGGCCCGAACTTAATTTCCCTGGTCCCCTGGTCCTTCAGTACCTAACCAGCTGAACTCTGAGACATGCGCTACCGGGGAAGTAAGATTAGTCTCCGCACGTTGAACTGGGCCTGTTGCCTCGGGTGGGGCAACTCCCTTGCCTTGGTTCCACCCAATGGCGGAGTATGCGGTGCGGAGAGCACGGAGGAGTGTTGGTCCTCGGCGTCGGCGCTAGCCCTGCAGTCTAAATGCCGGATCCCTGAGGGCGAACGATCCCAAGGTCCCCCGATTTGGGAAATCTGATCTCGACTTTGAATCTCGTTCGCGGACTCTCCGAGCATTGTTCCAAGGCAACCCCGGCGACCCGACCCCGGCGACTCAACTCAGCATCAAGGCCGATGGTGGACCCACCAAGCAGCTCGATGAGTTAGCGCCTGAAGCCGCGCGACATGGAATCTCTTGCGCCGATACCAAATTTACCTGCCCAGCCTCACGTACCAGCCTCACGTACCAGCCTCACCACGGGGGCCAACGCAGTCGAACACAGCCCGCAAGACCTCCCGTTTGTTATCTGACCTTCCCCTGGCGTGGCCAATTTACTTGTAGCGCGACGGTGATGGGCGTCATGCGCCAGGTATGGATTCTCATGTGTCCCTCATGGATTCTCATGGGTTCTCTCGATAGTCCACCGTCAGAGGTCCCGTCGTTCCACGGTCCCGTGGTTCTTCTTTGGGGGCCTAGCATGCTGCGCTTGCTCCCAATGTGTTGATCCTCCGCACATGGTCTCCATTCCCGCGCGAGGATGGTTATGTAGTCGGTTGTCCGTCTGCGTTGAGGGCGGCTGGTTTGTCGATTCACCTTCACCCAAGCCAACCATCCCAAGGTGTCAAAAACGTGGGTCCATGCAGATCTCGTCTCCCTCTCTCCCTTCGCACCGTTCCTCGGTCCCGTCACCAACAGAAAGCTGACCGCTGTCCTCTGGCATGCAGTTCTAGACTTTAATGTGTTGATTCCCATCCTGCCATGAACGTTTACGACCTTCGATAATAACCCACGACGACCGAATATCTTAGACCTCCATCTGTCCTGTCCTAGCCACCCGTTGCGCTTGATCCTTCCGTCCCGTCCTCGACAACATACCAATACCTATTCCTGTCTTGCTCTCGCCTTTTTGATTCATTACATGTGCTTCCATTGCTGCTGAGGAGCTTTTCGACTTGCCAAGGCACCCCGCGAATTGGTTCCCACTACCTTGTGAACCGATTTTTTGCACCGCCAGTGCTGGGTCCGATCTGGCCTGTATGATGCGCAATCAAAGTTGCTATGAGCGGGGATCAACTGGCTACGAGGCAAGATTACTTTCGGGCATTGCTTTCCAGTATTACTTTCCATACCTTACTTTCTATACCTACCACCCACGTTGACGCTCTCTCCTCCGACCCGCCCCTTTACAAAAGCTGCCCGAGTCCCCAGTCCTACAGCTTCGCCGATCTAAACCCTCGTCCCCCAACGCCTAAACAAACCCCGACCTCCGCTGTCTTCCCCAGTCCTGTTTTCGAAACCTCAGAGCTCAACCAACGCTCCTTTACCGACGCCGGGGGCTGGACACCCCGCTTCGCCGAGGATTACTCCGTCTTCAACTCGACCCCGGGAACCTTCCGCAGCTCCCAGGGTCCCTTTGTCGACTTCGGCCGGCCACGCCCGCCAGCCGTCACAAGAGGCTGCTGTCCACCGAGGGTCTCGCGGCCGAGATCGCAACCCATGTTAATCACTTCTCGCCCAATCCCAGCCTGCCCTTGCCTCCGGTCGATCCATCTCGCCGCCTAGCCTCGTCTCCGAATTCAGTAACTGTCCCCCAAGAATGCACCGCCAGCCTGACTCTCTGTCGAGCCCAGACCCGTCCAAGCAGCCCCAGCCATCGTTCAAGAAGCCACGGAGGGGCACTGTCACCGACTCGGAGCCCACGCAAACTGCGACACTTCCGCCTCCTGGCCGCAAGGGAGAGCGCAAGCTTACTCCAAAGATCAATATGCAAATTGATCAGAGCTTCGGCCAGCCTGACTTTACCGGGCCTCGCAGCAGCATGACATTACTGCACTAATGGCTGCCTCCGATGACAAGTTTGGAAATCCCATGTCAGCGCCCGTTGGTGCCCCTACCACCTTCTGGGACCCTTCAACCATGGGGATGGATCTGGATTTCAGTGGACCTCCGTCAAACATCTTCCAGCCGACTTCTGTCCACTCACATCGTCACACGGCATCTTTTGACTGGAACAGCGAGATCCAGCTGTTCCAGGACCCGAGCGCAGCGCTGCCGTCGACGAACCAGGGGAATATGCAACCACTTCGACAAGATCGAATCCTCGCCCCCAAACCCTCCGTTTCGCTTCCAGGCACAACAACCGTAAGCAGTGCCATGTCTGCTGCATTTGCCGCATCCATGGACGATCCTTTTGGGATAATGGCCCCCGGAGACGCTGTGGATCCTGGGCTGCTCTTTAGTCGGCCTCAAACCTCCGCCATGGAATCGAGTTTCATCCCTGTGCCAATGTCTGGGTCGGCTGAGGCAGCAATCGCACGATTGGGGTCCAGAACATCAATTGGAGATGAACTCCGCCGATCAGCTAGTGTTAAGGATATGAGGAACGGCGCGTTGCCAGATCGTACTTTCGCCAGTTCCCCTGTCAAGTCCAACCAGCCAGGACTTAGTCGAAGCTTGAGCGAAAACCGGGGAAGGAGGACTCAGAACCGACCGGTGCTCCCCAAGTTGGCCCCCGCTGCCCGGCTGGTCTCGCAGGCGAGTAGCACATCCAGCGTCGAGACTGCGAGGCCCATGGCCCGTCCCTCGGGGAGAGCGTCTCCTCTAAAGAGCCAGCACCGACTCTCGGGCCTGGCTTCGATACCTGAGCCAATGCCACAGCCTCAAACCCGCACATCTGTTAGGTTCACAATCGATTCCCGTGGACGAGCTCGCGCCGAGACTACAATCCTGCATGGTGGACGTGACTTGGACGGTACCGTTAACCACCGGCAAACTTCTCGGGAAAGGAGTCAGGGGATTGACTTGTCGTCGGGAGATGACTTGTCAACAGATGACGAGCCGATCATCATCCCAAGCCGAACCAACTCTTTCAATGCATCATTCGCCCTTCCTGACCCACTGAGGCCCGTGGGTTCCAATTTACACTCTTCGAGACGAAGCGTTAGTGATAGGAGCAGTGTGTCCAACAACCAAGGTAAGGTAAGGATTTTATTTCGCCCGGGGGGACACACCCCAGAGGGCCTTTGCGCTAAGCTATTTTCGTTTCGTACAGTTCTTCCATAATCACCCGAAGCCCCAAAATTTCACTTTTACTAACTGGTCCAATCTGGTGTATATGCCGTGACAGGCCTGCTTGAAGGCCAATTTCCCCAAGTGTTCAGCATCCTATCCTCAGCAGCTGAAGCCCGGTCTGTCAAAATGAGACTGTATGATGTTAGTAGGATTCAATCTGAATAGTTAGTGTGCCTGAGGCTTCTGGTCCATGTCAAGCCTCCCCGTTGCAATGGCAAATTTGATCGTCGCCCGTACTGCCCGCATGTCTGGTGCCCATTTGTCATCGTCAGACGCTGCCTTTCCTCCCAAGAAGAACGAGAGGTTTCCCATCTTTGCTTGTGGGCATTTCAGCATGCCTTCCCGTTGCTTTGTCCACTTTGTGCATCTGAATAGAAAATGTTTAACTGTCTCGGATGCTTGACCACATTCGCACATATCCGATTCTACTGCGCCGATGTTGTGCAGAAAGCTGTTTAGTCTTGCCATTCCGGTGCGGAGCTGGATCAGCACATCTGCTTCTTTCCTCTTCAGCAGGTCATATATAGTACGGGTATGCTTGCCAGGGAGTGCCATGTCTATCGTCGTCGAGTATTTCCCAGCTCTTCCTGGCGGCATTCTTGTTTGCTGCTGCTTGGTTATGACTAGTCTTATCCTCGTGGATCTTGCTTGATACAGTGGTATATCTGGTCTGCAGTCTCTTTCAGTGGCCCGCCGGGCTGCTGCTTTGGCTTTTGGTCCTAGTGCGAAGTCTTCTTCGCCTGCTGGAACCCACATCATCTGGAGAGAGTTGCCCTCGTCTTCAAGGCGCCCGACATGGTCGTAGATTTGCCGAATGGCCTGTTGGCCGGATTGTTGACGCGGCCGCCGTATGGCTTCTAGTGCGGAACGGTTGCTCGTCACGACGGTTATAGTCCGTCGACGCAGTCCGAGTGGCATGCATCTCAGCGCCATCTCTATAGCTCCCAGCTCGGCTATGTATAGGTTCAGCTCCTCCGTCGACCCAAGAGTGATGGAGTAGCTGGCCACTAGTTCGTCGGCATTGTTGAGGGCCGTATCTCGTACGACACCTCCCATGCCTACCATGCCCTCTCTCTGCGAGGAGCAGGTGGCAATGACTATGCCATCCACCCTCTTTGCTTCTTCCACCGCTCTCTCCCGGTCACGGTCGCACGACACCGGGATACGGTCTCTCCATGGCGGTAACGCGTACTCCCGAATGATCTCTATTCGTTCAGTGGCTGTTTCCCCTTGTACTTGAGCAATCCTCTGCATCGGCGACACGAATCGGCGACACACTTTCATCACCTTCAGTGTCGCCAACGGGTGTGTCCTGGGAAGGGTCCGGAGGTTGATCCAGAACCTTGTTGCTGCTTGCGCATGCCGTTCTTGCACCGGTTGGATGCTAGCTTCGGCCTCTGCCACCGCCGTTGCGACGGTCCGGAAAGCTCCCGTGATCGCCTGTGCTCCGATCATCTGTGCCTTGTCCAGCCAAGCAGCTTCTCTAATGCCACATGAGTGCGCCCACACGCTGGACGCATAGTCCATGGTGGGAGCTACTGTTGCTACGAACAGTTGTCTCGCCGTCCGCGGTGACAGCATCTTCAGTCTTCTCAGACACATAGCAGCCGAGAGCCCCTTTGCAGCGGCTCTAGCTATGTGTTCCTTGTACCGCAGTTTCGCGTCCACGACCACTCCCAGGATCTTGGCGCTCGCCTTGGGCTTGACTACTTTTCCTTTGATCATGAACGGTTTGTCGCTGGTACGCGCGGCGTTTCGAGTGAAATGCACGATGGCCGTTTTGTCTCCGTTGAACGTCGCACCGCTCCGTCTTTCCCAGCCCAGTGCTTCGTCTATAATTGATTGGATGCCGGCTCGATTCTCCTCCGCTGTTGATCCCACCACCCAGGCTGAGTAGTCGTCCACGAATGCCATCGAACCACCTTTTGCGTTGATTCTTCTCTGCACCAAATCTGCATTGAAGAACAGGAACAACACCGGCGACAGCGGTGATCCTTGCGGGAGACCTGCCTGTGGCAGCTCCCGTAGCTGCGACGTGTGTCCATTTACCACCACGGTGGCCATTCGTCCAGAGCAGAAGGCGTCAATCCATCTCACCAGTCCATCAGGTATGCCTCTCGCCTTCAGCCTCTCCAGGAGTCGTTCTTTGAACACTCCGTTGTAAGCGCCTTTGACGTCGAAACTGATCAGACTGAGCACCCTGCCGGCCCTCCATGCCTTATAGATCTGCTCCTGCAGCAGAACCAGTGCTTGTTCGGCTGACCTTCGCTTCCTTGCCCCGAAGTGGTTTGCGGGCAGCAATCCATAGCTTTCCACTACATAGGATATCCGCTCTGCAACGACTGCCTCGAGTATCTTGCCCAGTGTCGACAGCAGCGATATCGGTCTCCATGCTTTGGCCACTGTGTAGTCTCCCTTGTCTGCTTTCTTTAGCGGGATGATCTTCGCACTCCTCCACTGGTGGGGTACCGCACCATCCTTGAGGGATGTGTCGAAGAGGTGCAAGACTCGGTATCTAACCACTGGCCAAAGCTGTTTCCACACCATTGCTGGCAGACCATCCTCTCCAGGCGCTTTCCAAGGTTTCGCTGCTAGCACTTTTTGTTCAACTTCCTCCATGGTGAGGTCTGGCATGTGCACTTCCGTCCGTTGCGGTCGGTCGCCTTCATCTTCAATCCTGGCCGGCAACGGCGGGAAGAACGTGCTGAGCAGCTCCTCTGCCTGCTCCACCCTATCTACCGTGGTGGAGCCGTCTTGTCTCTTCAAAGGGGGCACTCTGTCGTCCATAGCGCATATTCCGGGTTTCAAGTACGTAGCCGCCTTCCATATGTTGACATCTTCTGCCAGGAATTCGTCCCAGTGCAGTTTCTTCTGTTTCCGAATGGCATCATGGTACTCCTTGGATGCTTCCTTGGCCCGTCCTTCCAGGTCGGGCCTCACCTGGCCTGCTCGCCGCTGTGCCCTAGCCTGATTCCGCCATAACGTGTACACCCGCCGAAGTCTTGTCAAATCCTTCGTCCACCAACACTTCGCGTACGGTACTGGTTGTGCACGGGGCGTCAGCTCGTGGATCGCTTCGAGGATGACCCTCATTAACTGGTCTGTCTGTTCCTGCACGCCGACAGTCCAGGGGAGCTCTTGGAGATTGTCCTCCACCTTGGTTCTGATTGCTGTCCATGGTGCATTCTTGAACAACAGTCTTTCCGTGACAATCCGATCAGGCATCGCGAGATCGAACGTCGTTTGGATCGCCCGGTGGTCCGATCCGTGTTCTGTCGGGTGTATGGAGCACGTCACCATTCCGTCTGCCACCTCCGCCGTCGCCAGCATCAGGTCGATTGTGCTTTCCTTGTCGGGGCCTTGCCATGTCTTTGTGCCTCTCGGGAGCAGGCTGCAAAGACCGTGTTCGTTCATGAGGTCGATGATCGGTTCGGCCTCGCCTTGCCTTGCTAAGGCCACATCGTCTCCTCCCCAAAGCCGGTCGTGTTGATTAAAATCTCCGGCCAGTATGACGTCCACCGCCATCCCTGTCCTGCTCCTGAGGTCGAGGATCACCCGGTGCAGGGTATGGCATGTATTTCGAAGAGCCTGGGGCTTGCGTCCCGGCACATACACTGACACAACTAACATTATTCGGTCCGGGAGTCGTATGGCTGCTGCTGTCAAGTCCGGGGACTGTATTGGTACTTGGTTGGCCTCCAAGTCCCTATTCACCCACAACATGCTCCGGATCGGCCATCTGCCATCTCTCCAAATCGTAGGGACCATTTTAATCCATCTGGGATGCCCCATAGGGACTGTTAATAGTTTGCCGTCACTTTTCCATGCCTGTGGTTCTTGGACCGCCACAACTGCAAAATCTTGGAGTCGCGTATCGTTCATTAGGCTCTCGTGTACCGTGTCCTGTTTTCTTACATTAAGTTGAATTACCTGGAATATCCTACTCATGCCGAGTAGGGTAGAGTTTCGGGCAGCTTCGACTGAACGACTCGTGCGGTCCACCACAGGGTACGCACTTGGGTACCTGCGTCTGGCACTCACGATGATGGTGGCCTTCGGCAGCGCACCTCGCACATACCCGATTCTTGCTGCACGAGAAGGCCTTGTGGCCAAGCTCCTGGCAGTTGTAGCATTGTATCGGTCCGGTTCTCCGCTCGAACATGCTGGTATAAGCCGATTCACCGGCTGCAAGGAAGTAGCGTTCCTGTAAGAGTCTCCTGGCATCGCTGTTTTTGGTGAGGTATACCACCATGGATCCATATGCCTTTGCGTTATCCTTGCGACTCAACCAGGCCATCTTGGCAATCTGGACTTCATTCTCTTGGCCCAAGGCTTCCATTGCTCCAGGAAGGACCTTGCCTTCCTGGTCCAGAACGGCGGTACGGTTGATATTGTCAACTTTGACTGGATACAGTTGGTCACGAAGGACTCTCGCACCTGGAGCCTTCTTGACCTCAATAATGGTCTTGATCTTCTTCAGTTCTTCCTCGTTCCTACCGATGACCCTCAGGCGGTTGGTATTTCGTCCATCTCTGGTCACTGCAACACATCGCCAACTAGGTTGGTCGCTAGATGTTCGCATTTCCTGTTCAATGGTCCTGCGAAGCACTGCTGGTGTAGCATCTCCGATATGATCCTCGGGCACCCTAGATGTGTCTACTGTGCAGAACACCGGTTCCGGGGTTGCTGATCGAACCGTGGATGGAGTTTGAGTGGTGATACTAGCAGGCGTCATTCTGGCAGCATCTGCATATGTCTGGCTAGGCGATCTTGCTGCATGAGCATTGGTCAAGGTGTCCAGCTGTAGCCGGGTCTGCTCCAACTCGCTGCAAACCAGGGTGAGCTGCTCTCGAGCCTGTGACAATTCTTGCGCCATCTGGGCCGTGGTCCTAGTGACTTCCTCAGCCATGCGGTCGCTAAGTTTTGTAAACTCGAGCTGAAACTCTGCCTTCATTGCTTCCATTCTTTGATTGAAATCCTGTTCCAGGAGTCGTTTCAAACCCTGGATCGCCTCGGTCATGCTGCCAGCTGCCTTAGGCGTGGTTCTTTTCTTAGTTCGCGTATGACTCAGAGCTCCCTCACTGCTCTCCTCCTCCTGCCATTCCATATCGCCTTTTTGCTGCTCGGACTCCAATGCCCTTGTCGTTCTGGTCCTTTTACGCAGGGGACGATGATATCCCCCGCCCGGAACATCCGGCTCGCCTTCCATGACGACAATGACGTCTGAAGCGGGGTTCGCAACTTCAGACATCCACCAAAGGCCTGAATCTCCGCCAAGCGGCTACCGGGTATTTCAAAAGTAATAAAGAAGATAATGAGATTTCGAGAAGTGTTTCGAATCGCCACTCTAGCAATCGTATCACATCCCTTCGTGGGCTCTCAACGGGGTGCGTGCGTGAGCCTAGGCGGCGCCCAGTATCGGCTCAACGTGCGACGGCGAAGAGGGGTAGGATGGCGATGACTAAGGCTGGCCTGACCAAGAAGTGATTTGATTGAGCCTCGTGGCATCTCGTGCATCTAACTTTGTATCTTGCTACAGACTCCGGGTTCAGCGACGTTGGACGGCCGAGAGAATCCTCGCAATCACATACGGCAAATATAGTGGGCGGCTGTACGAACCATACAAGGCTTCGATTCTTAGCAGCTTTGTAATCTGAGAAAATGACATCGAGTGTCAGCCAGGGCGAGGCGACTCCAGAGTCCTCGATTGCTGGCTTCACAACAGCAACCACAGAATCTTCAGTTTCAGCAATGACGCCGCCAACAACCGTTAGCGGCCAGACCGTTGTCGAAAATCTCTTCGATGGGCAGTACTCCGCAGTTCCATGGCCTGGCAGCAAATACGTGATCATTGAAAAAGGCTCCGATCGGGCAATCACCCTCACAAGTGGCAGGCTTCGTCTTCAAGACGTCAATGAGGGTCGAAGCTTGAACAATCAGTGGCTCTGCGTTGAGCGCAACAATTATTTTGGGTTTTATAACGAACGTGCAAGGGTATACCTCGGTCACGACGGTAAAAAAGGAATGCGTGCCTCGGCTCCGTCGCTGGAAGAGTGGGAGTTTATGATTCCCAGGCTGCACCCTGAAGGCGGTTATCAGCTGCTGCTACCGTTCTGGTCGCATACCATGATGATCCTGACGCCTTCAGAGAACAAGGATCAGCTAGTAAGATCGATGCATGGAACAGCTTTGTGGGTCTTCTCAAAGGTCTAACAAGTACTCGTCCACGGAATATAGTGCATCAGGGTAGTTCCAGTATTGACGGTTGTTGCTCTTTATGTATTATTATATACTATAATACAGCTTTTCAGAACAAGTCTCTAGAGACTGCCCACACCATCTCTGCTTTTTTTGCGCTCTAGTCGGTGGTGGCATCAAATGAGAGGAAGGTTGAGGCCAGACCAGCTGCCTCCTCATCCTGCGCAATGTTGTTCTGGAGCTTCTGCTGCTCTGTGGCGAGCTTCTCGGACACATCCTGGCCCTGCGCCTGCTGAGCTTCAAGCTTCAGGATGGTAGCGGTCAGCTTCAGAACCTTGTTCTTGATCTTGCCTCGCTATTTTTGAAGACTGTTAAAAAGGTTTTTTTGGAGCATTCGAATAGTATCTTACCTGGAGAGCATCGGCCTCTTCTCCATCAGCTGCATCAATGGCGACGTTGAATGCGTCAGTCTCTGCGTCGTTGGCAATCTGGTTCACACTGTTGAGGAAATCCAAGTCGGACTCCTCGACGGTCGTGAGATCGTTGGGCAAGCCACCCAGCTTCTGCAGGGCCTCTTGTTGGGCATTCCCAGCCACTCCTCCACTGATTGAGAGGTCGTTGTAAGAGGTGGTGCTGAAGACAGCTCGCTTGCTCAAGGGCGCGGCTGAGCAGAGGGCGACAAGGGTGAAAGTGAGGAGAGAGAACTTCATGATGAATTGTTGGGGTTGTTTGGTTGGAACTTTTGGCGTTGAATGGAAGAATTAGGGTCGCGGACCGTTGAATGTAGGACGAAGAAGCAAAATGCAGCGCAGCTGACTGAGGATTAGGTTGATGGAGGATGTTGTTGAGTTGATGGAGAATGTGATTGAAGGTGGGCTTCGGGCTGCTTTTATAGTCGACGGCTATGGTGATCTCAAGGATCGAAATTCTACAGTCGCCAATGGTTTCCTAGACCAGCCCAGTCCTGAAGCTGTTGTCTTGTTTTGCCGCATTGCCCTGCGCTCCTTCATAAGCGAGTCTCGGCGACAGCTACGAGACTGGGTTGGTGAGACGAATTAACCAAGGCCCACGGGCGTCAATTGTCCCAGAGCAATGGTCATGATACTGCCAAGTGAATTGCGGGAAACGATGCTTCACTCATGACGCTCAAAGAAGACACCAAAGGGGACTGCGACGCGCCTACAACCGCGCTGTCGAGAACCGACAGGGGTTTGTTACTGAAGCTCCGAGTTTCATAGCGGCCGATCTTACAAAGGTTGAGACGTCTGAACCGTGGTGGGACCAAACGACGCTAATTGTCGATTAAGCGAGTCAAATGACTCCCTAAAAACAACTCTAGAAGGGAGTAGTGGCTCCTTTTTTTCGTCTCATCTTCCTTTGGCGCGGCTTCACTGAGCTTGGCTCTGCAGTTGCTAATAATAATTGGCGGAGCTCTTCACGTCGCGTCTCGCCTGTCACCTGTCACAGATTATGCTGCTACTCCAAACGTGTTAATCGTAATTGTATGCGTAAAATCCCTGGTGAGCTAATTTTCCACCTTTAATTTCGACGTTTCGTCTTATTCGCACTTGACCCGAACATCGAAAGCTGGACTCGCCACCCTGGACACCACCGCAGGATGCGCAATACTATTTCCATTCAATGCACATGTCTTCATTTGGTGCATTATGATTCAGCGCTCACTATCTATTTGGTGTTGTTGAGGGGGTATTCTTACGACCTTGATTTCTTGCAGGATTATTGATATCACCGTGACTTGACTATTTCCTTCAACAAGCGACTGAATGTAGAATAGGGAACAAAGAATTCCCGCAGTTTAGCAATTTTACACTAATTGCCTCGCCTCCTTGGTTCATGACAAGGTTTCACTTTTGCCCCGACAGGCGGGTTATCAAGAAATACTTGTCTGGGAAAGCATCTTCGTGCGTGGGTTTCTCCCTCAGTTAGATCGGTTATATTCGCATAAATGATGCAATACGTCCTATGAGCAGATATCTCGTATAGTATTCTTTCACGATCCTCAAAAGCGTTCTACGGGGTTGAATCTCTCTGCTCCGGGCTGGATCTGGATGGGGTCTAGGGTAGGGCCCGAGAGCGACAGGAGCCTGGTCTCCTTGGCAGTGGTAACGCTTGTGGGACGCTGTGGACAAATCGGGGTTAAGGCGGTACATAATTCAGTTAGCGAGTACTTCATTTTGAGCCGAGCTGACCATGAAAAGCCTAGTGTCTGTTCAACGTGAGGAAGTTGTCAGCTGCACCACAAGCTCCGCGCTTCCGAGGAGATTCGGGACGACACCCGAGCAATCCTTCAGTGCTGAGCCTCTTCTGCGTAAAGTCAAAGTAGTAGCATGAGAAGTAGATGAAATATGTATAGATGAAAATCGTTGCCATACATACTGCAAAAGGTGCTATCGACGCCAACGGTATGGCACCCTCTCTTTGCTCTCCCCTCTCTGAAGTCCTCTATCTACCTGTAGTGGAATCACGGGGAGGTTGCTAGGACTTGATGAACCGTATGATGATGACTAGGTAGGCTAGCCATGTGTGACAGACTGTGTGTCGCAGGGGCGATCACCTCTGTCGCTACGCGCCCAGCATCTCAGGCAAAAAAAGGGGCAGGTCGGAACAAGGGTCCGACAGTCAGGTCCACCAACAACCTGACTGTTCTGACAGCGAGGTAGACAATTGTGTCCATGCAGTAATTGTGATGATTAGAATCTATATGACTGTATTTGCGTCCATCATACGTCCCGCCTCTCCAAGATCGTATGTGGATGGTGTTTTTAGGCCATGATGCCCACCCTTGTTCAACTCACTCTCCATCCAATATTACTTAGACCAGCTGTAACCTCATTTGGTACTGACTCAAATCCATGGGGGTGAAGCCAAAGTGAGCAGCCAGTCTGTCAGCTGGTTCCTTGGGGAAAACTACGCCCGCTCGCCATTTCTTGCCGGGGAACTTCGCCATCACTGCCTCCATCAGCCTCCTCGCCTCTCCTTGGCGTCTCCATTCGGGTTCCACAAAGATGCTCGTCAGATTGACTGTAATCTCGTCGTCTTTGTCCGGATGAGATATGCCACAATAGGCGTGCCCTAGTTTGAAGACTCTTTTTGTCGGCCCGAGCGGACTGACCCCCCACCCCCAGGCTTGCCAGGGCAAAGTAGGTGCAGCATGTTTTGTGATCTGTTTTTCGAGCTCATCAAACGTGCAGTCCTCTATACCAGTATTGGAAACAGAGTCTTTCACGCTCGTCAAGTCCTTTTCCCATCCATACAACTCTTGCTCGATCGAGAACCCCATGCGCTTGTAGAGACGAAGAGCCCGCTCGTTCTGCTTGATACACTCCAGCTCAATAATATGGACGCCCCTCTTCCTCTCTGCCGAGATGATCAGTTCCATCACCTGGGTTCCTGTTCCTTTCCCATGGTAGGAGGGCACAACCCCCATGGCCGCAAGTCGTGACTCCTTGGGCTTGTCATCTCGAATGGCGATAAGGCCGAAAGCCACCGGTTCATTGGAATCAGGCGTCGGGAAGAAAATGTGGCTCAACTCGAGCGACACAAGATATCCATTACACCATAACGTGATGGTTTCCTCGGTGAACTGAACCTCGGTGCCGATGTAATTTGTAAAGGCTTCGTTGAAAATAGCGGCGAGCTGAGAGGGCGAGATCGAGTTGCCAGGTCTAGATTCCATTTTGCCTGAAGAAGAGCGTTTCTATTTCGACAACAGAAGTGATAAGAGTTGGGAAATGTGGCTAACATACAGTTGATAATACTGAAGATGAAAGTCTGAAGTTGATCATCCGATTTCGAGCCCAGGCGAGGAGATGTTATTATATGGATAGTGGCTTACTCGAATAGGCAGGTGTTCATGTCAGACTGGTGTGGTTTGACATCATGAAAGGCTGGAAAGTGGGCGTTACGTTGTTCAAAATGTGGGGTTAGCTGATCATCATGAGGGGCCTACGAAGTGCTGACGAACACAGAGATCAGGCAGATATCTTGACGCGAGGTCGACGTACATCAGAGAGCAGTGTATTTGTACACGTACGGCACCTTGGTCATTCAATGGTCCACATTAAGGCTCGTATTCCGCGGTTGAGAAAAGGCCGCGTGGCTTCGAATTCATTTCAGCCCCAAGTCTGGGAATGACAAATGTAGTAATTGCCGAAAACACCATACCTACCAGGCATGGCTTGTTTCAATACTTGTTCGGATTAACTGAGTTCCATCAAAGCGCTACTGCAATACGTTGTCCATAACAATCACGGCACGACCATAAAGTTGTCCTTTCCGCAGCTTCTCGTAAGCCTCGGGGATCTGATCAAAGGAGAATCGATCAATGTCAATCTGCAGTTTCCCTTCCAGTGCTAGCTGACAAACTTCGCGCAGGTCTTGACGCGTGCTCCCCAGCGAGGTTGCAAACCTAGCACTCGTCGCTATCCTGTTCCAGCCAAGCTTGACGCTGCCGCCCTGCATGCCCACAACAGAGACAAATCCCTCCGGGCGCACTAAGGCGGCGGCCAAGGCCAGAGTGCGATCGGTTCCGACGACGTCCAGGACGCATTCGACGCCTCTTCCGTTGAGAAACTGGCGTACGCGAGCTTCAGTGTCTGGCTGTGAGAGCACGATCCCGTCGGCACCTAGTTTCTTGGCAAGATCGAGGCGATCCTGGGACGTATCTACCGCAACGACTTTGGCGGCAGTGCGTAGCTTGATGAGTTGGATCGCGTAGGCGCCGACGCCGCCGACACCGATGACCAGTACGCTCGTCCCCGGGCGCAGTAGGGGCCAAAAGGGCTTGCAGCCGGCATACGCAGTCACACCGGCGTCGGTGAGGGGAGCAAACAAGACGGGGTCGGCGGAGCCCACGGAGATGAGTTCGGTACGGGGGACGACAATGAACTCTGCGAGTCCTCCGTCGAAGCCGCAGCCTCGAGTCATGCCAATTGCACCGCGCCGGAAGTGGTCACAATGCTGCTCAATGCCGGCTTCGCAATACTCGCAGAAGCCGCAGTGGCGCATGTGATGGAGCACCACCGTCTCCCCCTTTTCCAAATCCGTCACACTCGAGCCCCATGATTCAACGAAGCCGGCCGTCTCGTGTCCGAGGATGTAGCCGGCATCGATGGCGCTCGCATAAGGATCCTCGCCGGGCTGGCTGTCCATCATGTCGATGTCAGAGCGGCAGAGACCGACAGCTTTGACGCGGACCAGGACATCCAGCGGACCGGGAGTCGGTTGCGGAACATCGATATACTGACCAGGTTGTCCCCATCGAACTAGCTTATAAGCTCTCATGATAAAGTATATAGTAATGATTTATCAGTTTTAAAAGAAAATTCTTCTTTTTTATCGTCTTTCTTCGGCTTAGGTAAATGAGATTTGACAGGATTGGGATGTTGTGATGGCGAAGATGATAAACTTGAAAGAGAACCAGATGCTGATGATGGGTGGCAATTACCTTTTGGGTAAAATGTAGGGAAATCACAGAAGAAACATCATCAAACAGCAGCAGGTTAAATATTACTGGTTATGGATTTCATTCAAAGATTGACTATTTAATTTTTCCTGGCCTCATCTATAATGTACACTCTACGTTGACAATTAGAAAGAAATGGTGAATCATCGGATGATATTCGGACAAGAAGTCATGCGCTCATTTTGCGAAAGTGGAGCAGTATTTTGGTGTTTTGCTAGTAATAGATCATCCGCGTACTCCACAGTGTTTGAGTTTGCATTGTTTTGATACTCCACGATCCCTGCCCCTTAACTATGCACTTTGTGGGAGATCCTGTCGGTTATCCTTTCCCGTCTTCAGTCCGGAGACGTTTTAGCCAAGCCGCCGCCCATCACGTAAAGGCCTACCGATAGTGTCGCTGAATCAGGACGGTCTAATTTCGGCACAATTGTGCTGAAGAGAGGAACATGTGTATTGTACCGTGACATCAGATCGTTCTGCACAAGAAGTATGGCGAGGTTTTTTCCTAAGCGGCAACTCATCGGGAACCCGCCACAACCCAAGGGCGACTTGTGGCGGGGTCGTTGACAACAAAGGTCTCCTCGCCAATATTTCTCCCCTTAAGCTGCTTGTTTTTATGAACCATACGATTTTGATCTACAGTTTATCAGGAACCGTAGTGTGCTGGGACGGCCTAGTCAGAGTTTATAGCACCGCATCAGAACTTTACATTTCTTGTTTCTACTGAGATATCATGGCTTCTCTTGGCTTGAAGGGGTAAGCGCCCCCACCAGACTCATATCCCGTCATCTCATTACCTCATCCTCCGAATTGCTTTCCTCGTCTTGCACAGTAACCGGATGAAGTTAAACCGTCTCTTTTTCTCATAAATCTAGGTCCGCGATTGTCACCGGCGCAGGAGGTGCCTTGGGTCGCGCCATAGTGCTCGGCCTTGCTCGACACGGTGTGACCAAGGTCGCAGGCATTGACGTGAACAGCAGCGCTCTAGACGAAACCAAAACCAAGCTGGCCACAGAATTTCCCAGGGTGCAGTTCCTCTCCGTCGAAGCTGATGTATCGTCAGAACAGTCCACCTCGCAGGCCATCTCCAGCATTATCCGCGAGTTTGGTCGGATTGACTACGCCGTCAACAACGCCGGGATAGGACAGAAGCTAGCGCCGTCGGGAAACACTTCGATACAGGAATTTGAAAAGGTCATGAACGTGAACTTTCGGGGACTATGGCTGTGCGAAAAGTTGGAGCTGTCACAGATGGAAAAGCAGGAACCACGCGTCGTGAACCCGTTGAACCCGTCCGTCATGGAGCGAGGGTGCATCGTCAACATCTCGTCTGTGCTGGGCTTTATGGCAATGCCGCATCTCGGGGTTTACAATTCCTCCAAGCACGCAACTCTGGGACTCACCAGGACCGACGCTATCGACTATGCCAAGAAAGGCATCAGAGTCAATGCCATCGCGCCAGGCTTCATTGATACACCGCTGCTGACGGAGGCGACGAGGTTGGCGCTGAAACCGACGATAGATAGGATACCACAGAGAAGGCTGGCATCTCCCGAAGAAGTTGCCGATGCCGTGTGCTTCATGGTGAGTGGCATGGCCAGCCACGTCACTGGTGTCACACTTCCCGTAGATGGCGGGTTCACGGCGACGTAGCCTTCTTGGATGTAAAATAATCCTCATTCTAGGTTACGATTTTCTCTCTGCAATTAATCTCCGTGATTCGACTTTGAACGAATAACATATTCAAGACCGGCGCCGAAACAGTAATCTCGTATCAATCCTTGTTTCTAAGCAGACTATTTATTTGAGTGATTCGGACCAGTAAACCACTTTGATACACGTCTAGTAAAAAGGGCCTATTTTAAGAGGAGTATCACTGAGTGTCGTCCCAATCACAGATATGAACACTACATATACCCAAAAGGGACAACTCGTTGAATCAATCTACGTAGTCGCCAAGTTTCAGGTAACTTGCGAAAGGGTTTCATCAAGCGGAACCCTTCCGAAGGCTGGAGGTATTGATATTGGTATTATTATTTTTGCGTCGTCTTAGATTACATTAGATCCTCCTGTCAATGTTTAAAAACGGAATCGCAAATGATACCAATTGGTTAGAAAACGATAGTTGAATTCAAATACAAAACTATTGAGAATGCGAATCATAAATTAAGCCTTAAATAGGCTATCTCACGGACCCCTGGCCCTCTCTTCTGCTCAATGTGAGGTCATGAGTTACCTAGCTGCTGTGTTCCAGGTTTCGGATTCCACGGGAGAAGTAGGGCTAATTGTAGCCTTTCTCCCTCAGCAATACCTATTTTAGTTGCAGCTGTCGAGATGGTCCCTTTCTTGCCGTATGAACCATGGATTTGCTCATTCAGTTGTATCACGAAGGTTTGAGTCTGCAGTCTCGACGTGAGTAGAGCTTTCCTTGGTATCCAAGGCATGCTCAAAGTCCAGAGCGACTTCGTCGCCGAATTTGAGGGCAATCTCTTCTAACGAAACGCCAGCAGTCTGCACATAGTTAGTATCTTGATGTATATACACATGTACATGCGACACGCTGCAACAGATTACACTTACCTCTGGTAGCATAAACATGCAAGGAATGGTCAGGGCAACGGTGACGCAGATAAAGACTATGTAATACTTCCATCCGATGCTTCCAAAAGCCTGTGCTGCAGGCGCAGTCGTCCAGATGGAGAAGACGTAGAAGCCAAAGTATGATATAGCAGAGCCTTTGCTGCGCAGATGGGTGGGCCAGATCTCGCACCCATACACGTAGCCAACGCACTCCAAGGTGCAGCAGAAGTAAAAGGCTATTAGGAAGTAGATTGCAACAGCAGCGCGGACGCCGGCCAGATTTGAACTGCTCAGGTACTGGCTTTGCAGCGCCGCCTGTATGGCAACAAGAATGGCCATACCCCAGCCACCGGCCACTATTTATCATGATTAGCTGACGTGTGCAGGAGAGTCGAAGATAAAAAGAAAGGAAAGGAAGTAAGAAAAAAAGAGAGAGAGATAAAGGGCGCAAACGACGCAAACCTACCGATGAGCTTAACGCGGCCGATGCGGTCAATCAGCCAGATGTTGACAAAGCAGCCTAGAAAGAGACAGACGGTCCAGACCAGAGCCAGAGTTAGCTGTAGGATGGTATCGTAACCGAGGGCACCGAAGAGACGAGGTGTCAGGTTTGCCAAGACAGTGATGCCAGTCGACTGCGCCATGGACCAGACCAGGAGTGTGCACACAAGACGCTTCCTCATGGACGGCGTGCGGAAGATGAAAGCCCAGCTTCGGGGCTGGGAGCGATCGTGCTCGACCTGGGCGACAATCTGCGACAGTTCGGCTCGAGCCACCCTGCCGTTGGGGTCATGCTTTGTCTTGTGGATGTTGTGAAGGATCTCTCCGGCTTCACTGGACCGGTTGGCCTCAACGAGCCATCGTGGTGACTCGGGCAGAAACAGGAGAGATACCAAGAGGCACAAACCGAGGAAGGCGGCGATGATGTAGTTGAGGCGCCATTGGTACGCTTCGGAAACGAAGTGGAAGCCAAGAGCAGCGCAGGAGGATGAAATATAGCCAAATACGATAAAGTTGCCTTGCAAGCCGACGAGGAGTCCTCGACTGTGGGCAGGTGAGATCTCGCTCAAGTAGACAGGTGTGTTTGTGATGATCATGCCGCATCCAAACCCCGTGATATACCTGCCCACCAGAAACATGGCGATGTGTGGCGCCCCAGCCTGCAGAGTGTTGCCGATGGTGACGAGGACGGCGGCCACGCGGTTGACGGACTTTCTGCCCCATCTGTTGGAGATGTACGCTTGTACAATGGAGCCGATGAGGGCCGCACCGAAGAAGCTGGGAGTCGTTGGGTCAGCTCGCGTTTCTCAGGATCTTTCCTTCTTGTCTTGTCTTACCCGGAAACGATGGAGTCGATGAGCATGTTGGCATTCGATCCCGACAAGAACTTTTGATTAAATGTTACCTGTGCCAGAGTTCCCGCAATGACATTGTTGGAGTAGCCGTAGTTGTAGCTGGCCAAAGCCGCCGCGCAAATGAGCTGTCCACAATCAGCAACTTTGTTCTTGTCCTGGCAGCGCCGCTCGCAAAGGGTGAATGATGAGGTACTGACCACGATGTTGGTGAAACTCGTGTGAGCCTTGAGCCCAGCATGTGCTGCGGCCGCCCTTTCCGTCGTACCCTCAGCCATTATGGGCATGAAGATGGAAAGGAGGAGAAAACTTAGGACAAGTGTTCGATTTTTGGCCAAAGATTCACAATGATTGTGAAAGAAATTTTGATTAGGTTTCTCTGTTCACTGCCATCGATGTGACCTTGTCTCTTCTTTTTTTCGGGATCAGAATCCTGACGAAGGCTCGTTTATTAATACATGTAGGCGAAGCTTCATTTAATCCACAAGCAAACGAAAAGTGCATGCTAATCTACCGGTAGTACGCTCCCCTCCCTTCCCCGCAAACTAGTGAAATACTAGAGAAGAGGAAAAAGGGAGAAGTCTAGACTAGCGTAGCGGGGAAGTGCAAAGACGAAATATCACTAGATCAAACTTGAGTTGAAAGTGCGATGTCCAAAGTTAGAGCGAAGCTGAGCCGTGGAAGACGCGCGAGACCGAAGCGCCCCCTGCTAAACGCCAAAGGTAGATGCCGCGTGAGTTAATGGAGGCCAACAACGCCAAATAACGTCAAGCTTGGGATTCTCCATCCCCGGAATCCACGGTAACTGGGGCTGGGGTACCCCGTAGATCTGCAGATCCAGATGTCACCTTTGTACTTTCGTGGTCTACCGATCCCATCGCTTCGGGACAGCGTGGAGAGGCTCCAGTCGGCTAAAACAGCCATGCATATTCGCCCGGATCGTGGGGTTGGCAGAGGTCTACGATCAGGCATCGGATTTATTTTGCAAGGCGCCTCACCAGCCATTCACATGCAACAGCAGCTACATGAGAAAGACCGAAGCGAATCGCTGGCCCCTGAATTGTGTGAGCGAGCGACGATTCATCTCGTGGCAGAATGGGTAAGACTGAACCTGATACTCGCTTAGACGAACAACTGTACCATATCACTGCGGTAGCACATGAGTACTGGTCTCATTGATGCATGGCCCTTCCCGTCTTGGCTGGCAGCTTTGGGCTTGATGATCCCTCCCCATCTCCCTCCTTATTCTGCGCGGAATCAAATAAATCGATGTGAACAAAATGCCAAGTAATATCTTAGTTACATGGCCAAAGGGATTCATTGCTGTGTTTTGACGAGAGCCATCGAACTCAGTACGCGAAATGCTTCTCATTATGCCGACTCCCGCTTGTCAAGCATACCCCAACCCCTTTGCTCACCTTCCGGATCAAGAAAGGCTGTTCAGCTCTACTGTACTCAGCTTGTCCGATCGCAGCATAAGGCGCCCAAGACAAACGGTGGCCAGCTAGGGAACGGCTCGAGATGAGATCCTGGTCCTTTCGAAATTACTCCTACTCTCATGATCTCTCTGCCGACTATCCGACCGGCCAAGAACGTCCTCGTGCCCTCGTCCGGTCAGACCTTGGAGTTACACCGAAATCCATCCGCGCACCTAGGTTGCCTGTTTAGTAAAGTTTCTGCTAATAACAGCGCTAGGTGCCCTTAGCACGCATCACTCTCTCAAGTAAGTAGTCGAATTACTAGTACACCACATCAGCAATCCGCCGTCATTGTGAATAAAAACTTCAAAAGCAAAAAAAGAAAAAAAACACGACAAGAAGAGAAACAAACAACAAGACAAATCAAGAAAACCAAAATGCAGGGTCCGAAATTCTTTGTGGTAGCGCGTGTCGTCGGCCGAGATGGCGGTATGCCGCTTGTATGTTCTCGCTTTCCCAATCCATGGCTCATGCCAAGGTTCTCATTTGCGCCCGGGAAATGTTGATTTACTAACGTGCGTGTGTGTGGCTTGTCGGTCAAAGTGGAAAGAGAGATTAGTCCACCTCTGCGATGTCTCTGCTACGGAGCTGTACGGGGACTCCTACTACTGGGGCGAGGATCTCGACGGCGAGCCGGACACCCTATGGGGCCTCGAAGGCTACACTCACCCCATCGGCTTCTTCATAGACCACGTATCCTCGAGCATCTTCAAGCGCGAGATGGCGCTAGTGGACAAGGATGAGCTGCTCAGACACCAGCAAGGCTTGGGGAGCCCGGACTACGACCTCCACCACTACGATCAGGAGTCTGGCTGGCTCAAGAGGGAAGATGATCCTGATCGACACTCCAAGTCAGGCTACGTGGCCGTGCATCACTTCTGGGCCTCTTCTGAGGCGGATCGACCAAGTCTCCTGGCTGCCTTGGGCGCTTTCGCTGCCGACACGCGAAGCGGCCAGAACCACAAGGTCCAGAGCTGTCTTGTGCTGCGCGAATGCCGTGACTTGAAGATGGCGACTCTGTGGTTGAGGTATGTGCAAATAGCACCACCAGCCTACTCACTACCTGCCTGACTGGCTTTGAGCCAACGTACACATTTAACCTGACCGCATTGTGCAGGACCAAGACTGACCAAGACTATCAATCTTTTCGTCAACGCTCGCTCGCTAGTCTTCTGGAAGAGGTCCAACCGCTGTGTTCGAAAACCGAGGTACACTTCTCAAAGTCTTTTGACGGTCACTTGGATCTCCAAGCCGGGACTCGGTAGGCACGGGGAATCATCGGGCGGTTGCAGAATGTTTTGTTGATACTTGGGCTTTATGGCTCGTATATTGGGCCTTGCTGAATATGGGTAGGACAGATATACAGGATTTCAGCTTTGTGAAATGAGGTGCACATATACACGTACTTTACTCTATTTTCTTTTGGCCGTATCAAGATACGTACCATTTTGAGGTTGGAGAGTGAGGATGTCAGGTAAAGTGATGATGGCCCACCCTGGACGCGTACGTTGGCCTAACTCTCTTGATCGAGGTGGTAAAAGATACTTTTTTGACGGTTTTGAGTGTCAGGGCTAGAGCTGGTGCCAAGTACAGAGTACAACGAAGGAGACACAGCTCAAAATCCTTGACACTTGAAACAGTACGCCCTTCTTATACGGACAACCATGGCATCTCGGGTCTTGTCTTTAGTCTTTTCCTTTTTTTTCCATCTCTAAGTTATCAAACACTCAAAGTTATTAAGCATAGCTGAGTAGTAAATATTTATTTAGGATATGTGTCATATAACTCATACTACTTACATTTCTGCTCATCGTCGGTAAGACTACCCTGCCAGCGCAGACATTCTCATCCTTACTTCAATCATGCCAAATACAATTGCCCTTGCTACTGTGCAACAACGGCAGGACTTTCCATCTCGTGCCTTTTTGAGCTCCGGCACCCAATCATGTGCTCTTTGGAATAATACCAAACCCTGGAATATCGCTGACCTCGAGGCCGGACGCCAGCTTGACTCCATAGCGCACATGGTCGAGGGTGCTCCGAGGTATGTAAACGTCGTCCTCTATGCCCATGACCTTGTCCCAGTTCTTGATGAATCCTTCGGGCGTAGACTCGTGCGTGTGTCCGGGGAACGTCGCAAACGTCACCCGTGCCGACCTGTCAGCAGCAGCCGTGAAGCACTCTCCCGACACGGGGCACTCGTCCGAGGCGAGAGCAACGACGGCTGGTGCACATTTCCTCGCTTCGAAGTAGGTTCTAGTGATGAACTTGGAGCCTTCGGATAGATCCCCCATGCGGGTCGACCCGGACGGTAGCACGGCGTTGACTTTGATGCCGTACTGCTCGGAGAAGCGACCGAGGTCACGAGCAATGGCAAAGGTGGCACCCTTAGACGCGGTATAGGCATTGTCGCCGCCAGCGCCGAAGCCAAAGATGGCATCCGAGGCCACATATATGATGCGCCCGTGATGCTGCTTCTCCATATGGCTCCATACGGCGCTGGTCATGTACTGCGAGCCCAGCACCGCGATCTCCATGACGCGCATGAATGCCGGGCCGTCTAGGTCGGCATGAGAACTTGGGCTGCCCGAGATGGCCGCGTTGTTGATGAGAATGTCGACGTGTCCAAACGCTTCCACCGCTTGCTGCACAATCTTGATGGCGCTGGCCTTGTCGGACACATCGTGCCCGTCGGCGACGGCAGAGCCCCCAGCGGCCACAATCTCGTTGACGACGCTCTGAGCACGCGAAATATCCCCAGACTGGCCCTCCAGCGTGCCTCCATAGTCGTTGATAACTACCTTGGCCCCCTTGGCGGCGAGGAGGAGAGCGTACTCTCGGCCGAGGCCCCCGCCTGCTCCCGTAACGATGGCGACGCGATCTCTGACTGACATTCTTGCTCGAGCCGGGAGCTGAGGTATCAGGTTTAGTTGGGTATGTTTCTAGAGGAACAGTAAAACGCTGGTTACGAGAGTAGGACTTGAAAGTGGTTCGTCGCGGATGTTTGAGCGGTCTTGTTCAAGCGTGGCCGTGTCTCAATGTAGCCACGCTTTTGTAAGTCGTGTCCATCTTGATACAGAATAGTCTATGCCGTCAACATGGCATGGGTGAAGCCGAACCCCGCACTCGCAGTGTTCCCTTTCTAGCGATGAATGAATCTCGAGCGTAAACGGTAAGTTCACTCGATAATGGTCCGGCTGGCTCGGGTGGTGCGAAAGGACCAACTTCGGGGTACGCCTTGTTGGTCTCCGTATAAATTGTGGGAATTTCTGCTCTAAATACCCCGGACTTGGGGTGATCCGGAAACATTTCCACAATGCAACTTTAGCCCTCCAAACGTTACGTTGGATTTTGACGGCGGAATCACCCCGCTCAGCTCGGCCAAAATGATTCTGAACTGGCAGCCAACCCTCGTCTTCGCTTCATTTTTGTCATCTCTTCTGGTCTGCTAATGCGGTGATAAGGCGAGTCTGGCCTCCACACTACTTGCTACAGCAGACGTTCGAAGCCTTTTGGAGTCACCTAAAGTCTTTTGTTCTTTACTCTTTATTCTTTGTTGTTCTTTTTCTGGTAACACGCAAAGCGCCGCCTTGAGTCTCAACATGAAGTCCCTCGCAGACCGCGTATACACCGTGACTGGCGCAGCATCAGGAATCGGCCAGGCAGTTGCCCTACGCCTGGTGGAACTTGGTGCTGCAGGCCTGGCACTAAGTGATGTGAATATGCAGAACCTAGAAAAGACAAAATCACTGTGTCAGTGAGCATTCACCAGTCCTCGTGCTTTGTTTTCTTTCTCTGCCTCGAGCGGCTGCTGACCTTCCATAGGTGACGCCGTCGGCCAGGCAAAGGTCGTCCTCACCCGGGTCGATGTTAGCGACAGCGTTCAGGTTGAGACTTGGATTGCCGACACGATTCGCGACTTTGGCCGCCTGGATGGGTGCGCCAATGTCGCAGGCATTGCAGGAGGCGACGGGGAGACGACATCCGCGACAATTGTAAGACACCATCCTCTGAGCTCCCAGTCGTCCCAACCAAGTGCCATCTGCTAACTTGAGTTTTCCACCGGCTGGTAGAAACAAGAGGACTGGGACAAGATGTTGGCCGTCAACCTCAACGGCGTCATGTACTGCATGCGTTCGCAGCTACCTCACTTGCCGCGGCCAGGCGGTGCCATTGTCAACGTGTCCAGTACTTCGGGCTTGAGGGGTCTACCGCACAATGCAGCCTACGCAACGAGCAAGTTTGGCGTAATTGGCCTTACCAAGTCAGCTGCGGGTGAGTTCGGCCGCGAGGGCATCCGCATCAACACTCTATTACCGTAAGTTTCACACATCCGCTCCATCTGTCGCAGCAATATCCAGAGAGTCCAGTTCACTGACAGAGGTTCTTGACCCTAGGGGTCCCATCGACACGCCTATATTCCGCGATGGTGAGGCCAAAGGTCTATTCAGCTCGGAAATTACCAGTAACGCGACATGTTTGGGACGGATGGGGCAAGCTTATGAGGTTGCCAATGTCTTGTGCTTCATGATGACCGATGACGCGTCGTACGTCACCGGAGGTATGTTCTCTCCACAGTGTGTCATAAGACTCTACTTAATGCTGGTGAACTACGCTGATATCATTTTCAAGCCCATTGGACTGTTGATGGGGGCTACAGCGCATGCTGAGAAGTCTTGCACACAACGTCCTGAAGATGAGTGTTTCATAACGAGCTGTGACTACGGGACTCTCTCTGTCCTGCACATGTCTTATTCGGAAAAGGGCACTGCTGGGCCTCTTGGGAAAATCCTCTAGATCCATGTAAGAATGACAAGGTCAGAGATATGGGCGTAGCTAGTATTCAGATGGGCCGAACGTTGGAATTCTCATCGTTGTTGTTGCTTCATTTTGAACTCTGAGCAAGCCTGCCTCATAATGATTTTGGCATTTCGCAAACCATGCCATGCCCTGCCAGAAAGACCTTGCTAGCAATTCTTACCGCAACTAACCGTAGCCTCACGAACCAAGTATAGGGTTCGTTGTGATGCAACTTTCGATGGGCCCTTGTTAGTAGGTCGATAGTAAAGCGCGTGAACCAAGGTCATAGTTGGGCCCCATATCTTGCTGGCTTCTTATTGTTGTCACGCTGGCGTATCTACAAGAAAGAAGAGACCAAACTGTCGCCGCTACCGTAAGGAACATTGTCAGCGCCATACAAGCCACCATGGACGTCTCGCGCACATACTGAATACCGGATACTTATGTTTGAGCATTATAATCATGTCTTTGTCTAGAATCCGCTCCACCCCGATAAGAGGTCTTGTAGATCCATGTGCATTTCAAAATCTCGCGAATCCATCCCCAGAGGCTCTACGTCCCCAGAACTTGAGTTCATCATAGTCATAAATGACGAGTTGTTAATGAACGAGGGCATCTCCGTGTCCACACTTGGCATTTTCGGGTTCTCGGACTCGTTGGAGATGGGAGAAAAGACGTGAATGGCAGAGATTGGGTCAATTTCGGGCCCGTCATCCCTTCCATTGTCCTGCAACTGCCCTTGCTGCTGCTGCTGCTGAGACCATCTAAAATAGGTCGTGGTCACCGGTGACGCCTGAGCTCTCGTTGGTCTCCAGTTTATTGACCCCGACGCAGCGCTCTCTTCAACAACACTGGGAGGGGGGGTATCCAGCACCTTCCGACTTCCGTTGCTAGATTTGTTGCCGACAGACTCTCGACGGTTGTTCTGCCGCTCTATCAGAGCACCTTCTCGGGTTTGGACTTCAGATCCCGTGCTGGGGTGAGCCTCAAAATTGCCATTCCGACTACTGTTGGCCACATGGATTGTTGCGCTGGATCTGCGATCCTGACCCTGCCCTTCGAACAGTTCCGAAACCCAAGACGCGTTCGTATTTCTCCTCCTGCTGTGAACCCGCTGTGGCTCTTCTGCAGATTGTCCCTGGCGGTTGGCGAGCTGCTGGCGATGGTCTTCTTCGATGCTTCTCTCGAGCATCTCAAGGTTCTGGCCCATGGCAGTCTTGCTATTCCAGAAATCAATGCAGCGCTTGTACGTCAGATACAAGACGTCGAAGCGTGATTTGACCAAGTCGGGGAGTTTGCTAGGAGGGCCATAGTGCTGACGGACCAGCAGGACCGCCGAGGCCAGCCAGATTGTGCTGAGTAGGAAAGGATTCATGTGCTTGATGTGATCTTCGGAGCTGCGGTTTACAATCATGAATATGTTGTCTGCCGCCTCAAAGTACTGTCGTGCCGAGGCATTGTTTGTGTCCTTCAGGTGTAAAGTAAGCTGGCCTATGGTCTCTTCTGAAGCCGGCGGAAGCCCGGTACGGCTGGTTTGTCGGAAGGAGACGTTGTCGGCAAAGAGCTCGTAACGGTGAATCATGAGACGCGTGAGCTGCGTCATGACAAAGATGTTGTAGATTCCGCAGTGGAGCTGTTGGTTGGAGTCGGAGCCCCCGACGGCCGGAGGATCAAAGCCAAGGTACTGGCTACGGTAGCGCAAGTGGTGTGGAAGAGCCATGGCGAAGCATTGGATCGAGTTCGCCAGGATCTCGAGTTTTTGACGCGCTTCATCGACTGAGCGCCGACGGCCATTGATGTGACGGTCTGATCCGTCGCGCTGGGGCTGCTGCGACTGCCAGCGCACGCCGTGGGGACTGGTGATGAGCTGCGCGTCCTTCATTATGGAGTTGATGATGAGAAACCAAGCCTTGGGCGACTGGTTGCCTGCTTCCTGGGTGGATTTCCATCGTTGGCTGGGATCCGACTCGAGGAAGCTGCTCGGGGCCGGTCGGTCCTGAAACCAGTCGGAGTCGTCGACGGGCAGCAGAATCTCCATCTGCGTCCAGTCCATAGCTGTCGGCGTTCGGCGGATTGTGCTGGCAAAGACATCCATCTCCCATATCGCCCACCACGCCCTCCGCTTCTCCTCGTTGTCGCGCCATTGGATCGGATCCTCGGGTCCCGCTCGATCGGTCTCTAACGCGTCCACCAGGTGAAGATTAAGCTCGTACGCCAGCCTCACGCAAAGGCCAAGAGATCTCCATGCCCTTCCGTGAACGCCACGGGTCAGCTGGCAGTGTGTCGCCACGATGAGAGCTTGGAGGATGCACAAGGGGGGCTGGTCATCGCCACATTCGTCCAGCGCTTCGTCGATGAACCGAAAGGCGAGGCCGAGAAAGTGATCGGGCCCGGGGAGCTCCTCGTCACCAGTGCGCTCCGCTCCAGTGTCCTTGTTCAGTTGCAACTCGGATATGTAGAAGCGAGCGGAGTACCCTATCACGGCAGAGAGAAGGGCACAAATCTGTGCCACTGATGTCATGTTGCCAAGTTTTGCACTAAACGTCGGCTCATGAAAGATATTGATGGCCACCATGTTGTCAAAATAGCTGCGAATGCTGAGGAGTGTGCGTCAGCCTTGGCTGTAGAACGACCAGCCCTCCCCTTGAACTCTCCGCCAAAGAGGAAAACAAAGGAGAGGAGAGTGGAAAGAGGAGGGTTTATAAAAGTAAGAGCTTACAGGAGATCCAGCATGGGCTGGGATAGCTGAAGATCTTGGCTGGCCCGTTGAAGGAGCGTGTGCCGACGTTGGTCCATCTCGCCATTCTGGGGGTGCTCCTGTTCCTTCTCAGGTGTTGAAACTTCGTGAGACGGGTGGAGGACAAAAGACAGGTCGTGCATGTTGAAGTGTGAGGGCTTCCACTCGCAGTCTCGGTCGGCTTGGCTGGGTTCCTTGCCATGGTCGCATGGGGCTTGGGCTTTTCTGGAACTCTGGCTTCGAACACGGTTGCACTCGCCATATCCGGCCACACGCTCTGTCGACGCTTTGAAACCAACCCATTGGTCATGTGGGGAGCCAACCGATGGATTTTGTTGCTCATCCTCTTTCCGAGCTGCGCGGGCTTGTGTGCGCTTCCTTGACCGTTGTATTGACCCTTAGACGAAGGGATTCGCCGTTAGCTTTGGGCCGATGGATCGGCAACACGCAGCGTGACGGACAGCACAACTCACCGATTCTTGGACCGGGCTTCATAGAACGAAGGGGATATTTGCATGTCTGGTCGGTTTGTGCACACACTTTGCAACGCGGTAGCTGTCGGTCACTAGGCTAAAGTCAGCATATGCATGATCCGACAATGCGAAGAACGAGGGGGCAATCACCATTTCACTTTGCGTCTGAACATCAAAAACAAGAGTCAGCATGGCACGAGTAGATAGACACGGCGGCCTCATGGCGGGCAGTCCATAGCGCACCTACGACAGGAATGACAAGCTATGGTAGACGAGCCTCTTCCGTCCTCGCGATATGTCGCCGTCGACCACATATCTGCACCTGACGCCTGATTGATGAGAGGAAACAATAGCACACTGACTGCCTTGAGATTGTTTTTGAGGGGATGCTACCGGTATGGTAAGCTGGTTGCGCGACTGGGCGCTCGGGGAAGAGAAGCCGGGGGGTCGGCTCTTCCTGGTTCATTTGGGCTAGGGTCTTATAGCAGCTGCACCCCGCAGTATGTCCCGGGGTCATGTGGCAGGCATTGTGTGGAGTGGACGAATGAGTACCAAGCTCGTCTAGGCCAAGCGAGCTAAGTACATAAGTTACGTAGTACCTACTACTGCGTAGTAGCTTTCACGGGTAGGCGGACTTCTTCTTGCGTGCGGAGTAAATCAATCACCTAAAAGTCAGGCAAGATTGATCGGGGAATCCAAGCCAGCGATACCAAATAATAGTCCACACGTACGGAGACTGTTCACATGGTCTTATGAAAAGACTGCGTATTACAGTCAATAGGCACGTCAACAATATCATGCTGCTTGGTTAGGCTATACTGCAAGATCAGGATGTTGCGGAGAACATCGACCAGGTGACTTGGGGATTACAGCGCTGCGTGGCTCTAAACTCTTAAACGCAATTGCAGCTAACGATTCGGTCTAGCGGTTCATGCGCCAAATCCGTGCTCTAACGATTAACACAGATACTCTTGACTATCCTAATATATGATAACTCTCCAAGGGGCAAGCGACTTAACACTTGAGATTTTGACCTCCTATAGCTACAGAGGACAAGTCAAAAATGACATCTCTCTTCTATTATTATAGCGTAAACTCAGGCAGAACGGCGGAGCACACAAATTCGAACCCCTGCTGCAACCCATGATGCACGGGCTATGTTCGGTGTATTTTCGATGGGATTTGTAGAGGTGGGGGTCTGACAGGGCTAATAATGATGGCAGATCGCCTTGCAACAAATAGGAATTAGCCCACAGCGCTTGGAAAGACTTGCTTCCTGCAGCTAGCCCCGCCGAGGCGACTCCCAGCTGATGGAAAAAGATCTACCAGTAATTGCAGTTCCTGCAGCCAACGCTCGCACGCACAGGACCGACCTGGGGTCAGCGCCAGCTCTTGCAAGTTCATAAATACCTGCTTATTCTATATCACTCTACAAGCCTCTTTTTTTCAAGGGTAGAGATGCCAAGTTTATAACAGGGGATAAGCAGGAAGAAGGGCTGTTCAGTAGGTACTGAGCGCATGCAATTATGTTGTAAAACATTTCGTATCTTTGCCACACCAAGTACCACATTTTTGATAGTATCGCATATAAATTAAATCATGGAAAACTCCCCCAATACAATAATGTATTCTACCAGTTGGCACTTTTATTGCCATCCAGTTATCTTGTCGGAATCCCATTAGAAACCTCTCCATCGCTATAGTTTAAACGGCGGCGCGGCTGGTACAGGCCCCGTAAAAGCTTCACCAGTAGCTGCGGTCGTCTTGCCACTGTCTGCCAAGAGTATCTGGCCATTGATGGCCGCGGCAAGATCAGAAGAGAGGAAGGCGGCAATGTATGCGATCTCCTCCGGCTCTGCTGCGCGGTTGTAGTATTTATGCTCATCCGCGTAGAGTCCGCCCCGCTCGAAGAACTTGGAATGCGTTTTTGCAATCTCGTCCTCACTGGCTTCGAGCTTGTACGGGTTACCGCTCTCGGCCAGTGTTGAGCTCGTGAGGATGCTCGACTTGGTGACGCCGGGCGCTATGCCGTTGACTCGGATATTGCTCGAGGCCAGCTGCACTGATCCGCTTTCCACAATACCATTGCAAGCATTCTTGACGGCTGTGTAGGCGAGGTCGGCGTAGGCCCCTCCGAATGCGGCACACGACGACGTGATGATGATGCTGCCTTTGGACTTTGGCTTGTCGGATGAGCAGACGCTCATTGCTTGCGCGCCATGCTTGACAGCCAGGTATGGTCCCTTCTGCATGACTTCGACGGCGCGCATAAAGTGCTCCGAGCTCAACTCGTGCAGTGGACTGTTCGAGGTCAGTTCTATCTCCAGTCTTGGCTCACTTGGGCGTTGAGGCGAAGCATCAACCTGTGACGGTTGTGTTTTCCACTAACCGGTAGATTGCGTAACCAGCGTTTGCAAAGAAAAAGTCGAATCTGCCGTGCTTCTCCAGAATGTCCCTCAACAGAGCCACGGTCTGTTCCTCGGATGAAACATCGAGCTGACGGCCCTCAACCCGACAGCATGTACCAGTGGCCTTGGTGGCCTCCTTCAGCGCGTCTAACGCCCCGAGATTGAGGTCGCAGGCATACACCACTGCCGCACCAGCGCTGGCTGCTACCAGCACCATTGACCTTCCAATACCGTACGCCGAGCCAGCGCCGGTAACGATGCCGACCTGACCTTTGAGAGAGATTTCCAACATGGTTTCGAATGTATGCAATTCACGTAACAGTTTCTATTGGGATGCAGCGCGGGGGTGGGGGGAATAACGTGATTTGACGGTGTTTTTCTTCTTCTTCTCTATTCTCGGTGATGGCGTTGAATTAATTTTATATTTCATGTTGCAAGTGCTGATGATACCTCATTCGTCTCAATGCCTGAATACCAAAGTGGCCGTTTATCCACGGAACCTCAGAAGCGACTGTTTGCGGGGGAATCTACACGATTTCCACCGATGCCAAGTCATGTTTGCTAGGAATGCTTGGACAAGCCGTGGCTGATGGCCAGGACCCTGGGTTACGATGATGGGCCGAACTTGATCCGCCCTGGCAAACGCCTGACGGTCTAATTAGCGTACTCAACCGGTGTACTAGGAGAAGTAAAGCTCAAGCGGGGGGGATACTGTATCACTTGACTGACTGATTAGGCGCTATTCCAAGAGTAGTCAAGAGCAGTCACGATGGCGTCTCGCTAATTTGAGAACCCAGTTCGCTCATCTGGTTTCTGGATGAAGAGTCTTGCCACCGAGCATACGAGTACGATTAGATGTCGTGTGGTGCTGTAATTGATTACTCCTACTTAGCTACTTGGCCTGTAAAATAATAAGAGAAAGATGGGGGGGAGATGATGAATACATTGAAATAAAAATACATTGCACTGCCAAGTCGGCCTCTACTAATGCAGCGAGAAAGTTGATACCCTAGTCTACATCAAGAACCAGTCTCATTTTATTCGTGCTTAGAACTACGTCAACTCAGCGTACTGGTATGACATTGATTCGGTGTCAAACGCCCTCAGAGAAAGGTTCACGAGTAGTTGCGCAGCTATCATGCCAACCCGTGTGATTCTTGATGAATACCATCTACCCTATATGCGATGAATTCATAAGTTCAGCCATCATCACCACGGCCACCACGTGGTAATCGTGGGGTTCCATACAACCTACACATTCCCACAGACATGGTAAGGCTACCACACCATCATTCACTTCTAGTCTGTTCGAACGGTAGTCCCCACCCTTGTACTTGATTCCAAGCTTGGTGACGCTTAGTGACGCAATGCCGGAATTCATATATGTTTCTAACTCAATGCTTGGCTGCAGTCACATTGCTATTTCAGACATCTTAACCTTCCCCCTCCGATCTAATGCCATCCTCGCTTGGCGCAACTCTCCTAGCCAAAAACCTTTTGCGTATCCTCGTTCTGGGCCCAAATCTTCTTGAGCTGCATTCGCGAAATTCGCCAGCCCTCCGGGGTGCGCTTGAAGTTGAATTTATAGGGGCCGCCAAAAGCGTGGTACTCGTGTGGCTTGGACGTGTCCATAGTAGCGGCGAACCAGAGATAACAAGTGCCGCTGGCCTCGTCGCCATTGACAGTGAAGTTCATGTTGGTCATGGAGTGCTGCAATCCCTGGAATCGGTCCTCGGCGTTGCCAGCGATGGCTGCGATTTTGTCTCGTCCCACAACATCACCCCATTTCTCGAACCCGAGCACGCCGTCGGGGATGAAGCAATTGGCGAACTCGTCCCATTTGTGATCATCGGCTGTGTTGCAGTAGCGATTCAGTAGAGTGGCGAGAGCATCCTTGTCTTCGAGAAGTTGCAGTCTCCTCAGGAGAGACCCGATATCCTGTAAGTCGGCCATATCTTTGATGACGAGTTGTGGATTTATGCGGTGGGCTGCGAGTTGAAATGTTGGAACAGAATTGCCTTTCACTTATCCATTGCAGTGACGACTAAGTAATCACTCAAACTCGCCACGTCAGATGCCTTTAAGCTGTGCGTCTCTTCCGCTTGACCGACTTGAATATGCGGGGCGGGATCTAGGCGATGGGACGTGGGATATTCCCGGGACATAATGTGGTCGATCGTGACCGACAACGGTCCATCTTCGGGGATCCTCCGGGGAATCCAGATTTTCGGGTTGATATGCTCGCCTGATTTCCCCAGTCATCGGAGAAGGAAATAAAACAAATTAGTCGGCCTGTCTATGATGCACTCAGTTACTATATCAGATATTGGGGGGTTATTGAAGGAAGCGGACCCGCTTTCGGGTGGGATCAACTCGAAAGCTCTGGTCACACTCAAGTGAACGATCAGAGCCCTCGGCAGGCTGTTTTCTGGCGAGTTGATACATCCGACCTTAATGACTTCGGTCAAGGTAGTCCATTTGTCAAGAACTTTGGTGTAGGGTTTCCTGGAATACTATGAGTGAGGTACCAGACGAATGTGTATTCAAGATCACTGGAGCCATTGCAAGTAAATACTTTGGTGACTGCAGCCACAGCCCAGGAGCCAGATTTAATATGTTGAATCCAGGATACAATTACAAAACGGAAAATTATATATGAACTTGTGCATGATGTGTTGGCAGGGTAATCAATTTTCTTTCAATTACTCAAGTCAGACGGTCGTTCCGTCGTAGGGCACCCCATTCGAAGCCATATTTGAAAATGTCATGTAATTTATATGGATAATTGCTCGAGACAAGCCAGGGCTTATCTTGGCCACGCGTTCCGGAGTATACTTGTCACTACCAAATGAATGCTTCCTTTGGGAATACCAACTCCCCGTCAACAGTCCAAAGGTTCCCATGACTGCAACCCTTGTTGTCAATACAGCTTGTTGCTTGATATCTCCAACAAATCTGATGATGACAACCGCATGGCACTGGTCGGGGCCCTGTCCATGATAAAGCTCCCACACTTGAACTAACTTCAATTATACTGCTGTAGAAACTGCTCCGCTCCATGAAGCTCCTTCTTAATCACATCAATATGTTCCTGACTTCGCGGAATAACCCGCACTTTGAACGGTAGGGGACACACGAGGTTAGCGGACGTGTACGCGTCTGGATCCAACGGCTGGACCTTCTTGGTGATGGGATCCAGAGGCTCCGCAAATTCAAACGCCCAGAGGAGTTTGGCTGTGATTCGCCACATGCTTCTCTCGGCTAAGTGAATGCCGGGACAGATACGTCGGCCGGCACCGTACCCATAATGGTGTGAAGCTCTAATAAGTTAGCTTTATGGACCGGGAAATAATAATATCTAATGTCACGAAAGGGCGAAATAATGGGAAAATACTTATCTCTGTTTTGGTAATCAGGTCCGATTGCGTAGTCATTTGCCAGCTTTGGGTGTTTCGCGAAACGCTCGGGGTCGAACGTGTTGTGATCAGGGTAGTAATCCTCATCAATATGCATGGCTGATACTCCAACAAAGATTGTGCTTCCCTTGGGGATGAGCATGCCATTATACCAATCATCTATACGCACGTCAATAGCCGAGATTACCCATCGTCTGCTCCAAGGTCATGCAGTGTTTTAATTTTCGACTTACCTCTCGTCACGGTATGTGGCAAGCCTAGGTCAGACCTGTCGCTCCAGTTAGCATCTTTTCATCTCTGCCCTCCGCAGCAGAGTGAACACGAACGTTGATCGCCACCGAAGACCTTCTTTGACGATAGCGTTGATGTAAGGGAGCCGCTGGAAATCCGAGAACAGGGGTGCACGTTCTGTCCCGCAAACAGCGTCAAGCTCAACGCGAGCCTTGGCCTGGATCTGGGGATTCTTGGCCAGAGCAAGGATCAATGTGAGTATTTGATTCGCCGTCGTATCAGCGCCTGCTTCCATCAACTCGCCGAAAAGGTTGTTGAAGGCGTGATCTGTCATTGGCCAACCGTTCTTGTTGTACTCGTCGAGCTTCAGATCAATCATGCATTCGCGCATGTCACCTCGGTCTCTTCGCTCGTTGACCAATTTCCTGGCGTGACCCCAGATAGAATCCATGTGGTCACGCATCTCGTACGCTCGTGTCTTCCACTTGCCTGGCAAATACCAGAGAGCGGGAATGAGGTCGATTGGGGGATTGGCGCCTGGCTCGATTGCCTCAAGCCACTTGCATTTATGTCAGCTTTACTTGCCTTACATGACGTGTCGTATCTTGGAGCAAAAGTGAGCTAACAAGACGCTTACCTTTTCAATCATCTTGGAAACGTCTTTAAACCAAAAAGAATCGAGATCCTTGGCTCTGAAACCCCATGCGAGGACAGCCGCTACCGAGCTTGAATACATTCGTGCATAACTAAAGAAATTCTCGGGATCGGTCAAAAGTCTGTTCATAAAGAGTACGGCCCTGTGTCCTGATATTAGAAAATGTTGCAGATGCATTCTCCCCAAATGAAAGAGGGGCACATACTCGGCTTCTTGAACGCGAAAGTGTTTCTCGTCGAGGGACTTGGGGTTCAAGTTACGGGTAACGACGGTTCTTTTCTCTCTCCACAGCGGCGTCTGGTTCTCCATCGTCATGTGGTTCCCGCGCGTGATAAAGCGAGGTACGACGTTGGGGGGCCTGTCGGAATAAATGCTTCCCTTTTTATCGAGAAGCTCATGAACAGCCTTGCGATCACAAATGACGATGATATTGCCTGGCCCAACCTTCAGAGAGAAGATTTTTCCGTATTCGGCCTGCCATTCCATAAATCTGCGTAATAACAGTCTTGATCAATAAAATATCTTGAGAGATGGGAGAAGAGATGGCGAGACCAAGAATTGTGATAGGCGGTAGACTTACTTCTTGCCCAAGCCTGTCGTTGGGATATCCAGCATGTTGCCCAGGATGGGCAGCGTCGGTGGCCCTGGTGGTAAGCGTGGATCTCGCTTTCCCACCTGAAGGAGCCGGTATATTCCATAGATAAAGAATGCTGCGGCTAGGGCAATCACACTCTGTACAGGCACAATCATTTCTCCTAAGATGAACCCACAGACAGTCAAGGGTTTTCTTAGCAGGTTTCAAAGAGTGAATCAGTAGGATGTCCGAATCATTCGTGTATTGAAAGCGGCTATCGTGGGACTGACTTGTTCATAAAGGCCTCCAAGTCTCCCGCAACAAACAACGTTTAGATCCCAACGTCAAGGATGGATCTAGAAGAGTAACCAAAAGGGGTAATTAAGAGACTCACAGCGGACGGTATATTGATGCTACGAGGGTGGGCTCAAGCCGGGACACTTATTTTTGCTTGCAATACTGTGCTCAGCAAAACTGCTTAATGCCCAACACAGTGTCACTATCACCAGATCCCTCGTCACGGACTAGATAGGGAGTTCTGCGATCAACCGCCCCCCCACTGCTTAGAACTGAAAGTTCTCATTTGATCCCCATGACAATTGGCGCCTTATGTCCAATAAAATTAGCCAGCATCCCAGGAGACATGGTAAAGCTCCTCACCAGGAAGAGAAGTCGTACGCGGAGTGTTTGCACTGTGTACCTCTAGTCTGAACTCAAAGGTAAGCTACAGTCCGTCCTCGCTAGTAGATGGAGAAGACCCTAGTCTGTCCGAAGTTGCTGCGATATCATACCGCGTCGGCTGAGTGGAGCATTGAAAATGGAACAGCCCTCATAGGTGGGTTAAGTTAAATAACCCGTCAGCTTGTCCCAAAACGACTTCCCCAGACCCACCCCAGGACTAGGACTATCTGGGACCGGCTGGGGTGGGGAAGACATGTTGGAAAAGGCTAGTCAAGCTAAGATAGGCAAAGATCTATTCAAGACGGAACCACAGGTCCAGTTGCTAAGTAGGCGCAAATAACCCGGATAACCCGAAATGATTCCAATATGACTCCAAGGCGGCAAGCTGCTGGGTGTGTTGTTTTCGCCATGTCGAGTAATGGTACCACGTTATAAACCATTCAATTTCAGTTCGGCTTGCATCAAGGTGGTGTTCTTACACATCTTGAATGCCAAAGCTTCATGAAGCAACCCACCCCCAGAAATTTTCTCTTCGCTCGACCCAGCCAGTTTTTCACTATCTCCATCGTCATTTGTATTTCGAATTGCACCAAAGACAGAGCTCGTCGCCATGTCTGCCAAGGAGTATCTGCAGGAGCAGGCATACCACTATGCTGATGTAGGTCGCAATAGGCCTGTGCTGGTTTTAGGCGTGGCCATCAGCATCTGGGTTGTCGTTAAACTTCTGTTCATGGGCAGAAGAGAGAAGGGTCTCCCTCCAGGGCCCCCAACTCTGCCTATCCTGGGAAATCTTCATCAGATTCCATTGACTGGCCTTCACGCAAAGTATGTCCGGCCAATACGTTTACCCATCCTTGGTTTGTCGGACTTCACATCTAATTCTCTGGGTGATTCAGATTCCTTCAATGGGGCGAACAGTTCGGAGGTGTCTTCTCCCTAAAGCTCGGCTCTGGAACAATGATCGTCCTCTACGACCGCAAGGCAATTCATGACTTGGTGGATAAAAAGGGTGTCATCTACGCGGAGCGACCCAAAAATCACGTGGCTGATATTGTCACGCATGGCGACAGCTTCGCGTTCATGAACAACACTCCGATGTACAAGCAACAGCGCAAGATTGCTGCTCATAACTTGTCGGTAAGTTTCCTTGGCTTTGGAACTCTTGGAATAGTCTTCTGTTCTCGTTTCTATTTGCTCAACGGTAATTAGCCGAGAGTTCTTGACGAAAATGCCGGTCATATCCAAGACGCTGAGTAGGTTATTGCCATGTTTTTAACCCTGTTCCTCGTCAGATTGCTTGTGTGACTAAAACAGTCGACCTACAACTATAGAATATCGGTTCTTATGCGCGACCTGATCGACGACCCCGAAGACTTCTACCATCACATCATGCGAACCACCTGTTCAGTAGCCTGCGCTATGGTCTTTGGGCAGCGAGGCAAAACTTACGACTCCTTCTTTGGCCGCGTAGGTCCTCACTTTATACGCCTGCTGTCGTGGCAATGTTGATTTGATACCCTGCTGACAATCCTAGTGTGTTTACGATGCGATGGACTTGGTAAGATTGAACTAAAATATTGCATAGACTCCTGGAACTCATAATATTAATGTCAATCGTTATGCCAGTATAGTGAGTCTCTCGAGCCCGGCGCCAATCCTCCGGTGGACGAGTTCCCCTTCCTCAAGTACCTTCCCGACTTCTTAAGCCCATGGAGGTCGCGTGCCAAGCGTTCTTATGAGGCCATGGATCTCACCTGGGCCAAAGCCCGAGAGTTACTCGACAAACGACGTTCGACTGGAGAGCGCCGCGTGTGCATAGCTGATAAAGTTCTTGACGATCCCAAACAGCTAGTCATGATGACCGACATGCAACTTAACCATTTCCTGGGCGTCCTGGTCGAGGGTGGTGCTGATACCACTTCGTCATCCATCCTGACCATGATTCTCTGCCTTTCGCGTCACCCCGAGTACCAGAAAATGGCTCAAAAGGAACTGGACGCACTTTGCGGCAACGAAAGGTAAGTCCTTTGACTCCTCGAGTATGGTCGTTTTGAGTTGCTAAGTTGTTTTTCTATTAGGATGCCGGTGTGGTCCGATTTCGCTAAACTGCCATTCATCAACTGCATTGTGAAGGAGGGTTTGAGGTGGCACCCCGTGTGAGTGCCTATCACAACAGATTCGATGCGTTGCCATGAAGTATAACCCGTTGCTAATCAAGTTGACCTCCAGGCTTCCCCTTGGAGTCCCTCACCGTGTGGCACAAGATGACTACTACGAAGGCATGCTTATCCCCAAAGATGCGACTGTCGTCATTCCTTCATATGCCATCCAGAGATCTGAGCGTTACAACTACGAGGATCCCGAAGAGTTTAAGCCAACAAGATTCCTCAACCACCCACGCTTAGCCAGTGATTATGCCGGAAGCCCAGACTTTAACAACCGAGATGAGTATCCTAAACGTCAGTTGAATAAGATCAAAAAGCTAACAACCCCAGCACATCATTACGGATATGGCGCTGGCCGCCGCATATGCCCCGGCATGCACCTGGCTGAGCGTACGCAATGGCGTGCCATCGCTAAGCTATTATGGGCATTTGACATTGAATTGCCGACGGACCCTGCCACGGGCAATAAGGTTATCCCCGATCCGGAAAACTACAAGGAGGGAATTGCCCATGGACCGAAACCGTTCAAAGTCGTTTTCAAGCCCCGCAGCCAAAAGCACGTCAACCTCATCCGAGGGGATGTTTTGGAGAGTTTAAAGGTGCTGCAGGCGTACGAATAGACAGTGCCGTTAATATAAGGAGCTTCATTGGACATTTCTCGTGGTGTAGTGACAGGGTCATCCAAGTATCTTGGACTTTTCATTTGTCATACAAGAGTCTATTCACATACATTTTTACACCTTTACTTACCGTTCTCTTATTTCGTATTTGTGTGAATTCTTTTCGTGCTCTAGCGTGCTAAAAGTAGACAGAATGTTCGCTACTGTACTCGGCTTCTAGAATTTGCATAATTTAATTTCGAAAAATGTCCAACCAGGATTCGAATTTCAAGAATATTACTTGGCCGTCACGATATTTATTTGTTCTCGTGACATTTAAATCCTTTGACATCAAGATGAATGTCCCCAATCAAAAGACATTGAAGAAAGAAACAAAAGGAAGAAATCGTGTGATGCCAATTGAAGCGTCAGCCATTCGGGCCCAATGCGGCAACCTCGGTTAGGCCGACGAGTAGTAAGGTGGGGTCGTTTGGTAATGCTAATAAGAAAAATCACTCCTAGAAGAAGGGTGTACAATAGAGAAAAGATCATGGTGTTTGCCTTTTTAATTGTGCTTCTCACCGTCTTGGGAAACAAGAACTTTGCCACCCTTCCTCCACACTCTTTAGACTTGGTACAATCGTCTACCCCTGTGATGGGCGAAACACGTAATTGTGAGGGCGACCCCCGCCCCCCGGAGTAATTTATCTTGACCGGATTCTTGCCGAGTCTGGTACAGACCGGGGGGACGGCCAAGACCCGATCTTGGGGTAAACCTGTCCACTCACATGGTCTGATTTCAAACTAGACATGGACTACTGCGTGGATGGACGCATGGGGCTTGCAATTCAAGCTAACGGTGGGACCTTTGCCGTCATCACCGCTATTAGGTACTACGTAGCACATCGTTACGGGCTTTGGTGGCCTAGCCTGAGCTATTGATGGACGGATCACAGTAGAGTTCAAGGGTATTGCGGGGTCCCCGCGTTCATTCTTCATTCCCCGCTCTTGATCACCGGAGCGGAGCTTCCTGCGGTGTTGCATATGCATCTGTCACCTCGACGATATTCACATTGACCATATTGTTTCGTCTGCCTCACTTCGAACTTCGACATTCGAGTGATTGTGGTACGCACGGCGGCATATTCATCGTTTCGCTACGCCGTTCCGCTCCGCCCCACCTCCGCTGTATCGACCGATGCCGCCTCTCAACATGACTGCCCGTGATGACGGCGAGTTGGACAGCCAGGCTGGCCGCGCGGGCTCAGCACGGTCGAGTCTGGCTTGCGAGTCCTGCAAGAGGTGAGCGATATCTGACCAAAATTCAGTCCCCTTGTCGCGCGATGCTAACACATATGGGCACAAGGCGGAAAGCTAAATGGTAAGTGAAGTACTGCCAATTGAAACCGCATCGAGAAGCCTCAGATGACTCAATGCCTACTCGTAGTGACCGCCGTCTCCCGAGCTGCGTTCTGTGCCAAAAGACGTCAGAGAACTGCGTGTATCCCACTCAACGGCTCAAGCCAGGCCCCAAAATCGGTGTGTGCATCTCCAACTAGAAACCGGGCAAGACTGCTCATGCGATTGCAGGGTCCAGCAGACGCAAGCATCAGCGGCTACGAGTGGATGGGATTGAGCCAAGACCCTCTGCCAGCCAGAGCCTCGACGACGTTGCCGACGACGTTGCTTCTGACAAGCGCGTAGGAATGCAGCCCCCCCAGGCGTCAAGCCGCATCGACCTGCATGACGGCTGCACCACCAGCAACCGTTGGCGTCCTCCTTCCCCAGCGGCTGACAGGCGGATTTCCAACCCTGAAGGTCTGCTACCGGCGCCTCTTTCGCCGAGTGAGCCTGATGAAGCCGAGTTGGTCGATATGCCGGGGTCGTCGCCCACGGACGCGGACACAGTGGCTGCCAACTTCATCAAGGCGATTAGCTTGTCATCATTAATACACCCCAGCCATGAGAGCCGTTTAACACCTCCCAGGAGCCAGGCGGGCGTTTCTCCGGCCAGCTTCTCGGCCAGCCCTGAGGGGACTCAGTCCCTGACCACGCAAGCATGCCGTTTGATCAGCATCTCCAGCGAGTACATGTATGAACTGTATGTAAAGTCGTTCTCTTAGAGCTGACTGTAGGCTGGGGGCTCTTTTTGGCTCACCTGACCACTTTCTTGACTTACTTGTATCCAAGTTCTAACCCGGCACTTGTTGCAGGACCGATATCTACTTCGACAACATGACGTCCTTTTCCCTTTTTCACCAGCCTTCATTCAGCACGAAACTACACAGCATCAGCAACGTCTTGCACCTCAAAGCCCTCTTTGCATCCATGTTCGCATTTTCTGCTCTATTTGGGAATTCTTCCTCCTCCCACAATCAACGCCAGTCGTCGCCTGCCGTATCGTGCCATGTTGAGGAATATGAGAGGTTTCTCAAGCTCGCCACGAATGCCATCGACGAATCATTGGAAGAATGCGAGGATGACACGCCACCGTTGGTTTTATTGCAGGCCATGGTCTTGACCACCTATCACCAACTCATTCGCGGTGTCAGGGGCCGGGCGTGGCGGTTGCTGGGGCAGTGTGTTCGGATTGCATATGAGCAAAGGCTGCATCTGATTGACTACGAGGCACATAGTAATGCTCCAGCTCAGGTTGATGTCCTTCGGTGGTCGGTGAATGAAGAGAAGAGGAGGTGCTGGTGGGCTCTCTGGGAGATGGACGTCTTTGCCTCCACCATCCGGAGATCGCCCATGGCCATTGACTGGTCGATGAACCAAACATATCTCCCCGTCGACGATGCGCTGTGGTTCTCCAATCAGTATCAGGCCAGTTGCTTCCTGGAAAAGGATGCCATGGACCGCTGGAGGAGGCTAAAGGAATCTCGGAACGAGAGTCCAGTGGCATGGTCCATTGTCCTCCAGTCACTGATGCGCGAAGCACAGGTCCTTGTGCGTGGGAACGTATCGGGCATCCTATCTGACACGGGTCATGATGATCACGTCTCGGCCTTGCTGCAGTATTTTCACAATGCCTTCTGCAAAAAGCACTCCTCGGAGGACGAAAAGCAACAAACCATTCTCGAGAGCCTCCGGTGCACGATATCGGCTCTCCCGGAGCATCTGGCCTATCGCGGCGAGTGTCTCGATTTCGCGACCAACGGCCGAGCCTTTTCGTCGGCAACCTCTGCAGGCTCCACGAGTAAGCATGTGCGACAGCTACACGCAGCCAAATACAGCATCTTCCTGACAATCCAACTCGCGCGCTTCATGGTATACCACCACTTCAGCTTCGATGAGGTCCTCAGCGGCACAATCCTTGCCGACACGCCTCGAGGTCTCGGACTCGGCTGGACGGCTGCTGCAAGTCTTGACTCGCCCGACTGCAAGGGGTTGAGCAACTGTGTCGAGGTTGCCGACGATGTCTTGGCAATTGTCAAAAACAGCGTCCACTGTCACGTCCAGTGGGTAAATCCATTCCTTGCCAGCATAGTCTGGATAGCGACAGCTATGCAGATTCTTCGCAAGGTCTTTGAACCCGGTACCGACGTGAACTTGACCGAGTCCAAGTGCGAGGTCTTGCGTCTTACTTGCGAGAAGTACTCGCAGTTTTGGGGCACACCGATAGCCCTGATGGACAACTTGGATGCTCTAGAAGGCCATCTCCGAGAGCAGCGCATAGGCGCCGTTGCGGTCGTGGGCAGTGGGAGGATGCCGGAATGCAAAGATAGGCGAAATAGCCAATCGCGGCCGCATGGACAAACCGATGACGCAAACGCTTCCGATTGTGCGGCAACAAGTAGGCCTGTATTTCGTCAGCAGGCTTCGACCCTAGACATACCAGAGTTGACGCAACCTTTGGGTAGCAGTGCGGAGGTCGGCCATCGACTCGTCGCAACAGATCCGATCCAAGAGGTTGATTGGATGAACACAATACTCCATCCGGAAGCCTTGATGAACTGGTCCACGACGTCGTTTTCAGAGTGTGATAACCCCGAATCGCAAGGTGGTCGGATAGCCGCGATCGATGCTTTGGATGCTTCGGGGCTATACGATCCCAATACCACATTCAGTGATCCTATAACATGGTTTCCTGACCAATCAGGAAACTTCATTCTCCCCTGACACGAAGTATGTCAGACAAATTAGACGTTTTAACACCTTGGGACTGCTCAACAAGGCTGGTCAGTCTTTTTAACATGTAAGGCTCCCCAACAAAAGTGGCAGAGCTCGACAGTAGGCCAAGACCATCGAGCGAGGGCGGGTATCCACAGTTCGATGTTGACTAAAGATGCTTGTCCAGTAATTACCGCCATCACAATTCGCCCGTCCGGTCCAATTTTCTGGTTGTTAGTCCGAGAAACTCAAAGAGGTGGTGGGCAGCCGAAACAAAGCCATGCAGGGCTGAAAAGTTGTCTAGGGGCTCAGGATTCCGCTTGTACTTTGCCATATGCAACCCTTTATAATCCCAGTCACTACGCTTTCAGATCAGAAACCTTATTCAGTTAATTACTCTAATGAGCTTCCTTGCGTTACTACTGCAGTCAATTATCTTTGTAGAAAATACTTAAATCTGCCTATTTAAAGATTAAAGTATCATAGAGATGTACCGGAATCAGCTTTTCAACCTCTGCACCATGTAGACATGACAAAGTCTCGCATAAGTTTACAGCTTTCCGACTGACAACTTAGTCGTATATAGCAGTAAAATTTGGGAGCAGACGAAATCTTTCTCAATCTCTGCTACCACGTATGCATACAAGTATCCGAATGCGACGCATCCTCAACCCGTGTCTAGACATACATACATTCCTCCGTTTGACGTGAGCCTGAATTTCTTTTTTTCTTGCATCACTAACTTGACAATTTAAGGGTTTATCTCAAATATGACAGCAAAATAGATACACGCGATGCAGATACGAGGTATATTTCAAGATAGTGAGATAGTACACCTTATGACCGGGGGCCATGATCAACGCCGCACCAGAACATATAAAGGAAGCTATTAAAAATATGTAGCAATGCTTAAACGAATTTTCCAACACGAAGATTTGAAGATGGCTCGTCGTACATGACTAATTGTTGGCTGTGTGATCCCATTCGCTGGATATCTCCGAACGTCTTGGGACGACTCGGGGTTGAGGACGGTAAACCCCACTCAAATTGGCACGAATATAGACCGACGGCTTGCGAAAGTTTTTACGGAGTATTTGAGAGGCCCTCCTCGTATCGAAGATGTGGGATTGATTCCAGTCGTAGGTGATCTACCAATTGTTGCCTCGCAACGGAAGTGGAACCGAAACTGCTTTGAAAGGTCGGCGAATATCGCCCAAGACCTCAGATGCTATCGAAATTCCCTGAAATTATTAAATAGACCCCCGTTGGAACCTTAAAAATCGACCGATGAAACCCGGGATACCTATATTTAGACCGAAGTCTTGATTATAGATATGGCTGCAGCACGCCGATGGACCCATGTAATCCGCTTCATCTTGAAAGAGGATGGACGGATTCACCTTGGCCAGATCGACAGGAAGAAGCCCCTAGATATCCGCCTCGCTTTCCTGGAAGGGAAAGAGGTGGAAGCAAACTGTATTTCCAGATCCGTGTTCGATGGCGTCGTGACGGACCGAAAGTTACACGTTGCCGATGTAAGTCTTGTCCCTCTAGAGATGGCAATCATGAAAAGGACCATTTCACGGCTGACAACGATCCAATCACCAGCTTCTTTCACCGTTATAAATCGATCAGACACCGCTAATTCCATTAAACTACAGGGACCACGCCAATGAGGCCAACATGGCCATACCAGACGTGCCTGTTCTGTTTATCAAGCCCAGGACCGCCTTGAACGGACCGCACCCAGCAAAAATCAATATTCCCAGGATCGCTCAAGATGATACGGCTAATTAAGAAGCTAAGTTAGCAGTTGTCATCTCCAAGGAATGCCGCGATGTGCCTGAGTCAGAGGCGTACAACTATTTTCTAAGCAACACCAGCAGCAACGACGTTAGTGCCAGGGCCCAACAGCGGACGAACAGCCAGTGGCGCCTTAGCAAGGGTAAGTGTGCTGGGCTGTCATTGTTCTCGCTCATGGCGATATAGCTAACCCATGGCGTCTAGGTCTTGACGGGTAGGCCAGGATCAGATCTGTTCTCGTGTCTCCGTAGGCCATCCCGGACCCCCACAAACTAGACATCAAAGCCATACACAATTCCAATATAGTTCAAGATTCGAGTACGAGGTAATTTATTTCGCCCATCCTTTGGTCACCAGTCTATCTAACAAAATGTTGCAATCAGGGAAACGATCTTTGATATCCTGAAGACTATTGCATTTCTATCCCAGGGGACCACTCTAGAGAGAGGCACTGTCATCCTCACAGGAACAGGCCCTGGCATAGGAATGGTCAGGAGCCAAAGGTGGTTGTTTGACATGGAGATAACATAAGAGTGTATGTTCAGGACATAGGGACGCTGGTTAATAAAGTCCATCATGAGTAATCTATGGGCATGGATAGCATGTGCTATTTTTGTATACCCAAGACAGAGTTTTTGGATGTGGAAAAGGATCTTTACTAGATTCAATAAAAAATCTTGTTCCTCCTGACTCCGTGTCCCGCTCCAACAGTTGATGTGATGGTGTCGTAATTTTGATAACATAAACAAGTATCACCAGTACTGTAGTCGCGTTCACATGTGTTATAATCGATGGTATGTGGAGAATCCATGTGAAACTCCTCGGCGTCTTGATAGCTGTAGCAGAGGGAACCAGCATGGTTTACGTAGAACCAAAGTCCGGCTTTCTTTAAGCCATGTTCATCACGTTGGCCACACCATTAGTTCTTTTTCTTGATACACGTGGTAATAGCAGTGTAACGTTTGATTGCGAGCTGGGAGCTGACAGGGGTCTTAGATCTCTTTAATTTCTAGGTACAAAATGTCTCTAATGCTCTACAAACTCAATCATTCAAACAAGTAGGAAATTCTTTGACCTACCACACATCCTCCTGCAATAGCATGTTAGCAACAAGTCTATACTGAAGTTCATCACTCGCACGACGATTGGTGATGAGGGAGTAGCGTTCAAAATACCTGATAACGTCCGGAATCTTTGAGGTTGTGAAGGAATAGTTCCCCATCCACTGGCGAGAGGGAGCCAATCAGCTCTTGTAGAGTATGCTGCACTTCACGAGCCATGCATGAATCACCGCAGATGTAAAGATAAGCACGTTGGTCTAAGAGCAGCGGCAATATTTTAGAAGCGTGCTTTGATAGCAGATGCTGGACGTACACTTTTTCGCTTGTCTGACGTGAGAAGGCCGTGTGCATTTCGAAGCTATCACCTAAGATCTCGTAGGCAGCCTTGGACTTGGTCAGCACATCGCTTCATCATGTTGTTAAAGGTCCAGGTGGAAACTCACCTGCCACTCGGTCCCAAACATAAAGTCCTCAGACTGGTTGCGGCATCCGTAGAAGAGGACTGATTTTCCCACAGGTACTCCGGCCTGCATCTGCACCGACCTCTCCTGAACAAAGGCACGAAAAGGAGCTACACCAGTACCTGGTCCAATCATGATGATGGGACTGCTGGCATCGCTGGGCAGTCTAAAGGTCGACTGCCGGATGTGTATTGGAAGGCCAAACCCATAGTCTGTTTTATACTTTGCGAGATCGTACGTGATTTCCCCAGCTTTGGTCTGCTCTTCATTGTGGTGCTTTTTCAGAGCCAGCAGAAAATTTGACGCAACGCCATGGAATTGCCTGTCGGTAAGCTCAACAGTATCTGCGACTACTGTTAAAGACAGCGTGTCTTGTTGGACCAGGGAAGAGGACGAGATGGAGTAGTATCGGGGTTGGAGGGGTTTGACGCACTCCAACAAGACTGCAAATGGTACTGGTAAGGATTTGCTTGTCGGGCTGATGGCCTCGACCAACTGAGCCAAGTTGAGTAGTTGGCTGCTGACAACATGATGGAAATGGGTACTCTCGTGGGCCAATCTAAAAAAGGAAAGCTTTTGGGTCTCGTCAGTTGAGAATTGCGCCAGGACACTTAGTGATTGCCTCGATACGGGGCCTGCAATGTCCAACAGGTGGCGCGCGGCGGTATCGTAGGTCGTAGTGGCTATGATGGGGATGCGCGCTGTCGAGTGGGTGGCCGAGATGTTGAATTGAGTATTACGGTGCTCTAGAAGCCCGAAAACCCGCAAGAATCTTTCAATCTCCTCATTCGCGTTGACGGGCCAGATGGAAACGTGGTCTCCAGTCTCATAGGTTATGCCAGTCCCTCGAATATCCAATTCTAGATGTGTGCAATGGCGACTTGGGGAGCTGAAGAGCTCTTCGGACTTTGCCACTTGAACAAACACCCATTTCTGAGTACCCGTGGGATCATTCTGAGTCTTAGCAAGTTCGAGTATCGTCTTATCCTTCTCACTGTGGTCCATAGTGTCCGGTGGGTATGGGGTGACTACCAATGAGGGCTCGAATGGTGCCTTACGCTCCTCAAGGCCTTTGAGTTCTCGAAGAGACTGCCAAAAGGCGTCCTTCCAGCTGATGAATGAATCCTCGGCAGTCCCCTGTGCATCATCGCCTTCTCCAACATACGTCAGCCTGTTGGCACCAAGACTCCGTAGAACAGAGTCAACCTTCCGGACAACAGCATTGTAATGCTCGTACGTGCTGTTGCCCAGTCCAAATGCCGCATAAGTCATGTCTCGGAGAGGAGAATCAAGCTGGTCACTGTCCGAGAAGATGGGTCCTTGAGTCATGAAATCAAAGAATCCAACCGCGTTGTCTGTTGGCTCGCCTTCGCCATAGGAGGAGAGAACGAAGACCGCCACGCTTTCCTTTGCAAACATAGAAAGAGTTTCATAGTCGAAATCGGCAAGATCTGCAGCCATGGCCTCCAGACCAAATCGATTGCGACCTTCCTTGGCCAACTGCTCTGCCAGCTGCTGAGAGTTGCCCGTCTGGGAGCCGTAAAACACAACAAAGTTTATGCCCGCCTGACGCATCTTGTTCACGATGCATCTTGGCGAGCCTCTCTCACTATTTCCCTCGGTTGATGGTCGCGGCTGGTTTATAATTCGTCCGAGTAGCGATCTAAAGGTCGGTTGGACCTTGAAAAGTACAAGGAACAAGAGTCCAAGGCTGCAGGAATATATGAAGCTCATGATACCCGAGGTCTACACGATTGTCGTTAGAAAAGTCAAATGCACATATCCGCGCTTGCCAAGTCAAGTCGCGCCCTTTTTGAGCTACCTCTGCGTGTGCTCGAAGCGCCTGGGGCCACACGAGGACCTCGTCGAAGGCACTTTCGTTCTCAGACATGGTCTCGATCTACCGCTTGGAAAATGGTGGAGCGGTAAGGTTGTTGAATGTGTCTATGTCTACTTGGTGGTGATTGAGATGGGAAGATGCTCAAGGCTGGCATTGATCAAAAGCCCTGTCGTGGAGCAGTGTGGGTAAGTGGATTTAGTATCAACCGAACATCGTGCCTTTTCCGTTCCCCGTGCCATTCGCCTATCTTCCTTCGTTGTTAGTCCGCGGGCGCATTTACTACTACACAAGGCATCACAGTCGTACACGCAGGAAACAATTCCGGTAACAGGGGTGGAGAATTCGTGATCTGGGGATACAGTCAAAACGCGCCGATGAAACGGAGGCACAACCCATGTTATCGGAGGGAGTTCGGGCTATTTTCCTGTTGAGCTTGTGACCCGGTATTCACGAGTTGTGTGCCTAACGTGCACTTGGACGAGCCTATTTCTACCGGCGGAACATTTGCGCGGACGAAATTCGGTCAGCTCCACCCACCATGACTGTGTAGAATGCTGCTCCTTCGTCACAATCCATTGCCCGTCAAAGCCCAGGTAGCTTTATAGTCGCAAAAGGAAGGCCTCTCGCCTCCAAGACTACCTTTCGAACTGCAGTCACAATCTTTCGACACCTTGCGCAATGCTGATGTAGATCAAGTCAGCAGCACACAAGCTCATTTGGTCAGCCAAAGAACGAGCGCGACACGATGGCATCTCGACCGGCTTTACAGCTAATGATTATTCCTCACCGGCCAGTACCCTCGGACGACGAAATCAACAGAGATTTAGCACCAGCGTTTGAGATTCTACAAAAGTATGAGATTATTCCCCAATTGTGCCTCGCAGTGTGTCTGATAAATACTATAGAGTAGCGGGACTGAGAGCGATATGGAGGGGCGAGAAATTCGAAGATAGATATACACAAGTCGCACTCCTTCTTTGGGACAACTTGGCCGCCAGCCATGCCTTCTTCACTGGCCCTGCTTACGCCGAATTCCATAAGGCTGTTCAACCCGCGATGAATGGCAGGCATGTTGAGTGGCAGAACCACGTCTTGATTGACACAAGTGGCGAGGATACGTTGGAGCACCTAAGAAACGTTCTCGAATCCCCTGCAATTGAGGTTGCTCTGACCAAGGTTGTGGAGGGCGGGGTTTCTGGTTATTACTCGCAATTCAAGAAGTTCGTCACGGGTGTGCTACACAATGACCCTGGATGCGATGGATTCTTTATCAGCCCTCTTATTGAGAATCCTCAGAACCAATTGCTTCTGATTAATTGGAAATCCGTTGATGTGAGTACAGCAGAGAATCTTTTAGCACTTCATCTACTAACATCAGCCAAGGCTCATCACGAGATCTTTGAGAAGACTCCTGGATTCAAGGTATGTATCGACGCTCTCAAAGAATATTACGCAGTGTTTGTCGTTCCCTGGCACATCACGAAACTTAAACTCGCAAATGGGGGCCTTTGAAAAAGGCACATCGAAAGGATAGCAATAATCTCAATATACTATATCTGCATGCCTTGGCCCAAACTGTATCGGCGCTTTCGCAGATTCTTACGCTCACATGTCCTCGCACACGCAATGGGGTGTATTGCAGTGTAGTTCTTAATCGATTAAATCTTAATTGTGTGCTACGTTTCTACATCACGGATAACAAAGTCCCAGCTACCATGTTAAAGTGGTTTTCAGTTCAAGACTGCCTAGCTCTGATGGGATGGGCCTTTTTGCTTTAATAAGGAAGCCCTTGTACGAGGCCAGAAGGTACCTGCGGGTACGGCGTCGGCGGGGGGATGATCTGAGCCTGGCGAGCACCCCCAGACCGAGGAACACCTCAGCATCGGAAATAGTCGGCCAGCGTATCTCCCGTCGTACTCGCTCTGCAAAGAGGGAGATGGCTAGGATAATTGGGAAGTGGTCCACGTCAGATGGTTCCCACATGTCAAAGCTTCGGACTCTCAAACGTTGGGGGAATGTCCGTTGGCCAGTACCTTGTTGGGCTTTTTAACCTCGACGGTTTCATTCCATAAGAAGAATACTTCACTTGTGGTTGGGTTTAATCTGGCCATTGGACAACATAACGGTGTATATATCATCGCGACCCCGTTGAGCACCAAGTTTGGCCCATCCCGATGAGAAACAAGCGCCAAGCTACTCAATTCTCCTATGACGGTAATACCGCAGCTCAGGAGCGCGCAACTACACACAGTCTCCTCGGGATGAGGTCTGGTTGGCGCTGTCACCAATCCCAGCACGGTTCCTGAGAGCCTTGCATGGCCAGACATCCTGGTCCATCGATCGGGGGATGCAAATGATGGCTAATCGTCCTCTTCATGAGCACCAGCAACAGTCCACCAAAGGCGGGTCCTCAAGCTTGATTCGTACTGGGCTACAGCGAGTCTCCCCTTTTATGAGGGGCGACTCTCGTCAGGGGGTCCAGTTTTTATATGCAAGATGGGACTAGCTAGATCACAGGGGTAGGGAGGTGACCCATCCGTACGGATAAGGTCGGAATACCCTGTCTGGCTCGATGTACCTAGAGTCTCAGCGCTTTTACCTCGTTCCGTGCCATTGACAAAGGGCCCAAGTCACGCAAGTTCGTGTACTCCGTACATTGAGGAAAACGGGGGGTTAGGGGCTATCAGAACAGAGGAAAGCTCGGGCAGGGACTTTTATACCATCAATCCCACGTCCACCTACGTGCGTTGCATGCCCTGGCCTTGACGCATCGATTGTCAAACTAACTGCCAGAAACAAGTCTCTCCACACCGTTCCCTACCCTATACCAGCAACAGGGATACTTGGCATTGTATTTGCCGAAGCGCACGCTTCCACCCAGACACGACCCACATACCATCCACACTTGTCAAGCGGAAATACCAAATCCCAGCTGAGAGCAGCCTCACCTGTGATCTAGCTACCGTAAAGACTCGGTAAATTGACGCGTTTTTTATGGGCAAGGGCTAAGCTAAATGAGGTTTAGATCTCCCATATTATTGGTCACAAAAAAACCCGAAAACAATAAGTGGGTGATGGATTCCGCGTCAATTTACCGAGTCTTTGCGGTAGTCCTATCTTGTATGTAAAAACCGGACCCTCTGACGAGTGCCACACCCTCATAAAAGGGGAGAAGGGGAGACCGGCCGCAGCCTTAGTACGAATCAAGTTACACATGTGGTCAGATTAAGAATAGCGACGCGACTACTCCGTAGAGCAAGTGGGTTTATCGTTTGCCCTCGTACGACACGGAATGAGCTCGAACATGTGCGGAATTGGCGGAGGCGATTCGGTACACAATGAATGACCTTAGCTCAGCGCTTGGACCTCCTGTCAGCGCTTTAAAGTTTGGCCACTACTAAGCGAATTCTCACTAAAGCCATGGCATGCCATGTGGCCATCGCCAACCCGAGTCATTCGTGTAGACAGGAGTGGTCTTTCACATCATTCCAAGTGGCGTATGCCCGGCCTGGAATTGTATTTAGGGGCACTTCATGCTCTGGAATGAGATTGTGTTCCCATACACTGCTTCATCCTCCTTGCATACTCGTAAAGAGCCATGGCTATTGAAAATCGCGGGCCAGAGCTTACGGCAGTGTGTGCAACTTTTACCACCATGGCTGTTATTGCTGTTGCGTTGAGATGCTATGTGAGGCTGCGGATCATCCGAAACTTTGGGCTCGACGATTGGGCTATGGTTGGGGCTCTCGTAAGTGTTTTCTTCTGCTCTCTATAGATTCTTCTAAACTTTGATGCTCCAGGTCTCGTTTCTTATTTTAATTGCATTCACCCTTCTTGGCGTCCGCTACGGCACCGGGCGCCACTACTGGGATCTTAAAGAAAGTGATATTGTGTTGGCAATGAAAGTAAGACGACTACAGCATGCAGTAGTGGGTTCATTGAATTGACAGAATTCAGTATTGGTGGCACTGCTATCTGTGGTACTGCATCACCATGATCACCTGCAAAATCTCGATTGGCCTCCTTCTTCTACGAATCGCCGTTCGTCGAGTTGATATCTGCATCATCTATACCGCCATGGCAGTCACAGTCTTGACTTGTGTTGCATTCTTCTTCATCACACTATTCCAGTGCAGCCCCATTTCCTTTTTCTGGACTCGACAACCGCCTGGCTCCTGTATTAACGTGGACGTAATCATCACGATAACGTATATATACAGTTCATTCAGCGTCCTCTGCGACTTCACGTTTGCATTGCTGCCAATTTCCATGATCTTGAAGTTGAATATGAACAAGCAAAGCAAGATCGCCCTCATTCCCATTATGCTTATGGCATGCGTGTGCGTACTTCCTTCCTCCACCTCGAAGGGTGACATCGCTCACTCGCCTCTTTATAGCGCGAGTGCCGCCGTCGTTGTTCGCTTCGGCTATGTCAAGGACTTCAAGAATCCGGACTTTCTTTGTACCTACTCAAATCAAATTAGCGCGTCGCGAAATCAGTTTGCTAACACGGTTCTAGACGCGACACTGGACATTGCAATCTGGTCGACAGTTGAAGGAGGACTCGGCATCACAGCTGGAAGTCTGGCTACGCTCCGCCCACTGTTCCGCATTATCAGCCCCCATCTTGGGTTCTCGACGAGAGGGGCCTCGATTGTACACGACTCGGATCGACATGAACCACGGGAGTTGGTGGGAAGCTCAGAAGGCACCAGAGGCACAAAGAAGTACGGCGAGCTCTTCAGCTTGACAACATTCAAGGAACGGAATGAGAGAGACAAAGCCATGGTGTGCGAGACTAGCAACGATGGGGCTCAGGACACGCCAATAAGAAAATACAATTCCACATGGGTCAAGCAGGATACGCCCAAATTGAATGAGAGCGAAGAAGAACTCACGATGACTGGTTCACGGGAGAGACTGGGAGATCGTGTACGTATTTACAATTGATATCTACACAGTGATATCAGACGACGGATTTGGCGTAATGTCTCGGTCAATTCAGATCTGACGAGACGAGATATCATGGAAGGCAAAGCTTTAATTGGACAACGCATGCAAGTCGACATAGAAAGGTGGACGCAAGAGCTGGCTGAGGCGGCAGTTTCGGAAAATCAGATGAAATAGACTTTTAGCAAAGAACCTCTTCTATTGTACGCTAAGATTAAATATGGCGCTCGACTTAATGCAACTGGCAAGGTGTGTCTGTACAGATAGATTTATACTGTTAACAGAATATGGTATATTTTAATTTGCTCTTGGAGTAACTTCAGTTATATGTTCTATTTATTTAGCTACTGGAATTCTTATACAAGTAAATCTATAATTCTTTCTACTTCTTAAAACCAGTTATAGCTAGTGTTTCTGTTATTACCTTTATTATTAAATATTTTATTAATAGTAAGTATAAGCAGTATATATTTTATTAGCTAATTTTATTATATATAAACTTATATTTAATATAAATTTATTTTAGTTTTTTTTTTTAAATTTGAAATTTATTAATATATTATTATTAATTTATAAATAATGTTTATTTTTTAAATTTTCTTATTTAGTATTTTTTATAAAATTATACTCTTTTATTACCAGATTCTTTTATCTTAAGTTTTATTTTTTATTTTTAATAAGTTAAAAAAATCAATACTAACTATTTTTAATTAAAATTTTATAAAAAAAATACTAATTATCTTAATATACTATATTTATATAAAGGGAAGTTAGTCCCTTAACAATAGGAGACATCTCTCTTATATCCTATTACTCGGAATAAGGTTACTATCTTAAGGTTATTAACTGCGGACAGCAAAGTCGTTAACTGCAGATAATAGGGTTGAAGTCAGAGGGGTTAAATAGAAACTTCAGGTAGAGACCAGTAGGTAATAACCTTATTATTCAGCTACTATTTCTTCTGGTGCTGGGTATAGTACTTATTATTTATCTCTACTATTTGAGATTACTGTATAGCTTTAATCTATCTGATAATATTAAGTAAAGCTAAAAAAAAAAAAACCTAAATACTATATTTATATATCTTAACTTAATTTATATTAGTATTTCTACTACTTTTTATACTTGTATATTTTTATAAATATACTGGAATATATTATAGTATAATTCTTACTTAATAAATTCTTAATTATATATAATATTCTTATACTATAGATAATAGAAATTTAATTACTGTTGAATGATGACCCTATATGACGAAACCTCGGATAGATTGATATCCTGACCTTAGTCAGAAGGGGGGGTATGAAAACCCCTCTTCCGGCTGATCCGGATGACGAGATGGACTAATCATCAACATCATCATCACTGTATTGATCCCTATCTATTAAATTGAATTGACCGTAATGGATCCATCAATTAAGAGTTTCATCTGCTTGAAGAAGCTAGCTGCGCTGAGATCCGTACGGCTTTTATCCTCTATTTTAGATTAATTCTACCTAAATCTACGAAAATCGCAATGTCAGCTAAAAATACTGCATACAACCACAAGATCTATCTCGAGACCTTCAAGGACTGGAGGATCTGGGATAAGACCTTCCAGCTGAGGGTAAATGCAGCCGGCCTCTGGGATCTTGTTGATCCTGAAGGAAATCAACAGCCGATGCAGGCCCCAGTAAAGCCGCTGATTTCTTCCTATTTCCGAAGAATCCCTCCACAGCGGATTGAGCCCGACCTTCCTCGACAGACCCGTCACTCTGACAGTCAGGGGTCTTAGACTATTACCCCGACCTACACTCTCGAGACGAACGATCCGATCGAACGAGCCCAGTCTATTAGGGATCTGACTGCTGAAGACAAGATCTCCTATCAGTCTAGCCGTAGAGACTATGAGCAAGACTATAAGGAATACGAGAAGCAGAAGGATCAGATTAATAGCCTGAAGAAATGGATGATAGACATAGTAGCTATAGGTCTAATGGACAGCGCCTTCTTTCCTCAACAGGATCTTAGGAGCTGGTACATTAACCTAGCAGATAGCGTTGGGGCCTCTCAGACCCAACAGCGAAATGAAGCTAGGATAAAATATCAGACTGCCCTAGCTGCTGTGCCTAAAACCCTCAAAGATTTCCCTCGCTAGCTAACAGATTGGAAACAAGCTACGCACCAAGCCCAGACCCTAGAGGTGGGGGGCCTAGATGATCCAAATATCTGGTTCGAGGACCTTAGTAAGGCCATTAAGCCGGTTGTTGGATATTGGGTCACTACCTATCGCGGGATCTATAGGAAGGAGCTAGAATCAAGGTCCCTTCCAATCCGGGAAGTTGCCAAGGCCCTACGAGAAGAAGCTGCCCAATACGGCTTACAACAGCCGGCCAAGGCCCCCAAGTCCCAAGGCCGGATCAACAGGGGCTTTGGACCGACCTACGATGAGGAACCTGATCAAGCTGACCAACCGGATCAAGAACAGCATCCAGATAGGGAAGGTCAGCAGGCCGGATCGTCCGGATCCGCCGGATCCGTCCGGCCGAAACGGAACAGGAAACGCAAGCCCGATCAATCAGGCTCTGAGGCAAAGAAGATCAAGTCCACGGATAACCGGGATCAAGATGACATTCCTATCTGTGAAGCCTGCGGCGGCAATTGGCATACTTGGAAGAAATGCTATTATATCTTCCCATCTAAGGCCCCAGCCTGGTTCGAATTCAAACCTCTCATCCAAGATGCTGTTGCATCCCGACTTTCTTGTCAAGAATGGAAGGATAAGCTCAAATCCCTCAAAGGGGCCGCTAGACCGGCTAAGTCAGATTGACTAAGCCGGGAAGTCGGCCGCTGTAATGACCTAATAACCCCGATTAAGGCGGCTTTTGCGGCATCAGGATATCCCCTACGGAAGTCAGCTATCCTAGACTCTGGGACCACAATCCACATCTTCAATGAGATCTGCCGGTTCCTAGGATATCAGCCTGCTAGAGCTGATGATATCCTTATTGCCGGTAAACATGAAGTCCCAGTCCAAGGATACGGCCAAGTCAATATCATGACCACAGGACCTAAGGGCCCTAAGGTTATCCCTTTATTTGATGTGGCCTATTGCTCTGATTTTCCTTGCAATTTAGTATCCCTACGAAGGCTGCTACGTCAGGGCTATTGGTGGGACACACGCCCGGATTACAATTGTCTAAGGTCGTCAGACGGCTTGATCAGATGCTTTTTATCTGATTATTATGACCAATTCGTCCTAGAATACGTCCCTTGTGACGCTGCCTTCCCTGCCCGGCACAGCCAGTTCAACTCATCAACCCGACCTAAGGCAACGAAGCAAGATGCCCGCCGTTGGCACCTACGGCTAGGTCATCCGGGGCCTCAAGCCCTAGAAAGGCTAGTCAACAAGGTCACAGGGGCCCGGATCAAAGGGATCACAACCGTCAGCTGCGATGACTGCGGCACTTCCAAGATGACCCGACAAGTCAGCCGCCGGCCAAGGGACCTTCCAGCCGAACCCGGCTTGAGACTAGCAATTGACTTCCATGACCTGGAAGAGGACCCAGAAGGAAGGGTTAGTCTGTTATTGATAACAGACCGCTATTCCGGCTACATCTGGGACTATTACCTTAAGACCCGGCAGCATAAGGAGCTTATTGCCGTCTTCAAGGACTTCCTAGGCCACCTATTCCGTCAGTATCAGCTGAAGCCTCGAGTCATTGAGTGCGATAAAGAGATCCTAGGAAAGTCCGAAGACCGACCCCGGCTAGTATATCGGTTCTTTACCGGGATGAGCATTATCGTGGAGTCAACAGCTGCAGACACAGCTGCCTAGAATGGCGGCGCCGAGCTATCCGGAAAGGTCATCAAGATCAAGGCAAGAGCCCTACGGTCAGGAGCCCGATTTCCCTCTTTTCTTTGGGTCGAGATCTATCGAACTGCTGTCTATCTCTATAACCGGACTCCTAGGGGGGTCAATAACTGGGATACCCCTTACGCCCGGTTCCACACAGCAATAGCCTAACGAGACGGTCACGGCGAGGAAAGCAAAGTCCCCTATCTAGGTTATCTACGAGTCTATGGATCTAAGGCATTTGCCTTGACCCAAGATGCCCTGAAGGGTAGGAATAAGCGGCAACGGCTAAATCCCCGTGCTTGGATTGGTTATCTTGTAGGATACCAGTCAACTAATATCTATAGGATCTGGAATCTGTCTACTGGGAAGGTCATCTCTACTAGAGATGTCATTTTTAACGAAGATAACCAATTCAATGGAGACCTCAATCAGCTACAGGATGATCTATTGAATATTAGCAGGGAAGAATTAGACCGGCTGCTGAACTAGGTGGAAGAGGCTCAACCGGATTAGTCACTAGAACAAACAGCTAGCAGACTGACCTCTAGGTGGGATCAAACCCACTATGAGGATCAGGGTGTTGTCTACGACGAGGATCAGGACGATGTTGCTGACCAAGGCCCGAGGGATCAGGTCTATGACCTAGGCCCTAGGGATCAGGCTGATGATATTGATCCTAGCCCATACGTAGATGGACCAGAAAACAGGGATATAGGGATGACACAATCAGAGGCTAGGCCTGATCAACCTGCCGGAACTGATGTGGGTTCTAGTAATAGGGTTGAGGAAGGATCTCAAGGAAAACTAGGGGAAGGATATGAAGCCTCAGAAGGCAGTCAATCTGGTGCCCCTAGCTCCTATGATAGAGCCTACCCGACTCCTGTATCTCTGCTGCCAGCTGCACTTCTAGCGATGACGATCCAGGATGCCTTAGATCCACCCGGAGGTAAGCTAGATCCTAGGGACCCTAGGGTCTCTAGGGTTGAACGGTCTGATATCTGGAAAGCTGCCTTCAACGCCGGAAGATTAGCTAGCCCAATAGGCACCCTCGACGGGAAGGTCATTAATAAAGCTAAGCTACAACGTCTGCTGAAGAAACCTAGGTCCATTCATCAAAGTCAGCTACCCAAGCTGCCGCGATACCATCAAGATCTAAAGGATCATCCAATGGGGGTCCAATTTGAACAAGCTGAACGGGACCACTTGCACAGTCATAGGGAAATAGAGTCATGGATCCAGATAGATCTAGATGACCCTCGAACCCTAGGGAAACAGACCCTCGATTGCATGTGGGTCTACGTCTATAAGCTAGATAAGCATGGCCGCTTCATCAAGTGTAAGGCCAGGCTAGTTGTTCGAGGAGACCAGCAGCCGAAAGGGCTAGACGAAGAGACCTACGCTGCCACCCTAGCCGGGAGGTCCTTCCGGACCCTAATTGCAACAGCAGCCCGATTTGACCTGGATCTCATACAGTATGACGCAGTCAACGCCTTTGTCAACGCCAAGCTAGACCGTCATATCCTGATGAAAATGCCGCCTGGATACAGATCACCCGGAAAGATCCTACTGATCCAGAAAGCCCTATACGGTCTACGGGAATCCCCTCTTCTTTGGCAGAAGGAACTCACTGCCACACTTCAAGAGCTAGGCTTTGAGACAGTCCCGCACGAGCCCTGTTGTATGACAAAGGGCGGGATCATCGTCTTTTTCTATGTTGACGATATCGTCTTTGCCTGCCGGAAGGAAAAGCGGCAGAACGTTCAGAAGGCTGCTGCCGACCTCAAGGGTTATTATGACCTGACCGGTGGACAGGATCTTCAGTGGTTCCTAGGAATTGAGATCCTTCGAGACCGAGAGAAAGGACTGATCTGGTTGTCCCAATCTTCGTATCTAGCCAAGATTGCTAACCTTGTGGATGACCTAGATCAACGGCATGAAACCCCGATGAAAAAGGAAGCCCTGCAACCGTACGATCAAAGGGCATCGATCCCGTCAATCCGACGATACCAACGGAAAGTCGGATCAATCCTCTATGCGGTTGTCATGACCCGGCCAGATACAGCATTTCCGGTCTCTCAGCTAGCTAGATTTAATTCGAACCCAGGACCTGAACATCATCGTGCTGCTGACTGAGTCCTTCTATATCTTAAGAAGACTAGCAGCCTAGCCCTTCAATTCGGCCAGGACGATTAATTCCTAATGGCTAGCGATGCATCCTATGCAGATAACCCTGACCGGAAAAGCTCTTAAGCCTACGTCATGAGACTATTTGGAGGAACGATTGGATGGAGGGCCAACAAGCAAGATACAGTCACAACATCAACGACTGAGGCCGAGTTACTAGCCCTATCTCAAGCAGCCAGGGAGGCTATGTTTATCTCCCGGCTGGTCAAAGAGCTAGGGATCCGGCTAGAAGAAGAAAAAATCCACATTCAATGTGACAACCATCAGACGATCCGGCTTATCCACCAAGAGATCAATAAGCTGCAGACCAAGCTGCGGCACGTTGATATTCACAATCATTGGTTGAGGCAGGAAGCTCAAAGGAATAGGATCCAGGTGGACTATATCAGCACAAAGGAAATGATCGCTGATGGTCTCACTAAGGTCCTGAACGGCCCAGCCTTTCAAAGATCAGTCCAGCAGCTAGGTTTGGTCGATATCTCAGACCGGCTAGGGGAAAGGAAGCTGGAAGAGATAAAGGAAGAAGATCTAGAGATATAACAGCTTCAGCTGGTGTAGCTGAAGCTGGGGGGGTGTGTTGAATGATGACCCTGTATGACGAAACCTCGGATAGATTGATATCCTGACCTTAGTCAGAAGGGGGGGTATGAAAACCCCTCTTCCGGCTGATCCGGATGACGAGATGGACTAATCATCAACATCATCATCACTGTATTGATCCCTATCTATCAAATTGAATTGACCGTAACGGATCCATCAATTACTATATTTAAGTTGCTTTCAGTTTAAGAATACCTAGCTCTAATAAGATAGCCTTTTTTACTTTAAAAGGAAACCTCTGCACGAGGCCAGAAGGTACCTGCAAGTGTAAAATTGGCGGGAGAAATAACCCGAGCAGGAGCTTGAGCAATTTGTATAGTTATATAAAAAAGGGTTTACATAAGAAAGTTAACAGAAATCGGCTATCAAGTTAATATAGGTAGAGTATAATACTGGATCTATCTCTTTAATACGAAAAAAAGAAAGAAAAGAAGGAAAATAGTAAGAATAACCTCTAGTTAAGTAGGCTATAGGAAGTTCACGGCAAGGAGGCTGGATGCAATACACAACTATATGACTAGGCATGGGAGGGCGCGCAGCATATGGAGGCGTGCAGGCTACAGACGTACTTCGCGGCGAAGGGAAGGATCGACTACTTTACTACTACTAAGCAGGAAGAGGGATAGGATTTGTCAGTGGTAATCGTCGTAAATTGGCAGCTATTTATAAGTATAGCAGAAGCGCCCTCCCTGTGTGTCCATAACCTCCTTAACTGTGACATATTGCTTGCCAGGGATTAGGTTGCTAAAGTCCATCGCATAATCAAGGGTAATGTTGTGATAGTCTCGGTCACCAAAGAAGTCAAAGGGATACGCATACTGAGTGTCAGGGCCGCCAATATCGTTCCTTCGAGCAGGCCAGTCCATACGCTGCCACGTATCCCAGAGGCGGTCAACATTAGTGTGATGCATGAAGAAAATGGGATCACCCGGAGAGGAGTACATGTCGCCCATCTCGCCAATATCGCCGCCAACTCCTAGATGACCGCCACCGTGGTATCCTTGGGTGGTAGCTGTGACGCCGCCCTGGACACGTATATCGAACTCATAGAAGTCTTCAGCCTCGAGAGTCCAGTCCACGATGCACTGGCTAAGCTTAGAGATGGCGAACTCTGGAGAGATATCGCGAGTCAGACAGCGCGGGTTATAAGCCGAGGAATTGCCTTCTACAATCAGTTTATCATCTTAAGAAATGTTTAGGGGGAATACCTGGGCCTGTATTCACTGTGAACTCTTCCTCAACGAACGGCCCGTTAATAAGGCAGCCTATATCTCAAGTTAGCCCTCTCAAGCCCCAAAATACTATCCAGAACTAGGACTCACCTCCTCCTGTTTTGCCAGGTACTTGTCTTGTTAAATTCGTCCAGCTAGCAGTATCGATAAATATGCCATTGCCTTGCTACTTGTGAGTATTTTCTTGTAAAAGGATCATTTGAATCTTTACGAACCTCCAAATCCGGAGTCTCTATCAAAGATAGGAGAAACAAAGAAATCTTCTACCGAATCTGAGTCCAGAGCCCAGTCTGGTTCCATTTCATTAGTCATGCCCGGTGTTTCTTATTAGAAACATACATACTCCAATAGGGCTGAGCTCCCGAATAGCTGCAGAGGTTTCGAAGATCCTTTTCATACTGCGCAATGAACATACGATGCCATCTATTTTAAAGGATCAGGATTTGACACAATTAGGTCACAAGTATAACACTCACGGTTGGAAGAATCCCTGAAAATAGGTTAGCGACAATATTTGCTAGATATTTAAATGCAAGGGCAGAGACTTACGACATAGTGAATAAAGTCGGTATTGACAATATGAGTAACTTGGAAGTCGTCGAACCGGGACTTAGCGCCCTCGTATATGTTTCCAGTTTGTGAGGGCTTTGAGGCAAGGCACTTAACCGCATCAATATATTTATGCTTCTCCTCGGTGTTCAAAGTTCTCCTGTAGAATGAAATCCAACCAGGTCAGTCTTCTGAACAATAAAGGGGTGCCAGCCTCATGGGTTCTAGGTATAGTGAGTCGTTACCCACCATTCCTTACGGATAAGAGGCTTCGTGCAGCCACAATTGTAAGTGGGGGTGCATAAAACTGAATTAATAACAAATGCAACCGTAATAAAGGGAGTAGGTAGACGCATGGTGATAAAAATAGAATAAAAAGAGGTAATAAATTATGGGGAAAGAGGAGAATGAGTGTCGAATCGTTATGCAGCAGGGATTTTCAAGATCGGGGGGTACGTGAATGAAGCCATTCACTCGCTCTAACTAAGGATCGGGCTCTTTATATGTATAGTTGCAGTCGCTATATGGAGACCCCCGAGGAATGCGATAAAACAATGGTCTTACCATTGAAGATCAACATCTAACACGCCCATTCCAATAATTAATGACTGTAGCGAGTACCATGGCCGCCAGCTAGCCGCGACCGTCTTAGAAGACCGTTGTGACACTTAGGGTCTCTGAAGAATTAACCGAGAGTCGGCACATATTGCAATAGCGCCACCATATCTGCTTGTCACATCCAGCAGACCAACGCTCATACGACTAGCAAGACAAGATGGCCAGTCTTTTGACTAGCCCGAGCTACGAATAACGAGCCTTCTAGCCCCGTAGGCTAGATACTTGGTTGGCGAAAGTAGGGACAGGACAAGCATAGTGAAGAAAAGACAGCGCCAATCTTGAATGGAAACTGGGTTGATTCTCACCAATGACCAACTAGAACTGTAGACTTCTCCGTCTGTCCTTTTGGACCAAGGTATACACTCACTCCATCGTATTGCACGTACGCGCTCTTGTAAAAACCAACTTGCCCGCCTACCATGTATTCCAGTTGGTTGCTCCGCACCGTTCATGCACTCCCTCTAGGTCCACGAATTTGAAGATTGCCCAACTCATTCATCCCCGTGTAATTCAATGCTCCCTCATTCCATTCGTCTCCCCTTTTACTTACCACATCATTCCAGCCCTTCCATGGGTGTCTACGAATCGGTGCCTCCACCTCATTCCAGTCAAGTTAAGTCCACGAGTTCCAATCGTACTGCATGCTGAACGGAAAGTGGCCATGGGGCCCATTCTTCGCTGGTTGTTCCACCAAGACACCAAAGTTGACGGTCTTCGGCCCCATTCAACTGCCTCTTATAAAATACTGTCCGCTCCATCAAGGGCGCGTTGCTTCTCGCACAGAGTCAAAATAACACAATTTCTTTTTCTGGCAATTTTAGCATTTTCAACACCCAATATGTACGCAGTTGCCTAAGACCACGCTTTTTCAGCTATTTTAACCCAGGAAGCTTTAATCATGTCGAATATTTTAGTAGCCAGCCCCAGGTACTACTAGTTGCATAGGAATTCTCGGATATTGGTCGAGCGTATGTAATCACCAGTGCATTCCAGTAAACACCCCCCCCCCCCCCCCCCCCAATTCCGACCCATTCCAACAGGTTGTACTCGCTCCATAGACTCTTCTGGGCTCACATTAACAGAATATACAAAAGGAGGCTATCGTAATGTCCAAATGCGGCAACACCCGCTTCTAATGTGAAGTCTTCTCATTGACAAAAAACTCCGAATCCGTTTCTCCTCGACGTAGATATTGTACTTCAACTTGGAAGCTATCTGCGAGTTGCCTAACTCGACGCCAGCCTCCGCGTGCACTGTGCTGCCACCAAACTATTTATGTAGGACGCCATAACCCTTTGAGACATTGCCACTAGTCTGGCACCTTATTGCCGACTATTGACATTGTAAACCGCTTTCTGTGGGATTTAGACTATATAGTGTTTAATTGGTACGAAATTACCTCCTTGGCGAGTCTGTGGCTGGCTGCAAAATTTACGAAGAAGCTCATTTCTAACGTACTCCATATTGGCATATGAGCATCGTGTTGATCGATTTCGGGGACACTTGAACCCTGTTCTTAACCCTCAGCAAGGGTTAGCTAAAGACTCTCTGGCCCAATCCGCAGGCGCGGCCTGTTTCAGTCACTTATCGCCGCACTGTGGCGGGCTGAACGATCCGCTCCTTCAAACCTTGCCAAGTTAACATTTCTCCTCGCGACCTAGACTAAGACATGGCTTAAAGTAGACTATGAGTCAGGCTATTGCGCCTAACTGAACATTCACTCGCAGTGTAACTCTTGTCCAAAATAGTCAGCCCGCTAGACATAGTTATGACGATTGACGCAATCCACCAATATATCATCAGAGAGATATAATATAGAAATGAATGTTTAAGTTCTAATATATGCATTAAATCCTTGCGTTATATACTCTTTACTTAAAACGGCTAAACCTGTGAGATGCAAACTCGTGTTCGATGTGAATCTATCAGTAGTCTTCTATACACAGTGTATGTACAGTTTTGTCACTCCTACAACTCATTGCTTCTTCACAGACTAAGACCCGGACGGACCTAAACAGTCCTTCAGGACCCTGCTGCTCCCGAATCGTGTCACCTATAATATTCGCAAGTGCGAATATAGAGTGGTCAGAATCCCACCCTAGTTTTTCCAAATCCGAAATTTGTCGGTATGTTATAGTTGATCCATAAATAACATCCATCTCTCGATCTTCCGGGTCTAGTTCCTTCGCGAGGCTACACTTCCTCGTCACCAGATCCTTTTGCCTTAGATTTCCTTTCCAGCACCTCCCGCATCGCCCAACGCAGTAGTCAACCAGGTACAGTACCTCAAGATTGTTCTGGATGCAACAACTGAGGTACGCTAGTGACATGGGATCGAGTCCAGACGGGGACCACAACTCGGTCATGTCGATGGCTAGGCGTCGAGCATTGAATAGAGCTGTCGCCATGCCTTCACACCATTCAGCCTCGAGAATCCTTGAAATATTATTTCCAGTACCGGTGTGAGAGGCGTGAGAGAGGACATTGTTCGTTAAGCCTTGTTCCGTTTGATGACTTGAATTAAAGCGCAAGCACAAAACGTCTGTACTGTTGTCGTAGGAGACATGTTTTCCCTTTCTTGGGAGATACACGATGTTGGGACCCCCTAGGCTTCCACTGTCGAGACCGCCTCCAGTAACCTTGGCGGAGTCAACGCTGGTTACTGACAAGATTCTTGCTGTCCTGTACGTAGAGGGATCCGTCCTAAATGTTGTTCCAGAAGCTCCAAGACAATGTCCGGGTGTAACAGTAACACTATCAAGAAAGACCCGGTCTGTGTATGCGTCGTAGGGCGTCTCGCTGGCCAGAACGTCATGAGCCTCCGTGAAAGGCTGCCTAGACTGAAAGCAGATGTCGAATATGTGAATTCCAGGTTTGGGATAGCTTGCTTCCCAGATTTTAAGTTGAAGTTCGGCTGGCAGTCGTGGGAAGAGCGGAAACATTTTTTGGGCATTGGAAAAATGATAGTTTGCAACTTGAGATTCTGTTGAGCGGCGCCGCTCAAGGGAAGGTTATGGGGAGCAGGATTATCAGGCGTAAATACATAAAACAAAAATACCATTCATAGTCGACGACAGGCCCAAATGCTAGGGCGATCTCGATGGTGTGGTTGTTCAGGTGTGACGGAGCGAGGCCCATATTATGCTCCTTATCATAAGACTGTCTCGGCGGAGAAATCGCCGCACCAATCACATCAGGTGCAATTCCCAAGAGGGTTAGATTGAGCGAGATGTCTTACGTGCAGGAGTATTGGATCGATCTCCATGAAGACGACGCTTAGTTGAAAGAAATGCCCTGCCCTATTGAAAACACGATTATTCACACAGACAAAATTAGTGCTCACATACTACTACGTTCTATGGTTTGATTGGCGAGGCCTTCAGCCATCTCAACGCGCCCCCCGGATCCCTTGAACTCAGCTCTGGTTTTCTTTTTTTTTACAAAAGGGCAAGGCAATCCGGACTGCTCGTTAGAGCCGGTCTTTCTTCCATGCTCATTACCCCTTGACGCAAGACCTACAGAGAAACTCGTCGCTCAAGTTGAAGAAGTATGGTTCTTTTCAAATTGTTCTTGCCACTGGCAGCCTTGTTCCTATCGCAACTTCTGCCAGCCATGGCTCAGGAGCGCCCAAATACCACGACACCTTGCGACTACTACGCCGAGAAGACGGTCGGGGCTAACACAGCCGACAATCAAAGGATCTTGATGGCACTTGTCCTTCACTCGGCATTGCTAGGCCCCTTCTCCAATTACAGCACTGTTCCCGTTGATGGTTTCACAGGTGCCCTGACTGCAACGACGTTTCGAGACCAAGCCGTAGACTTGATCGTTTACTTCAATGGGGCCACCAAGTCAGCGAACACTGGCAAGAAGACTGGCGAAGCAATCAACTTCTTTGACGCTGGAGGACTCGGTGCTACGCGCGATCTGAAACCGAGTAATGGTGACACAAACTCCGCACAGCAGTAAGCTTACCCTGTGCACGCATTCGTGTAATAAGACTTACCAGATGTTGTAGCATCTTCTTCACCCATGTGTACTCTTATTTCGGAACCTTTCTCGGATGTTCTCACATCGGGTCATCCAAGTTACCCGCTTACGCTGGAAAGGCATCCATGTATGAGGTTCACAAGTGAGTCATTCTTCCGACCCCTTAGTTCTTGCTCCTGGGGTTGAGACTGAGTCTGACTTAAATCGCCTCCGCCCAACAGGTTCATGGACTTGAATGCAGCCGAGATGGGCTTCTTCGTCGACCAAGCTGTCCGCGGATTGTTGTCCATTGGCTTCACCGATTCCGATGCACAATTCGTCAACAACACATTAGACACTGTCTTCAATCATCGCTGTGCGCCACCCGCGGCCGTCATCCCACCAACTGCTGGACCGCAGCTCCAGGCCATTTGCATCGCTCCGGATTGCTCTCTTTCTGCGAACGATACCTGTTCTGCATACGATGCAGCCGTGCCGCCATTAGTTGCAAATTCAAGCCTAATTGGGAACTACACGAAGGCCGCAAACGGTAGTACGAGTGTGAATTCATCTGCGTCATCAACTGCAACCAGCAATGCCTCACGTCTAGTCAGCGAAGAGATGAAAGTCCTGGAACTCGCTGTCGCCGTTGTATTCGTGTTTCTGACGGCGTGGAGTTTGGCTTAATTACTTCGGTAATCTCACCAAACTGAAACTGCAAAGACAGCAATATCATGATGAGGTTTCAGGAGCTTCTCGGTATGGGATGTTAGGGAGATGTACGTGGGAGGAATGTGCCGATGTACGTGATTCGCGCTTTCGCCCTTGCGAAACAACCTTTTCCCAACTAGAAGAATTAGATCGTAGGATGTATGTTGGTAGTGTGATAAGGGCGTTGGACCCTTGGAGTTCAAATGAGTGTCAGGCTGGCTAGCATTTCAGACATTAGGCTAATGTGCCTCTGGCTAGTTAATCTTCAAAGAAATCGTCTCTCTGGCCCGTGAAACGGCAAGGCAATTGCTTTTTTACTTTCTTACAATACGTGTCCTTTGCGGCATGCCCTTTGTCTCACTGTGCCTCTGCGTTGATAGCTGACGTAGTTACTCTTATCGTTATATGCCTTTCTTTTGCGTGTACCATCCGTCAGCATCACGGAAGCTGAACCAGAGTGCCATCGTTCCGAGCAACAAGCATGAGCGTCACGTCTGGTGGTACATGATTAATTATGTTAGCCAAGTCATACAAAATCTGAGACAGCTCAAGTTCCATTTGATATGCAAATGGATAAGATTAAGTGCTAGGTTTGTTTTCTTTAGACTCTGAGGGCTTGTTGATCGTCTATTGAGCTGGGACGAAAATGTCTTGGATTATGCATGGATCATGACCTGGGGAGCGTGGTCCATCATAGTCCATCATAATTCACCTTTTTAGCTTGTCCTAGTTCCATATTGCCGTAATTTAGTTACTACATAACATTTTGAGCCACTTGGTCCAATGTAAGTCATGCATTAGATGACACTAGGGAGCCGCGTGCATGGGTCTTCGTACGTAATTATCCTATCGATCACAAGTATTGAGAATTTTCCCACCTCCACAAAAGCCTTCAAAACTCCAAGTAATTTCCATCCCAAGCGTCCTGGTTAGTCACATCACCATTGATGAGATTATTGAAGAATGTGATATCCACTCCTTGGAAGGCCCAATCGGCTGCATCAGCCATGACATCTGGCATCGGGAGATCAAACATTTCCAGTTGCTCGTTTTGCTGAGTCGTTGCGAAGTTACCCATTGGATGACCGAATCCCTCGTCAGCGATGAAGGGGTGCTGTGGCAATTGCCCTAAATGCAGTGCCAAATCACTGGGTTGTGATGCGGCGGTGCAAAATTGCACGGAAGCCTGCTCCGAGGACGTAGGAAGAACCGTAACTGGCGCCGAAATCGTGTATGAGTTAGCCGTTTGAGTCTGACCCGAGGTCGAATGGGGACTTGGTGCAGAAAAGGAGGCGTCAGGTGCCAACATGACGGTTCCAAAATATGGAATATCGAGGAACAGAGAACGCCTCCCTTGGCCTCCACTGTTGTCATTTTGGGTTTTATCCACAATACTGCAGCTGTAGGTATCACCGGTCTTGGCAGATTCCGTTTCAAGAACCAGTAGTTCCCTCGCCAACTTTGCAGTCTCCCTCGTCAGCTCATCCTTGTTCAGCCGATTGAGCTCATCCAGGGTCTCTATCGTGTTCTCTATCAGCGCCCGGTCCCCTGGACGTTGATGTGGTAGCAGCCATGCAGAATCCTTGCCCTGGCCGCTTAAATGGGCAAGTAGAAGGGTGAGAGCGGCTGTCAGGGCGCAAAAGTCCACAATACGACAACAAAAGACTACCCTGACAATAGACCGAAAAGTGATGTACCTGCTCAGAACTTCTCGACTCGCAAATGTGCAAACCGTCTTGTTGTAATCGTACTGATGCTCGGGATCCTTGCGAAGAAGGTATGGTAAATGCAAAACCGTGAGCAGGTTATTGTGAACGATTTGCATCTGTGCATTTATGACTAGCAACATTACGTCGTCACCAGTCATACCTGGGCGGATATCCATCGGCTTCCACCAGTTGGCTTGGATGTTGTTCGCAACCCTGTTCATCGTGGCATCTATCCGCTGGGTTGCCGCAAGATCATAGTGGCCACGTTGGTTTCTGTTGATGATTTGTTCACAAACATCCACTTGTACTTTCTCCAGCCATTCTCCATCGGATTCGCCAGCTGTCTTATGCTCGGAAGCGAACTTGGCATTTGTGATAGAAGTTGACATGCCAAGTAGAAGTGATATGTAGCGCTCCAGATACGCGACATGCATCCAGGTAACTTCGCCTGAGACACGAGTTGCTGGGTCAAGTTGGTTCAGTGCGACAGGGACGGCCTTGCGATGCAGTCCCAGGAACTGAGCCAGTGTTGAGGCGCGGCGGAGGGATACTAGCGCCCGACGGATGTTCCCACAATTGACGAGATATACCCCTTCATAGATGAGACATTCCAGCCCTTCGAGAGAATCAAGAAGTTCGTCATGGCAAATCACCATGCTCGACGCTAGAGAGTAATACCTATGCATGGCTTCGCTAGCACCAAGCCCTAGCGGAAGAGAGCTTTCGTGTAATGAAGGATCCAGTTGCTGTATGCAAATAGCGAGTTGCATGAGTTTTCGTGCCAGGAGAACCGGATGGGCGTCAACTGGGGGAAGTACAGATAGAATGCTAGCTGATACGGAGTCCTCTTCACCAAACAACTGACTGTAGGGGTTACAGAGCGCTTGCAAGTAGACAGCAGCTCTGCCAGCCCCAAAGAGGATATCGGCATCCCGCTGAGATGGCAAAGCGGCGTGGAGAGTTCGGCATGTGTCGGCAAATTTGGGTAGAGTGAAATCACTCAACCCAGTGACGTCTTCTCCTGGACCGCGCAGGGTTGTTGTTTGAACTCGAGCCGCGGTATTGAGACCCGATGCTGCTCCCTGTGGCTCGCATCAGATCATTTCATTGGGGGTGAAGGGGGTTAGCTCTGGACTAATACGAGGTGAACACCTACCAGGACAGAATCGCGGCCGTCACCATCATTTTGCCAGCTATTTCTCGCAGCCGGGTCTTCCGCCGATGACCTAGGAATGAGTGATTGGTCCGGGGATGTGTCATGCCGATTTCCGATACCGTACGTGAGGAGCTGTGCACTAAGATCCTCGAGCATCTGCTCGATTCTCTTCAGTCTCTCCGCCGATCTCGGATCTTCCTCTGGCGCTGTCACAGGGATGTCGACGAGCCCCTGGCTAATGCATCGCGTACCTCGACGCTGACATCCTACGCAAGTGGCAGCGGAGAGATGGTCGAAAAAGCATCTTGTTTTTCGTCTCTTGCCTGAAGAACACAGTTAACACCGCTCAAAGAACAAAGAGATATGAAGAGTCGAATCCCGGGTCGCCATCTCGCACGCACATTCGACACAGCTATGAGTACCCTTGCGCAAGAGTCGCCGAGGAGTGGTAAGTGATCCAACCGACTCGACCGCAGACGCGTTTTCTTCATCCATAGGTAGGTAGAGCCTCGCTCGACACGCCTAGTAACACACGGCGGAGATCGGCAGGAGAATTCCGTGTGGAATTACTGTAAAGGTGGGAAAGAGGTGAGTGCTGCTGTCCGCCGTGTTCCGCCGAAGATGGGTTTTAGTCTCGTTCTATTCTTCGTTCCGCCGTGTTCCGCCGAAGAATGGGAGTTTCATCCTCAGCCGGCGTCTGAGTGAGATTTTAGTCCTGTGGGGCCTTGAACTTTTCCACGTTGATGGGTACCAAGCTGTCAGCAAGTCACTAAGCCTGAACTGAAGTACCTGCTAACCGACACATGTATCTACTCAGCCATAATTGGTTCAGGACTGTTCCACCAGTCCTTGCGAATCCAAGAGATAACACATTATCTCATGCATGTGACTGATAAGGCCGAGCTCTCAATCACGAGAAACGTGCAGGCGTGATTCCTATTCGTCGACCTCGTCCGTAGTCACATAACTGCCAACTCCACCAGCAGCGTCGAAGCTGCTGACCGGCTCGAACTGAGTGGTAATCTGAACTCTACGAAATTGAGGTGACTACGGCTATTGTGATTTGGTCCGTACTACGTACAGACGTCCGGGTGTAGGTATAGGACCCACTGCTTTCGGATAGGGCTCAGTCTTGTCCGCCGGTTCAAATACATATATATACATGTCTTTCATCGTGAGTGTGAGCAGTAACCATCCTATTCGCAATTAAACTACAATACCATCAACACGCCTTCCATCACGTTAAAATGTCTTCTATCGGTCAACTACCAATTGAGCTCCGTGTCCATCCAAAAGAATGGGATGCGGGCCCGGCGTATGAGCGGTATCCTCTCTCCCTCATGGGCCACATCATGCCTAAGATCTACGTCCCGGTTGTCGAAGTCTTTGCCTTGCCAGAGACGATTGAAGCCGAAGCAACTGTCCAGAACCTGACAGCCGGGTTGGAGTTTGCTATATCGCAGTTCCCCATCCTTTCCGGTGTCTTGGAGATGGACGCAACCACTGGACGGATGTGGGTGGCTAGACGGCGGGACTCCACTGTTAGCCTACACGTCAAGTACATGCTGCGTGAAGACGACTTTCCTAGCTATAAGGAGCTGGCTGAAAAAGATGTATGTCACTGCAATGATTCCCTATATTGACCATCATGTATATCTGTGGTGTTAACAGTAAAACAGTTTCCACCAGGCTCTCTTACGGGTAGTCAGCTTCTTCCGGAATTTGTCACAGCCAAACAGCTTCACTCTCCTCTTGGAGACAACAATGAAGACGGAATTACTGTCGCAGCCTTTCAGCTCAACTTCATTCGGGGCGGCCTTATTATTGGCCTGGCAATCCACCACTCTGTGTCCGATGGCCCGGGATGTGATGGATTCCTGACTACCTGGGCAGAGAACACCGTTGCAGCAGCAAAGGGAGACCCTTTCATCCCTGCAAAGCAACAGTTTGGCATACGAGGATCTCCATTGGATGTCGAAAGCCCAACAAGCGATCGAATGGAGGAACTCAAAAGCAAACTTGCTGTTGTGAAGGATGCTGGTGGCCCAATGCCGCTACCACCAGCCGACTTCAAAATGCCATCCTTGGTTCCGCAAATGTGGCACTTTGCGAAAAGTAAGACTGACCTTCTCAAGAAAAAGGCATCTAGCGAAGGCGGTAGCTGGATCTCCACGTATGATGCCATCATGGCTGTTTTATGGAGCAGTGTTACGCGCGCAAAGCTGGAAATGCTTCACCCAAATTTGGAGTCCAAGGCAACTCTAGTTCATGCTGTCGATACCAGGAAAGTCTGGGAACCTCCGCTTTCCGAGCGTTTCATGGGCGTCGGAACTTCCGCAGCACGTTGCGAGCCGTTGACAGTCAAGGACATCATCGCTCCAGGGAATCTTCCCAAGCTAGCCACTGCGGTGCGAGCATCGATTACTGCCATGACCCCACAGTACCTCAGCGGCCTGCTTCAGTGGATTGCCGGACACGAAGACCAGCGATGGCTAGAGATCAATGTCAACTCTTTCTTGGGTATGGATTTCGGGGGCTCCAGTTGGCAGGGAATGAAGGTGTATGAGACGCACGATTTCGGCTTTGGGTTGCCCAGTGCGCTGAGGTGGCCAAGCCCGGCTTTAGAAGGCTTTGTGCTTCTGTATCCCAGCCGAGCGGGGACTAGAGATGCAAAGAATGACGAAGGAATTGAAGTGTGTGTTTGCTTGGAGGAGAGCTGTCAAAAAAGGTTGATGGAAGATCAAGTGCTTTTGGAATATGCGGAGCTGAGGGGATTGTAAGGTTTAGATATAATAGAACGCTTGGCTCATGAGACTGGGCACTTCTTTATGTTTCTACCTATCTGCGGAAGTTGAGTAACACTATCCGCTTCGTTGAGGGCACGTTAGCTATATTCACCGAGTCCAAGCAAAAAAACAAAAACAGTTGTCTTCATAATTTTAAACACTTCAAACCCCAATGCTTCCACACTTGTCAGAGAGGGCTATCATTCTAGGCCTGATGCCCCTCCGCAGCCTTCAAACATTCATTCTGAACACAAAAGCACCAGCTTTCAAGTTCCATCGGCTCCTCCTAGAGTCCTTCTATAAACCCTCTCGAGACAACCTCGGGCTGCTTCAGCTCCAACGGTCCGCCACCTTTCTCTCTAGCCTTGATAATTTAACTGAGAGATTCCCGCGGCTGAAAACGCAAGCACGTCTTCCTTAATAATCGGATGGGCTTCTATCACACCTGGTTATGTCCAAGATTCATTCTGGCTTCTTTCTCCTTCCGGACTTGATATCGTAGAGGAATCTTGGGCGAAGGAAAAACGGGCAGTGAATTTCTTATATTATTGCTTGAAGGCTGATTGAACTATGGCTGACTGTATATTCAAAATGAAGAGTATTTGCTTACATACAGGATTTTCGCCTTGGTTGAGGTATCTTTAATTAATGTCTCCTCAACCCAAAGGGGTGTGTCAAGAGCTAGGTCAAAATACTAGCAACAACCTTAGGTTGACTTTAGCAACCGCTGTTGATACAGACTGCATCAAATTATGCATTTTCTTACACAGATCTAGTAGACCCTTTTTTGGCCGTAATCTGCCATCATATTTCTATCTAGATACACCTTCAAGAACAGTTCGTAAAAGACGGGTCTCCCGCCTCCGCTAGGTTGAATCACGTCACTGTTTTATACCGTATGTCTGACAAGGCCTGTAAGACCCTTGTCAGGCTTCGCTTGTGATAAAGACGCAGTGTGCTCAATGAAATTCAGCCGAGGCTAGAAGCTCCAAACGGCTGGCTCCAATTAGCCTATGGATTGAGGGTGCCCCAGTACGCTGCAGGATTATGGCCTGATGAGAACCGGCTAAAGACAGAAAATAGCAATTAAGGAAGCTGTCCAACTCGTTCTTTTCGCGGGAATTTCCCCTCTTGAGCCACCTTCATTTGCCTCGTGAGTAAGAACTTGCGTAAACCAGATTTACTTCCCAGGGTCCAGTGCTGACGATCCGCGCAGAGAAGGGTCCGCCAGCTATGTCGCCTCCTTGGCCTCTAGCATCTTGAACTATAGGTTAGCTAATTTCAAGCGCACGCCATGGCTGATCTTTAACTCTGTCTAGATACGAAGTCGGTGTTCGATCTATATAAAAGCTAGTCAAGCACTGACATCTCTAGAACGGTCGCCGCTATCATGCTTTCCATGATGGCGCTTACTTAGTAGTAAGCAGCAAGATCCATTACGCTTCGGAAGCGGTTGCGAGCTAAACAAGTTCGTAGCCCAACGACGAAGAAGAGCAAAACTGAATGGACCTGGGCCATCACATTTACAGCCTGGTTGTGGGAGGTAAAATGAATCTTGCTCCATTAAGCGACAAACCCCAGCGAGTTCTCGACATTGGCACTGGAACCGGCATTTGGGCCATAGACTTTGCCGAGTACGCCAGCTACCTCATTACAGATAGAATGATGGCTGACTTGACTCAGCGAGAATCCTTCCGCTGAGGTGCTTGGAACCGATCTGAGCCCTATCCAGGCCGACTGGTAGATGTCTGCTGCTCCTAAACGCGGAACCTGCTGACCTTTCCCTAGGATCCCCCCTAATTGCACTTTTGAAGTCGACGACTTTGAATCCAACTGGCTCTATGCCAGGCCATTTGACTTTATTCACGCCCGTGAACTTGAGGGCTGCATTGCCGACGAGCTCAAGCTTTTTCAACAAGCATGCGAACATCTTGTTCCCGGTGGCTACTTCGAGATGCAAGCTGTCGGAGCTCAGTTTTTATCTGACGATGATGCTATTGAGAAGGCAACCAACGCTCAGATGTGGATGGAGAACATTCGGAAGGGTGCTGCCATGTTTGGCAAGCCAATTGATTCTCATCCTACCTGGAAGATCAAGATGGAGGAGGCTGGATTTGTTAATGTCAATCAAGAGATTCGCAAGGTCACCTTCCCCATCTTGGAGTTTCGATTGGCGCTATGAGTACTAATATGAGAACTTAGGTTTCGATCGGTGCTTGGCCCAAGGATCCGAAGCTCAAGGAAATTGGACGATTCCAATCTCTGCAAGAGGCTAAAGTCATTGAATCATATACCCCTGCCGTCTTCAGTCGCGTGCTGGGCTGGAGTAACGAGGAGATACAGGTCTTCATTGCTAAGATCAAGAAAGAGCTTAAGGACCCGGCCATTCATCTCTATCTTCCGGTCTATTTCGTCTGGGGACGCAAGCCGGAGGGGGTTTAAGACAGGCTTGTTTAAGACAAACGACGGAAGACGGTTGAGCATTAGGTTTTTAATCAAATGCTAATACTAGACGCCACCGTTAGAGCTGTAACCGGAAAACATGGCACCGTCATTTTAGTATCGATATTGCAACTACATAATCGTTTTCAGTTACAGACCCTGAAGTTCGCCCCCTCAGGGAACAACAATCCAAATCCGGGGTCACTCTAGTCAATTGAAGAGACTGAGCCTAGCATTTCGGGGGCAAATGGAGTTCTGCTGGGGCCGTAAGCCGCTAAGACGATAAGACCGTTCACTGTTTATTCAAGGGTGATCTCCAGGCCATTTTAAAAGATAATACAAGGACAATAGATCCCCCTGAGAAAGTGAAGCAGTCCGTCGTGATGTAGACAACAAGAACACCCTCTTGTCGCGGGGTAAACCTGTCAGCAAGGGGGAATGGCCCTAGTGTTAGACAACGCACCCTCACTAGGTAACCGATGAGGAAACATGATACTGGGATGATCTTGAGTGAATCGATGACGGTGCTTGTGTTCGTGACTGATCTGTAGATGTGTTGTGTCCTTGTTCTTCGTTCCCCCTCCTCGTCTCTATATCTGAAGAGGTGAGGCCGAGATAATAGATCTGCTGATCTTGCAACAGCTGCGTAAAGCTGTTCAGATAACTTTGGTATCATCGTGAGAAATCTTCCCTTGAGGCGGCTGTCTGTGTAACAGCATCATGTATGCCACTTCTCAAACACGGGATGCCAAGTATGGCTATACTGGTGGGGTAGAGGGTTGCGGTAGTGCTTGAGCCCGAGCTGATGCAGAAGTGGACAATATGTACAACATCTACTCTGAATCCCGTCGGTTACATATTTGAATAGTCACTCATCACCCAATTCATGATCCGTTCCTTGGCTCTCAAGTCATGAGTTTACACGAACTTGCCAACGGAGCTCTATTACTACTTCGCCAGCGACGCCTGCGGCATGGAAGTTGCATGGATTGTGGTTTTACAGCAGCATTCCAACGCTCGTTTCAACCCATGGCTACGGGCCTACATATTATGAGCAATCGGCTCCAAGGTAACCCGAACTCACTCCATTGCTAATTCAATATATGAAGATATACAAGACTCCAAGTGTTAACCGAAGGTCTTCCCGGGATTTACAGATTCACCACCAGGGCCATAATAACAGCTCCAGAGCAAATCACGATTGAGTAACAACCTCCTGGAGAAGCAGAACTATCAGAGTCTGTCTCAGCCGACTCGTCTGCCGAATCGGTCTTGTCTCCTCCCGTCGGAAGAGCCCCGCTGCTTTCCGTCAGTGTTGCCCCGGTAGTGATGGGGCGAATCGTCCCAACCGCGATGCCAGACCCGTTGCTCTGCGGAGGATTTCCCTTGATCCTACCTCCCTCTTTCGGCTTCTGAGGTATCCCAAGACCTTCCCAGTCACTCCACCGGCTTCCATCCCATTCCCTATGCCATACTCTGCCGTCAAGATCCACAGCAAAGACGTTGATCGTTCCCGGCTCTCGGCTCAGTGCGAGGGGAGGACTATCGAATGGCCCGCCGAGAGACTCCCACTCGGCTTGCCAGCCAACGCCATCCTCGTATGCCAAGTGATAGACGGAATAGTCCTCACCTAGCACAAAGACATCGAGCCTCCCAGTTGCCCAGCTTACTACAGCTGGAGGACTCACCCATGAGCCACCAAAGTTGTTAAAACCTCTGTTCCAAGCACCACCCCAGTATTTCTGATACAAAGCATTGTCGACCCCGATTCCAAAGATATCAATGCGACCTTCACCCCAACACGTAGCCGCCGGCGCAGACGTGAACTCTCCGCCAAGGCCTTCCCATTGCGTGGCCCAGCCGTAATCGTTGTCGAACGAGAGGTGCCAAAGTCCGTCGTCGGTTCCGAGGCCGAAGATGTCCAGGCGAGATTTCGACCATGAGGTGACGGCCAACTCCGAGGTTAGGATCCCACCGTGGTTCTCCCACTCAGATTGCCACTGTTGACCGTTCCACTGCAAAGATGGCAACTGTTAAGGTCTAAGGTTCATAGATGGGAATATCAAGGAGACGTACCGATTGGTGATATAACCCCCGATCGCTCTCTCCCCTTCCAAAGACATCCAATCGATCTCTGCCCCATGAAGTGGCGGCGAAAGAGCCCGTGAAGGTTTCCTCATTCAACTCATCCCACGATGTTTGCCAAGCCTGTCAGTTCCAGGAATTATGCATCATGCGATCCGTCTCTCGGCCTCGAGCAAATGCGTCAAGTCGGTTGGATCCCCAGCTCACTATCGTAGGCGTCACGGCGGCAAATGAGCCACCCAGCGAGTCCCAGCCGCTGTTCCATTTCGATCCATCCCGGCTTTGATGGTAAATGGCGTTATCAGCACCGATAGAGATGAGGTCAAGCCGCGTTGAGGACCATGACGCTACGGCTAGTAACTGCTTTGTGATGGAGACAGGCATAATGTGCGGGCCGAGGAAGAAGGAGAAGGAAGCAAGATCGACCAAAGGACCAAGACGAACCCCGCCTTTCTTTTATGAGGCCATTCTGAATCTGCTTGGATGATGGGATGGTGGCGCAGAATTAGTTGGGGGCCAAAGAGTTTGTGGCTACGATCCGGAACAGCCACTGGTCCAGAACTGTCAGCTGGAGGCGCCATTGATTATTCGCTTCGGCTGAGCCAGGATCATGGCTGAGGAGGATGGTAACAAACAGATGTGGCTTAGACCTAGTCTCATTCGACAAACTCATAGTGACCAATCTCCCAAACTCAATTCTCAAACACTCTCAAATAACCTCACATTGAAAGGACTGTTTCCCTTCGTCATTGTATCTCTTGATAGGACGCCCAAAAAAACTATTGCGAGAACAGCCAGTCCTCTATATACCTGGAGATCGTCGTCTTCACGCATCATAGGGACATCGAGGTTCAATAATATCTTGTACAGTGGTGACGGGAAGATATGGGTTGAAGAATCTAGATCAACGACGAGAGGAACATTTATCTCCTCCAAGGTGTCATGGCTCACGTGGCACGATGACTCTGGTCTTGGTTTAGCTACCTGCCTCTTCATCACTTTATCCACAGGCGTGCATTAAGGAGCGTGCTTAAATTTAGTTATGTAGTTATCATCGTAGGTGTGCCTTAAATCCATGCCTGGACCTATAGACCTAAATTTACCGAGTACAGACCTATTCTCTTCTATATACACGGTCGGGCTCCTTTACTCCAATAGCTACTTTTTTATTGCTAGTTTACATGCGGCTAGAGATCGTACACTTACTTGTAGGAAATCTAGGTGTTACGGTATCTAGTAGCATTCTTCTGATGTCTAATCACAGCTTGCAGCTTCTGGTCATTCAGTAAGCGACAATAAAACATAATGCACTGAGAACCACGAGCCCTCATCATCTTTCAGTCGCCGACTCATTACAGATCCTGACCTGGTTGGCAAGTGACATGGTCTACGGTAGTATGGGCAGAACAGCGCTCTATCTTTCTCGAGCAATAAGTACTCGACTTTGTACGAGGCCATATGGAGGCATTCCAATACCCGTCAACTACACTCTACCTGAAGTTGATGCCGGAAGAAGGGGATAATAACTTGGTGTACGATTTAAGGACGACATCTGGAAGGGCCTTTACCAAATCGTAAAGGAAGTGGTCGGCTTACGCTTTTAGCCCGTGTGGAGATCTGTTATCTCTGACCTCCAGGAGTCTTGTTATTTAAGCTGCCAGCCGGTTTCAAGCCTTATACGGGCTATCTATAACTAACTTCAAAACATACTGGAGTAGTAGAAAACCCCGCGCTGATAAGCGAGTATGCTTTAATAGAGCTGGCTGCTATTATCGATTATAGCGTTTACCAATAGGTGATAAAGTAGTGCTAGCGACTACTAGATAATAAGGAATTAGACGACGGAAGGTTATTGTCAACGGAGTCAGTCCAGCTGATCAAATCAACATGGACGAAATACGAGGTCTCTGTCGAATCTTTTCCCGGTCAGCAGGAATCGGACCAGCTTCCAGCCACATACGCAACGATGTAGCTGGAAAAGTAAAGTGGAGATAAGCAGGCAGCTCGTCGTTCGCTACCTTCAGCAAGGATAGAGCCCTCTCCGCCCGCGTCGGGTCGTATTGAGGATGTGCCGAGAACGCCACGGGGTCTCATGATTGCTAGACCACCGGCTAGACCCAGCCCCTTGAAGGAGAATCGCACCAATGATCGGGCAAAGGGATTCATATCAGGCCCGCCTGTCCCGGCGAGTCAGAAAAAGAGGAGGCCAGCTTGGGCAGATGGGCTTACTTCGTCAGCGGCTCACTAGATATTAATGCCAAGACCGGCCCGTCCCGCGACGGTCGCGTAAAGCCGATTGGATTATCTTTGTTGTCTCTATTCTCGCGAAAAGAGAAAATATGCCATGTGTTGTCCCGAATTGGTTTACCGGATGCAGTCAAGACGGCTGCTGAAGTCAAGGAATTGCGGCATTTTCTCAATTAATATCCCCGGAAAGGCCTTAGACCGCTGCTGCCTGATTTACAACCTGCAGCGACACCAAAATAAGCAGAACTTATCCTGGGGTCGTTTCATACTCGGGCGAGAACTCATTTACCTCACTGATCAGCAGGGCTCAGGCCAATTTGTGGTTGTGCCAAGGCAACAGAGCGCACTATACCTAACTTAATCGGTAAGTCACATGCACTCCTCGGGGAGCGGCAGCCTGACATGTCCGGCAGCCTGATCTATTCGGCAGCCTCGTTTCGTGGCATGAACAACAACGCACGAGCAGTTAAATAATTGAAACTCCAATAGTCAAACCCCTCACGGCTAGTCGACCATCAATTGTCCCCTCAAGCCCTGCGACTGCGGCTGTGCTTTGCCTATAGCAATATGCGGACTTTCCAGCCCAACTGTACTTTGCCAACGACCCACGGCTTCGTGCATAATCCCAACATTCGCGGAACCATGGAAATTGTCTGGGACTCTCTCGGGGTCATCATCCTTTGCACTTGGTCGATCCTTGCAGTCCACGTACCTGAGCAATTCAACGACCCCGTCCCCGGCAATAGCAAGTTCACGTCAGCACTTGGCCGACTGGGGAGAGCCTGCTACCCAATGTTGATTAAGCTGGGGTGGGTGCTGTTCACCCTCCTCGTGCCCGAGTTCGTGCTCGGGAAAGCACTTAACGGCTTTATGCGCGCGCGAGAGGTAGAGAAGAGCAAACAACCCGGCGTGTCCGAGAAGAAGGCTGCGGTCCCAGCCCTTTACCAGGAACAGATGAAGGGGTGGACAGCCACTCACACGATGCTAGCGGACATTGGTGGCTTCGGTATTGATTTTCGGAGTCTGCTGCCTTCCCGCAGCGAGTCTGGCGAGAGTCTAGCAGCTGATCATGGAGCTGATGTGCTAGTCCCATCTCCAGGAAATAATATCGAACAAAGGAAAGACATGTCGGCACCAGAGATCCAAAGCCGAACCGACGACACTCCTACACAGGCGGCAATGGGCCGGTATAGCCCCCTACTTCCTGCCGATGCCATATCAATCGCAGCTTGTCCCGAAGATCGACGTCTCACAAACTTCATTCAAGAAATAACACACGCTCACAGTAGCCTAGGCGGGTTCGATTGGCAACCAAATCCAGATCACCGTCGGATAATAAATGAACTGGCGTCCGAAGGTCACCTACCGGAAGAGTGGTCGTTTGAGCAATTTAACGAGTGGGCTAGGTCCCCTTTGTACACATTGTGCGGAGACAAATGGATCCTCAATGCGACGCAATTCCTGCAGGCGGCGGAAAGAGGACTTATTGCACTACCGACCCGAGAGGTCACAGAGAGCGTCATTCGGGACAAAAGCAAGAGCAGTGACCTCGTGTCCTTTTTTGCCTTGGTCCAGATCGTACAGTTAGCAGCTTCGTTGGTCGACCGGGCCACCCACCACATAGCGATCAGCCAGCTGGAGATGGTCGCACTCGCCTACGGTGTTTGTGGTATAGTTTCTACTTTCTGGTTTCTGTCATTGAATCGTCACTACATAGACTAACATGACAAAGCCATTGCAACGTACCTTCTCCAGTGGTCATGCCCGAAAGACGTTGAGGTACCTGTCTTCGTACCCGCACTAAGGGCAGCATCGAAGGAAGACGTCATGCTGATAAGTCGGCAAGGGCAGGCAAGGTGGTGGTGGGGGGGCATGTTTCAACTTGGTCGCACATACACCATTCCATACCTTTTCACGCCCAGACATTCTTTAGGCCATGACGTCGGGACCTTGATAGCGCTCGTGATCTTCGGATCCTTCCACTTGTTGGCCTGGGGATTCCCATTCCCTTCTGCCGTCGAACGACTTATATGGCAGATCGCTTCGGTAGCAATCACAGTGATTCCGGCAGCGATACTGGTCGTTATGGCGCTTTTGTTGCTAGGGGTTTCCGGTCCAATTCGGTCTGTATCTGGAGAGGGCACACTCTTATGGTTTAGCCTTTATCCTATGATATTAGTTTCGGCTTTATTCGGCTTGGGGAGGATGTTTCTGATTGTGGAAGCTTTTCGATCTTTATACTTTCTTCCTCCATCTACCTATATTGCTACGGGCAGCAGTAATATGCCCGGTATTAGGTAGTTAACATTCAGAGTTTCATCTATTTAGAATTCTCTATTAATATATATAATAAGTGAGTCAGTTGCAGTTCGAATGGCTGGCATCCAACTTCATCCATGCTTATTATTCCTGGCACATTGTAAACATGGCACGAATCCAGAGCCCTCACTAGATTTAGAGGGCCTGATTCGTCAGATCTAACACATCGTGACCAAGAGTCCCGACAGACTCAATGGCTGCTGAGGCAGAATTATTGGTGGAGCATGAATCTGGGCTGCTGCCTATTATGGGGCCGGCTGACGCGGATCCGCAAATGCGAGTCTGCGTGTGATCATCCGCCTGGGTCAAATCAGTCAGCTCCACTGTCCCATGGGTAAGCTCTCCTAGCAATCCGTGCAACACAATTAGTATGCATTTATTGCTTGGATCGATTGAAAGCTTGCTTCTCACCTTGCCCATGCCCGCGAACTGTGGTTTTCGCTGCTTTCATGACTAAAATGTGAAATGGCGTATCGCAGAATGCGACAATAATTGCCGACGTGTGGTGTTGATAGGTTTCTTGGGAGAAGGCTGGCCACCTTCGGCTCTGTATGGTGCGAACTCTACCGGACTCTGCGCCCAACGTGGCAGCATTGAGTGCTGCGCTATTTTCTTGATGTCGATGTTCTCTTCCCACTAATACATTTAACGTCGGGATTGAAACCGGTGGCGAAACACGACGGAATACAGCTATCGGATGATGCTTTCTCGGAAGCATTGGATAATAATTACCTGGCTTAGGTGATAGGGCTGATAGTAAAGATAAATAGGGCAGGGATCTAGGCTATTATAGATAGAGTACTGGACTGGGAAAGATAGTGCGGTATAACGTTTAAAGGTAACAAGATGACTATCATACACTTCACGCGTAATTCCGAGCGTACCGGTGACAAGCCATTCGTAATTAAGGGAAAAGGAGTTAATCCGACATAAAGCGCTAAAGTCCTAGGAGTGGTGATAGATGCGAGGCTACGGCTAGAGCAAAGCCTTGACAGAGCATATTATATATTTTCGAGAGCTTCGACAGAGCTTTTCAACACTTGAAACTCTTTCATAATCATCTCCTTTCGCGTGCCTACGTTGTCTTCTTCTTGAACGAGCCACCTGATTGTTTGGAGACCGAGATCCTCAGGAATAATCTCCTCCAGGTTCCGTAGGAAGTGGCGCTCAATCACTTGCCGCAACACATTGGCGATATAGATATCTCGGTCAATCTTGGGACACCAATGTCAGCCGTTTCCTCCGTAACGCATCACAGGGCCGAATCACTAGGTAATGCAACCACATAGCATCCAGGTACGTCTCAGCTACGTCCTCAACAGGTTGCTGCTTACTGTACAGCCCGGAGTGCCTTGTATATATGTTACAGTCGAGGTTTCCGGCCTCCCCCTGCAGCAACGACTCGATCTTATGGATGGCTCTTACAGCGCGTCTGAAGTCTCGCTGTTGATGGTGCGGCCTGGAATCCTTCACAAAGCGGACATCGACGTTCCTGGCAAAACGCAGCAGCATATGTTGATCTGGGGGTTAGGTTTAGTGTAACGGTCGTGTCTTCTGGTCTGCCGTAGACGTGGTCTAGGGTAGGTAGAAGGTTGGGTACTGGGGGTATAAACCGTAGGTTTATATTAGCAGAGCAGTTAGGGCGTTACTTACAGAGGAAGAATTACGTCTGGTAATAGTTAAGTACAGTAATATATAGTAAGTCAAGGTAATTGAGGTAACTAAGTTATATTAATAGCTGAGTAGCTGCTTATCCTAGATAGGCACTTCTTAGATAACTATATACTAGGCGGATTACTTAGGCAGAGTCCGGATTACTGGTAATTCTAGAGATCACTGGTGATCTCTAAAAATCACTGGTGATTTATATAGGTCCCGTGGTGATCTATCGGTGGCCCTATTCTTCCGTTCCGGACGGGTGGGTCCCTTAGTGTAAGCTGCAGCGATATAACTTTGCCCAGGGGGGTTTTGTGGGGCCGCACGTGACGTCAGGCGTCCATGTTGTATGGGCCGTAATAATACTAAAGGTATCGATCCCGAGACCGGATTCCTAGGAATCCAGGCCTTTGAGGCCGGCAGGCTAGAAACCCAATACTAGTTGAACCTTCCTCTTAGACCCTTCTATCTGACATATCCAAGGTTATCGTCAGTTTCTTTATCTATAAAACTGACTCAAAGACCCTTATTAGATAGAAAGAATTATTAGAGGCCAAAAGCTATAAGAAGGGTCTGTAGCGCTCTAACTGCAGAAATCCACTGTTACGCAGTAGCGGCCGCGCCTAACAGCCACAAGGTCGCAGCTGCGTCGCAGAATTGCCGCAGCTAGCTTTCAGCTAGTAAGTGGCTGAGGAAGTTATGGAATACGGGCTAAGTGTAACTAGCTGGATCTGAGAGCTCCGACTGGGTTATAAGAGACCCAGCCAGGCTGGAGTCTCAGAATTAAAAAGGCTAATTAAACTAGCTAGACCTAAGTAGCTAAGCTACAGCTAGCTAGCTGGGGTATTAGAAGAAGGGATACTAACTCTAGCTATAAGAGAGCTATTAGAGAAAAAGGGAAAAAGGGAGGCTAGAGATTAATATAGTTACTAGTATTATTTCTACTAGCTAGCTGCTATCTTATAGTGTGTCTGCCCTCTTTACTTTCTTATATATAACCAGCCCTAATAAGAATATCAAAAGCTTCTTATATATATAGATTATTTCCATCTAGGTACTAAATGCAATATATAGCCTAGTATTAAGACTAATATAATTATAAGAGAACCTAGGTAAGGTTGCCTTAAGGATAACTAGCCTGGTATAATATATAAGTTTTACTAGTATGGGAGTAAATTAACCTAGGCGGAGGAACTTATTTCCTTATAGGCTAAAGAGGCCCTAAATAACACTGAAATAGATTAATAGTATTAAGCTTAATCTACTATTCTTAAAATCTTCTATAGCTATAAAGTATAGAAGCTGTAGTATAATATTAGCAGTAGGGTTATACTCTATCTCCTTTCTATTATTTAAGGGCTAAATTAGGTTATCTAAAAGGTATTTGCTATTATAATACTAATCCTCCCCCTCCTTCTTCTACTCTTTATTATCTTTATTATTATTATTCTTATCTTTACTATTAAATAGAATACCGGGCTTATTACTAATATATTTAGTAGTATAAAACTCTATAGTAGGCTCTTCTATTTTTTATACTTAATTATTCTATAATTATATTAATATTATAGCTTAAGATTAAAAGAACTCTCTTATTATTATTAACTTTATTATTATTTAGGAAAAATATTATAAATAAAGCTAGAAATAAAGATAATATTTATATTTATTCTAATAAGCTTATTTAAAGCTTAAGTATATAATAAGCTTAAAGGGTATTTTAAAAGTATATCTAGAAATTATATTATAAAGTTACTATTAAAGTAAAATATTAATATACTATATTATATTTCTATATTAATTAAAGAAATAATTAAGTATTATTACTATTAAAGCTAGCTTTTACTTATTATTAGCTAAATTTTCTAAAGCTTATCTATTATAGTTATTTAAATAAAAAGAGTAGCTAGTATTTATAAGTAGTTTTAAAAGTAAAATAAAAATTTCTTTATATATATTACTATATTCTTTAAAGATATATTTTTAATTAATCTAGTATATTTAAATAGTTAATAAGCTAGCTATTAATATACTGCTATCTACTAGCTTTAAGTAGTAGAATAATAGCTAGTTAAAATACTAATACTCTTTTAATTATAGTTATTCTATAAAAGCTTATATAAATACTAAAGCTATCTTAAGAAATATATAGCTATTAATAGCCTACCTAACCTACTAGAAGCAGTCTTATTAAATAATCTATAAATATTAGATATCTCTTATACTCTAGCTTTAAAATAAAAGCTTCTTATTAATATAATCTCATATCCAAGCCTTTATTATATCCAGTATATAAACCTTAGTTACACTATATATTAGTAGAGTATTTATTCCACTTTTAGTATAGCAGTTAATATAATAGCCTTCCTATTATATTAAGCAGCAAGCCCTATCTTACTATAATAAGCCTTCTTAATATACTTTACTATTACTTTATTATTAATTGAGTATAGAGTGTAGTATTTACAAGCTAAACCCTCCTATAATGCTAAGTATAAATAAGAGCTGGAGTAATTAGGCTATAGTAGACGCTCTGCTAGATCGGGTAGGTTTAAGGAATAGATAAGAGACTTAAGTCCCCAATAGGCTAACTTTAATACTCTATACTTTTCTCTAAGGTACCTCAAGACCCGATTACTATCTGCTTTGAGGGCAAAGCTATATACAGTGCAGATAATTGCTAGCTCTGGGTTTAGATAGGCTGAGCCCAGCTAGCCTTCGATGCTATGGGGTACTTGGGTGGATTACTAGGCCGCCCCCTTACTGAGGTATGCAGGCAGTTATATTTGGATGGGAAAGAGATGGAGGATAGAAACGATAATGCGGCTGTGAGTATAGGCGGCGTTGAGGAACTGCAATTGAGAAAACCAATATACTCAGGGATGCAGTTCTTCAAGGCTCCTTCTTTTACTCGACTCCGGCACACATTACATCAGTGGACAAGCATCTATATTTGAAGGCCAGGGGCTATAGACACTTAATTAGTTGACATATTGTACCTCAATTATCTCTACAGGGATTGTACAGGGGTAGATACATTGGCGTACTGGAAACGGGGCGCGTTTCGTGTTTTGTTCGTGTTTTTATTAGAAATTCGCAAAAGTAGAAACGGGGCCCGTTTCTAAGAGACGTAAACCTGGTAGAGGTCATAGAATGTAATTGGACTAAAAGTGGAAACGGGGCCCGTTTCTACGCATAATACTTGAGTAGGGTCATTCAGTAGCAAGCCGGATGTCCACAGAAGGCAGGTGGCTGCACCGATAGAAGAGCGATGGAGGAAACCTGATGAAGATAGAAGCCTCAGGAGCTCTTTTTCGTGTATACCAATCCACTTTAGGCGGATTCGCGCCAAGAACCAAACGGTCAGAGACAGGTCCTGCGATGCTCGTGGGCCGTCTTCCTCAAGTGGACGATCAGCCAAGCAGACTTGTTGAGTCGAGTTATTCGTATGCCCCGCATGGGTCAAACCGAAAGGCTCGAAGAAGTACCGGACGCATGGGTCATGTGAGATGCGTCTCGTATCTTCAAAGAACAAACTCAAAGCGGCCGAGTGCAACGGTACAATTCCTCTCGGCTGGCTAGCCCAAGTGTGTCAGTCAGTTCGAGGTTCGCCAATTTCACCAACCTGTTCGTCCGTTTCGCCCTTACAGGGGTGGTACCGATGTTCGAAAGTCCCCCTATCGTCTCGATATTCTGCACGTCAAAGCAATTAAAGGGAACCCCCTTTTCTGGTGATGAGTATATACGCCATACCGATAACACTCAACACGTATACGGTCACATTAAGATCTGATAACTCATACTATCGTCTCATCGCACGCTCCGGTAGGGCATATTGTTGGTCATAAGCCTCGGTGCTTCATCGTTATTCATTAGGTATTCAAAAACCAGTCACACAAGAGCCCGCCAATCCCCTCACGCCGTAGGCTTCAACAACCGATACCTCACAATCAACCACATCCTCGACCTCGCATCGACCGCCACGTCCTTCATTCCAACCCTGAGCGCCCAATCCCCAAACTGCTCATCCGCCTCGCTAATCCTAAACAAGCTCAACGACCCGGTCTTCACAGGCCCGCTATCAAACACCGTAAAGTCTCCCTCTGTACCAGCAACATACTTAAAGTCAACAGCCAGATCCCCCGGCCCGGAGACATTCAGGTTCGTCCCGAGCGTCACGTCCGCGACCCTCACCTTGGCGGGGTCCCGTCCCGCCACAAAGGCGGGAAGCCGGGAGAGCAGCCCGCGGAGTACGAGGGTGCGGGTTTCATCACCCGTCGACGGAGACGCAAGCCTAGCCCACTCAGCCGCAAACTCAGCCCTCACATCCCACAGCGCCAGCAGGCCTGATTCTTTGCTCTTGTCCTCGACGGTGGACACCCAATCAACCACGTTCTGCGTAGCCGCCTTCCGCAGGCGCTCTCCGCCCTCGCAGGCCGTGTACCGCAGCTGCAGCACCACGTCAGCAATGGACGAGTAGTCGAACGGACGGAAATCGACCGGCGGGAGGGTGATCTGCCAGGTTGACACCGCCCCGGCGCCTTCGAAGGGCAAGTACCGCTCGTCGCGGATGTTGAGCTCGAACGCGCCGGAGTCGTTCTGCCCGGACCCGACGGCGACGGCGTCGATGGGGACGACGGCGGTGCGGAAACGCGGGTCCATGGCTCCGCCGGATGTGTCCTCTGCGTAGTCCCGGCCCGAGGTGGCGAGGCTGTCGGCCCGGTACCGGTGCTTGAGGAGGCGGAGGGATGCGTTGACGCCGACGTACGGCCCCACGACGCAGGGGACGGTCACGGAAACGGTTTTGATCCGGCGGAAGAAGTGCCCCGGGAAATCCACGTCGAAGGCCACCTCGGGGATGTCAAAGGTGCAGGTTCCCGTTTCTCGTAGGGCGACGAGCGCGTAGGGATTAAGCTGCCGCAGGGAGACAGATTTCGCCATCTCGTAGTCATGCCCCCGACTGTCCTGGTACGCGACGTCCATCTGCTTCAGCGCCAGGTACAGCTGGCTGCTGGCCTGCAGGCCGTCGCGGGCCGGGTTGAAGTAGCCGAAGGAGATGAAGTCGAGCGCCTGTTGGGCCAAGGTGGGCCGGCGCTCGAAGCGGAAGGCCTGCTCGGCCTTTTTGGCGAGGTCGTAGGCGAGGAGATACGTTTGGTACATGGACGTGCGCGTGCTGCCCTCTAGCCAGGCGTACAGCTCGTCGTTGGTGTACTTGTTCTTCATGAACTCGCTGACCTCGTTGGCGTTGTCGATGAGCTGCTGCTGGTTGGCCATGTCCTGGTTGGCCATCTGGACGCGTGTTTCCTGGGCTGCGATCTGCGTGTTGATTTGCTCGAATTCGAGCCCGGCGAGGTTCATTTGGTGGAGGCGTTCCTGTGTCACATCGTGAGCTGAAAGTCATTGACTAGACTGGTGCTTGCCTCGCCGTTCTTACCTGGTACTGCTTCACGTAGCTGGCCTTCCTCGACGCTTGAGAAGACTTGAAGTTGGCTGAGCCGGCGTTCATTTGGTCCAGCCGCGCGGAGGCCTGCAGGGCGTTGAGCAAATTCGACGGCCCTATTACGCACGTATACATGTCAGCTTTCCCTACTGACCCCTGACCGTGATAGACACAACGGAGGATAAGACTTACCCCAAACCAGTTCGAATCCGCATCCCATAGGTTCAGTATGGGGAGTGATCTGGGGCAACATAGCCAGGATACTCGCCATAATCTCAATGCTGGCGGCGCTTTCGGTATACGACTGCGCCACGGCTGCCAGCACCTCGGACTGGGTCTCAAGCGAGTTGATGTGAGCATCGCTCCCGCTGCTGGGACTGTCAACGTTAATCGCCTTCACTTTGAAGGGGTCAGTGCCGCTGCCCAAAGCATTGGCTTCTACGCCTGCTAGACGCGAGTAGAAGTCGAAGCGATGTTTCGATGACTGCGGGAGATTTCGGTTAGTCGGCTTGCTTCCACACAACCGGGACAATAAAGAGATCTCACCGCCTGGCTGGCACGCAAGGCTGTCAGTGACCTCTCAGCCTCCTCAAGCGAACCCTTTTTCAACTCCATAATCATGTTATTCATGGTGATCTCATGCCCCGTCCGGAGGACCTGGAGAGCTTCGCCATCCCTCTTCTCCTTGATGGACAGGAATGTCGACTCAAGCCCTTTGAGCTCGGCCGTGGCCTCGAGGGCGCGGCTCATCAGCCAGGTGAACCGGTAGTTGGGCAGACTAGCATTCAGATCGTTGAGCGCACTGGACAAGCTGAGACCCGATGCTACGGCCGCCACCAGCTGCCCCGGGTCGATGGGCGGCTCCCACAGCGCCAGCGGCATGGGTCGGCCGTCGATATCCAGGCAGTTTCGGATGTTGTACAAGCGCTGATCGATGGTGGAGCGGAGGGCTTGGAGGTTTGGGTTGTTTGGGAGACAGAAGTATCTCGATGTCGCGAAGCCAAAGATGTTGGCCAGTCCGATCTGCTGCTCCCAGTTCCCGCCACGCCATCCGCACTTCTCTGACTGGGACCACATCTTCCAAGCTTGGCTGGTGTCACCCATGGCATGCCACATCGCACCGGTCTGATTGCTGTAGGGGAATGCCACTTCAATCTGGACGGCGGCATTGCTGAAGGCGTCCCATTTGTCGAGCAGCGAGAAATACGTCTGTGGGATCTTCTTCCCTTGCTTCGGAATCATCTCTCCCTTGGGTCCGAACAGGTGGCTGGCGAGCACGTAGAGCTGGATGGCCAAGGGGATGTCTTCCAACGTGCGTCGCCGGAAGTACATGTCGCCATACGCAACGAGCGTCTTGATGTACAGCGCCACCGTCCATTTCATGTACGCCACGATGCGACCTCGTGCCAAGACGTAGGGCCGGAACGGCGCGTCTCGCCACTCTGTGATGCGTTCGTCGTAACGGCGGGGACTGAGGCTGTTCAGGATACCTTCTAGCACGCGGCTGGTCGTCGAATGCTCGAACGGCATCCACTTCCACACCTTGCGGATGTCTGTGCCTTGGGCATGCGGGTTGAAGACCTGGTTCATCATCGCCAGGGCGTCGTCAAACTGCTGGCTCTTGGCCAGGGCATCAGCGACCTGCATCGGGCCATGGAACCCGATTTCCCAGTTGTATTGGGAGTACGGCTTGGAAAGCTCCGCGAAGGTGGCTGTCCAGTCGGAGCTGGACGGCGGATCATTCGTCCCGAAGACTGGGACGACATTGTCAAGAATCAAGGCAGGCTGTCTGTACAACTTCTCGATTGGCTCAACGCCCGAGTCCTCGGTGGCGCTGCTCGCGGCCGTGACGAGATTCTGCGGGAAAGGATGGTAAAAGATGTCGGTTGTACCATCAACGTACGTCACCAAGCCCGCTGCGTCCTGCACGTACGACACGTTTGGTACCTGGTACTTGCCGTCAGATATTTTGCCCACATGCAGAAGGACCGGCCCGCTCTCTCCATCCGAGATCTGAAGCGTTTGGACAACATGATCATCTTCCCGTCCGTTGAGCACGTGGAACGACAGTTGCGAGATATGCGTTGGACTCTGCGCGGTGTAGTCGCGGCTCTGGAAGAGCTGGCTGCCGTCGAATACATACGTGCCGGCGTACCGTACTGTAGCTGCGGGTATGGATTGAGCTGGCAACGGTGCTCGCTTATCCTTGTCCTGCGTGACAGTCCAGAAAGAGGCGTAATACCACACCTCGATGCGGACACTGTCGTTCGCCGTGTCGATGTATGGCAGGAACAGAAACGAGTCGACGGGCTGAAGAAAGTATCTTTCGTATACGGTCTGCTCCGGAGCATCGGGGCCCAGTGTTATGGAAGGGCTTGATTTCAACGTCGTGTCCACTGTGAGGAAGGCATCCGATGAAATCCGCTTCTGCGTCCACTTACCGGCGCGGTACTCGGTCCATGCGAGCTTGATCTCCCATGCCTCGCCAGGGCTCATGGTTTCGGCACTCTCAGAGCTCCTGGAACTGGTGAACTCGCTGAAGGACTTGGTCGTGGCAGTATCGTTAGGTATTGTCTTCTTCGTGAGCGTCCCGATGAAAACCAGCGTCCTAGACTTCCAGCCGACTGGAGTGACGTAGCAGCCCGTGTGCGATCTGAAAGTCTGGTTCGAGGAGCCCTGGCTGGCGTCGAGTTCAAGTCTGAGCTGGGGGATTATCGATCTGTCTTCTTGCCACTCCACGGTATAAGTCGGGATATCCACCGTGATTCGTATCCAGGGAGACCATTCTCGAAGTCCCGAGTCGTAGGTGCGATGGAAGAACAGATACGGAGCACCCGCCGTCATGGCCACACAGTGGAGGACATATTTGCTGCCGTCGGTCAAGCTCTTGTTGTCCAGGTAGAGACCTACGGCTTGCAGTCTCGCAACCTGCGCCAAACTGTCGACATAGCCACGGAAGGACTCAAGGATGTTCTCGGGCTTGGCATCGCGCTGCATCAATGTGCTCTCCATGTCGGTATAGGCAGGCGTCTTCTTGTCGCGCAGTGACGGCACCAACCAGTTTTCAGGGTGGAGGAAGACCTTCCGGTTGGCGGACCACGCAATCTGCTTTGACATCCACTTCCACCGCTCCTCGTCAAGCACGATGTTTTCAGAGCCCTTCTTCTCTAGGCCGAGGAAGCACCTCTGGACAAACAGCTGCACCGAGGATATGGCCTGTTTGGTCCGAGACGTCTGCATGCAGGGGCCCATCTGCACATCCAGGAGCAAGAACTCAAAGAGGCTGTCCGCGTCGACAACGCCCCACGACTTTAGAGCAGGTTGTATCACGAGGTACGTGATGAGCGCGTCTCGCTGGTTGCGGCGTAGCTGGTCGTGCGAGGGCTTGATAGCCTGCTCAAAGTCTGATGCAGTGTATTTGCCCCGAATGGTCTTCCGGATATTCTTGGCCAACTTCCAGGTCGAGCTGAAGTCGAGTTTGAGGTCTGTCCACGACATAAGAAGGTTGATATCCTTGATACCGACGGTCTGCGTGAAGGCTATGGCTTTTTGCAGCTGCGTCAAGGTGACCTCATCTCGGAAGAATTTGACATCGCCAAGGTCAAAGTTGGCGGCGTCGATCAAGGATTTGATGGTGTCTACATCCCATGTGGTGACTTTAGAGACGGCTGTGCTGATCTCGTCGGCCGTGGCCGTGTCACGGAGTATCGCCCACTTGAAGAGGTCAATCAAACCTTTCTCTCGGCTGACGAGAGTCTTGCGAAGCTCATAATACGCAAGAAGTCTCTTCCATGCGTCCAGCGAGATGTGACCGAAGTCCAGGTCGGAGAAGTTTGAACCATGAGCCTGGAAGTACTCGACTTCCCCCAAAACCAGAGAAAACGCCTGTATCACGATGGACGCCTTGGAAAGCGCTTCAAAAACAGCAGTGCCTTGGCTGAGAGAAGTGTCGGGCATCAGCGCGCCGGAGGGGACTTGTGTAGCGGCAGATCTTTCGGTCTTCCACTGCAAATCGCCTGGCACCGTCTGCCCAGTGACTGAGAGCTTGACAGTCTTGCCGCCGATGAGTTTGACGGGGCCGGTCCACCACAGGTTGTTTGGATCTTCGTTGAGATTGTCGAAAGTGATGCTCACTCCGTCCAGAATGAGAGGCGGCGGCTGGCTGTCTCCATACCCATAGAACACATAAGTATCAGTCGAGGGAGGGAGCAGGTATCCCGTCCAGGTTCCGCCGGCAGCAGGAGCAGAGCTCTTCAGACCAGCAAGAACATCCATCGCGCTCTGCTTCACGGTGCCTGTGTCGATCTGGATGACATCTTGCAGAAGCCATGCGCAGACATCAGTTGACAGGGACGTCGCAGCGGACATGGTTGTGGTCACCAGCTTGGTGTACAAATAGGACCGCAGATACGGCATGAATTCTTTCATGAAGTAGGCACGTTTCGTCGGCGCCGTGCCGGGGTCAGGGTTATCTCCAGTCGTTGCAGGGACGTCCCCTTGAGTGAGGATCTTCGTGGCGTTGTCGAGTTCGTCGTCCCCGACAACCTTGCCAAGGTCTTGCTTCACAAGCCGAACGGCCTGGGTCTTGAGCCTGGCCAGCGCTGCGGACCAGTCGCTGTTGCCGGGGAAAAGACCTGTCGCAGTGGCCATCTCGGCGTCGGTCAGGCAACCCGTCACTGACAATGTCACTCGTCGGTTTTGCGGAGTCGGGGGGTCTTTATATGCAAGTTTCATAGGAGCCTTGGTGGCGTCAACGACCAATCCTGGCGGCGCATTTGTGGTGAAGACCTTGGCGCCCTCGATGAGGCCGAGAATGTCTTCAACGACTGCTGGGTCGAATATTAGAAGCGCCTTAGCTCTCACCTGCGCCGACGTGACCACGTCGAGTTCGGACTCGGTCAAGTCCGCATTGGAGTTGTCAATGGCAATCAACCCATCTACGATTGTCTTTGCTACCCGTAGCACCTGGAATTTGTTTGGAGCAATGGGACGCAAGGGGTCGTCCGCATTCAGGATGATATACCGCAGCTGCTTGACGGTAAAAGAAGCGTTCGAGATGCGCTCCCATAGCAGGACCAGGTCCAGTGTCACCGAAGGGCTATCATATGGCTTTGGGAAGAGATCCAGGACATCAAGAAGGACGTTCGGCCGGACTCCTAGAATACTGGAGAAGAGAACGTGCCGGTAGAGCTTGCTAAGATTCGAGATGGTGATATTACTCTCTCGCGACAGACCGACTCGCTCAAGAATGGCGTCGAAGAACTCGGTCTTGATGTGAAAAGCTGCCACAAGTACTTGGACATGGTCGCCAATCTTGGGTTCAGACGTGAGGTAGTTGCCATTGGCATCCGGGACGAAGACGTTGTCCATCGACTCCAAGTCGTGGGTCAGGAACAACCGCGAGTACAACGACGTCTCCCCGAACGTGTCAATGTCCGCCCATAGGCACAGCAGTTTGGTGAGCTCGAGCCCTGTGTGCCTGCCCAACTTCTGGATGCTCATGAGCTGCTCGATGAAGTCAGGGGTGATCTCCAGATAATTGCTCCGATCACAGGGCGAGATTCCGGGTTCATCGCCGTCACTGTCGCCGCCGTCATCGCCGCCGGAAGTCTCACCACCACATGGCTTGTCCTTGAAGTTCGAAAAGGAGAAACCTTTGTCGGTTGTACCGCCAGGAGGGTTGCCGGTTGTGCCACCACTCCCGGATGTCCCTGGTTTTGCCGCGGCGAGGGCCGTGTCCAGCTCCGTGATGGGCCATTCAAACGCTTGCATCACCTTATACAAGCGGATGAACCGATTGATGCGGTCCCACTCCCAAAGCTCAAGAGGTGTGCCGTTGAGATGAAAGAGTCGTGTCTTATCAATGCTGCACATCTCTACTCCCGGCATCCATTGTACAGTGGTGTCGTCACGGTCACCAAAGCCCCAGATCTGTATCTTGCTGTCCTTCCCAACGCGGCCCGCCGCGCTGTGGGACTTGAACAAGTCAATCGATGCCGTCTTCCCTTCCTCCAACCTTGCCATGGGGAAGAAGAGGACCTGGCCTGTTGGGTAGACATCGTGAGCGGGCTTTGGGCCAGCAAGGTAGACCTTCCCGTCCGTCCACACGAAGCCCACAAGCTGGTCGTTTTCATTGCGGAGTTCTCCAGTCTGATCGAGATATCCAAGCACCTTGCCATTTTTGTCTACGCTTTCACCGCTTCCTGCAGTGGAAACGATGCTGGCGACTTTGGACACTGACGGGAGCCAGACAAGATAGCTGGACTCTGGGAGGTCAAGAGTTGGGCCTTGTTGGTATGCAGTTAGCGAAATGGATGCCTACTAAGCAAATATTGAGATAGTTTACCCTTGCCAGATTCCAGCACTGTCAACTTCCCAACACAATCAAACCATTTTGCCACCCAAGCTCGAATCTCCGCGCTGGTAAAAGTCGTCGTTACAATATCTGGCTTCACAAGGTCATTTCCAGTGGGCGGGATTTGTTTGTTGAGGATATGATTGGTCCAGGCTTGAGTGCAGAAGAGGAAAGAGCTCAACGCCGCCGTCCTCTCATCGCCGCTCTTGCCCACGACGATGTGCTGCAGGAACCGATAGCAAAACTGGATGCTGTCAAGGAGAATTCTGTCCTTGCCCGTCGGCATCATGGGATTGACATATCTTGTGCGGGCCAGCTCCGCCGTGTCAGCAAAGCTCAACCCAGACCGCGGAAGGAACTGCGCCTTCACGAACGACGGCCCGGTATCTGTCGCCTCGCTCAGCAGAGCTGCTTCTGAGTCGTATCCCCAGTATAGATACGCATTCGCGACGCCAATATCCTTCTGATACTGGTCCTGGTCCACGGCTAGCCCGTTGTCGGCGAACTCGGAGCACTCGATAGGCCACAGCGACTCGCGCGTCAGGATCACGTACAGGTCAGGGCTGATGCCGAGATACTCGGCCGCTGCCGCGCGATCCTGGACTTTGCGGCGGAGCTCCGCATATCGAGCCTTCTCTTCAGGAGACCCGAGCAGCTTGGAACTCACCACCCACTGCCGCTGCGCAAGTCGGAACGTGTCAATGAGGTCGAACCGTGACGTGCCCAGGTACGACAGGTACAGGCGACACGCGTCGAGCGGCTGGAAGTACGGAAGCGCGAGCGGGTACACGGCGTGCTTGAGGATGCAGTACGCTTTCTTGCGCGTGTTGCTCGGGCTCGCGAGCAGCTCGTCAGTCGTCTCCTGGCGGATGTTCCACGTCTCGATCTTGGCTTTGCCGGTCGACTCGTACGTGGTTAGGTGGATTACGAAGGCCTCCATGACCTCGTTGGCGAGATCGACCATGGGGAGCGCCGTGTTGGCGTTGGCGCATGTGAGCTGCAGATGCTGCAGGTCCGGTCTTCGCGCAAACAGCTGCTCCAGTGCGGTGCCTTGGATTCCCTCCTGGCCTGTGTTGTGCCACTCGGCCGAGTTGTCGAGGTTGTTGTTACGCAGATACTGCAGGAGGTCTATGTAGTAGGCTGTAGGGCTGGTGACGTCCAGGCAGTCCTCGCACTCGCACATGTCCATGTCGTCGAAGAGGGCGTCAAGGTTGGCGTTCAGGGGCGTGTTGGTGGCATCACGGGCGTTGTTGAACATTGCCTTGCGCTGGGCAAGAACAGAGGTCCCGTCGATGGATCTGAGCCCGGTCCCGCGCACCATCTCACGGATCTGGACCAGCGCACGGTCGATGCGCAGACGGCCGGCCGTTGCGTGATCGTGAACCTGGCTGAACAGAGCTTCAAACTCTTCCCGAGAAATACCCATCGAACCGGTCAGTTTTGGCGCCATCCTCGCAACAAAGCTCTTCTTGGAGAGGGACGACACGCGAAGCCCGCTCGTGAAGCCGTCCTCAAGAAGCGGTTGGATGAGTTCCGGAACTGGGGTCAGGGCCTGCACACGCTGTAGTAGCTTCAGACTCTCCACCGTGGCCGCCTTGGTAGTCATGTCGAGATGATCGAGCTCTGAAGATCCCGTCTCCAAAGCCGACATGACAGACGTCCTTCTGATGTCGAAATTGGGCCTACGGTCAAGAAAACCTGTGACTTCGGCACGTACAGTTGCTGATGCATGCACGGGCAGCTCATCGCTGGGGTTTTCCTTGGCATCGTCACTATGGACCATGTGCTGGAGTACAGCCGTCGGCTCGGCTGCGAACAGTCGCCGGCGGAATCTGAGTGCAAGAAACAGGCCTGAGAGGCTGTCCTGTTGGGAAGGGGGCGAGTAGGCGCCAAGTTCATCCGCTTCGGGGGCCGACTCAGGCGTCAGCAGCAAGCGCTTCTTCCTCGTGGATGCCAGAGCGCGTACACGCGAGAATCCATAGTGCAAGGCTACATCCCGGGTGGACTTGATACTGTCGTCCTGCAGAATCTCGGCCGCGAGATCTACGTTGTCGTCCAGTGCGTCGCCGAGAACGTTGGCGAGCTTTACACGATCAGAGTCATGAGTCGTTGGAGTGGTGGAGGCAAGATGGGTAACCCTAGTCTGCGGTTGTCTCTGGTGATTGGCTTCTCCGTTGTCTGGCCCTCCGACGGAGCCATAGACGGCGAGGTTGATGATCTTCTGGCGCTTCGACAAGCGTCCTGGGGTTGAGGAAGACATCCCAGACGGTGAGTTACAATTGCCGTCTTTTGCCTGACTAAAGAGTTGTTGAAGTGAGAATTGGACAAGCAGTGATTTCTTGACCGGTGGATACAGTTCTCAGACGAGAAGAGAGAGTTACGAGATCGAAAGCAACGACGGTATATTTGTCCTTTGCCCACACGATAGAGGCAGGCAATTGCCGCCACCGCGTATGTTCTTCAGTCTAGAACGCCGCGGATGTTGTGGTGTCATGCATCATGAATCTCGGTTGTGTTTTAACACCTTGGTGTCGGGGCTAAACGCTGCAGCAGGCGTCATTGACTAGTCACAGGGCTGTCACAGAGCTGGATGTGGCGCACCTCTCATGATCAATACGGGCTGCACAGCAGCTCGTCATAATTCCCTCTTGGTCAACCTCCATAGCGACTAGCAATATAGGGGCGGGCAACAGAGAGGCTTCAGCTCCGAAGCCCTTACTTCTGGTTCATGATGCTGCAGCAGGCGTCATTGACCAGTCACAGGGCTGTCATAGAGCTGGAGGTGGCGCACCTCTCATGATCAATACGAGCTGCACAGCAGCACGTCATAATTCCCTCTTGGTCAACCTGCATAGCGACTAGCAATATAGGGGCTGGCAACAAGGAGGCTTCAGCTCCGAAGCCCTTAATTCTGGTTCATGGCGAATATCTGATCACGGATGTAGGACTTCAGACGAAAGACCTGGAGGTTTTCTGGTGTAACACATGAGAAGCTTGGCAACCACGGTAAGCGAAGGCGTTTTCTTGTCATATCCGACTTACACAACATACGTGTCAAGGAGTACAGCCCTCACTAAAGGGACCCAGAGACCACCCTTTGAGGACCGTCAATCTCACTCTTGAGGTATTAGGCGAACATCCGCTGCACTCGATATCAAGCACATCAGTTCTGTATGTATTGAGATGGAGTCGTTTCTCAAGACGCCTAACACGCGGCTCGTGGGCAGTGGCATTGGGCCATTACCAAAAGCCCCGGAACTCCCTGGAGAGCGCAACGATGGCGCAAACAGCCTGAGCAGCAAGGGCTCCAATGGCCCTACTGCTCTCATGGACACACCAGAGAACAAGCCCAAGCAACTGCTGGAGTCCAAGATCCCACAACGACCTACCTTGTCGCTGCCAAAGGGTGGCGGAGCAATTCAGGGGATGGGAGAGAAAATCGAGGTAAATCCAAGCAACGGCACTGCTAGTCTTAGCATTCCCATCAAGGTCCCTGCGGGTCGTTCGGGCATGCAGCCGAATCTTGCCTTGACCTACGACTCAGGGGTTGGCAACAGCGAATTTGGCCTCGGCTGGCGACTGTCGGGGGTCGAATCCATCACGCGCAAGACAAGCAAGGGGATACCGCAATACAATGACCATGGGACTGACGACGAACCCGACGTATTTCTGCTAGCAGGTGCCGAGGACCTTGTACCGGTGTGGAAGCGTGGCGAGTCCGGCAGCGTGATCACCGATGCCTCCGGCCGGCCAGTACCAGATGAGGTCATGACCGACGGTTTCATGGTTCGGGTCTACGCTCCCCGTATCATCACCGATTTCAGCTGGATCGAGCGGTGGACCCGCCTTTCCGACCCGGATGACATGCACTGGCGAGTTGTGAGCCCTGAAAACATCACTACCATCTTTGGCGCCTCGGACACTTCGCGCATATATGACACCGCGGCCGTCGCAGCTAGCGGGAGACGGCGCATCTTCTCATGGCTGCAAGACGAGGTGTACGACTCACGCGGGAACGCCATGACGTTCTCTTACAAGCGCGACAATTCCGAGGGCATAGATCTCGCGCAAGCCCACGAGCTCAATCGTTCTGACCACTCCCGGAGCGCAAATGCCTATCTCAAGACAATCCGTTATGGGAACGTTGCCCCTAACCGTGATGCCAGCACATGGGAGGCTTTTCCGGCGTCTTCGCTGACCCGGGACCAGGCCACATGGAAGTTCTCGGTCGTGCTGGACTATGGGGACGAATCTGCATCCGAACAGGCCCTTTCCGGCACCGCAGGGAGTTGGGTGTGTCGCCAGGATCCCTTTTCTCGCCATAACGCGGGCTTTGAAGTGCGGACATACCGACTCTGTCGACGGGTTCTAGTCTTTCACCACTTCGACGAACTAGGGGTGCCAGATTGCCTGGTGTCGTCTGTTGACCTGGCATATGACGAAAACCCGGTTGCCACCTATCTTATTTCTGCGCAGCTGACGGGCTACCTTGGAACCGCATCGGTGCATAGGAAGAGCCTGCCGCCCGTTGAATTCGAGTACTCTCGATTCCCGAGCGCGGAGGACCTGGAGTCGCTCCCCGTCAACCACGTGGACGCCGGGACCACCGAGAACTTGCCCATCGGCCTGGATAACGGAGGCGCCTACCGCTGGATTGACCTCGACGGGGAGGGCATCTCCGGAGTCCTAGCCGTGAACAACGATGCCTGGTACTACAAACGAAACATGACCGGTGCCTCGGATTATGGCAGTGCAACACCACCAGGCACGTCATCAGAGACAGATGATGTTGAGGACGACAAGCTCGCGGCACAGCTGGGGCCGTTGGAGCCTGTCTACGCCGGTCCATTCCTCGCTTCATCGGCACGTAATACGCAGTTTGGCGATATCAACGGCAACGGGAAGCTTGACCTTGTCTCCCGCGTCGGTGGGCAATGGGGCTACTACGAGAGAGCCGAGGACGAGACACTGGGCTGGACCGAATTCCGTCCCTTTCTCAGTGGCCCGTCCATCACTGCGGACCAGACCGTGCAGCTCATCGACCTGACCGGTGACGGCCTTGCCGATATTCTTATCCACCAAGACCAGTTATTCATCTGGTTCCCTTTCTTGAGTCAAGACGCAAAGGGCTACGGACCGCCCCAGTCAGTGATACAGGACCGAGACCCCGCTGGAGGACCTGTCTGTGTGTTTGGAGATTCTGAGCAGCGCATCTTCCTGGCAGACATGTCCGGAGACGGGCTTGTGGATCTTTGCCGCGTCAGGAACGGTGACTGTTGCTACTGGCCTCAGCTGGGCTATGGCCGTTTTGGCCCGCAGGTTTCCTTCGATAATGCTCCTTGGGCTGATAGTTACAACCAGTTCAGCAGCAGTCGCGTGATCCTCACTGATCTAGATGGTTCTGGGACGGCTGACCTGGTCTATCTGGGCGAGAATGGCGTTGATCTTTATCGGAACCAGTCTGGCAACAGCTTTTCCCCGAAGTTGCACGTCCCAATTCCCTTTGCAGTCAATGGCTCGGCTCTAGATATCGTCGATCTCTTGGGCAATGGGACGCAGTGTCTGGTTTCCTCGTCCCGCCTGCCTGGCGACTCGTCTCAGCCGCTGGTGTATGTGGACATCTTCCGGAACAAGAAGCCTCATCTCCTGACGGGCGTCAAAAACAACGTGGGAGCGGAGACACGCCTTCACTACGCCCAGTCCACCAAGTTTTACATTCAAGACCGGCAAAATGGTCGTCGGTGGCTCACCCCCTTACCGTTTCCTGTGCATTGCGTCGAACGGCGGGAGACCATCGATCGGGTGAGTGGGAATTTCTTCTGCGACTCATACCGCTACTCGCATGGGTTCTACGACGGTGTCGAGAGAGAGTTCCGTGGCTTTGCTCGGGTTGAGAGGACCGATACAAGCGACTTCTCCAAGCTCAAAGGGGTGTCACCGACGAACTCGAATCCAGCATGGAAGGTCCCCCCCGCGCGTACCGTCACATGGTTCCACACTGGGGCATACTTTCATCGAGAATCCATGAGCGAGCTGCTCTCTCGCGAGTACGCAGACATGACTCCATACGCCAATCTGGACGATACCCCCCTGCCTCCAGACTGCACCCAGGGCGTGCAGATGATGGAGGCATGTCGCGCGCTGAAGGGAAGACAGCTGCGGTCCGAGGTCTATGCCGACGACGGCAGCGACAAGACGCATATCCCTTATTCAGTGAGCCAGACCAACTACGTCATTGACCCGAGACAGGTCACACAGGACGGGCACGGTCACGGCATCTACTTCGTCCGTTCAGCCGAGACTGTGGATTGTCATCTTGAGCGGGTGATGCAGGATCCGAGAGTGACGCATCAGATGACCCTTGAGGTCAACCGCTTCGGGAGTCCTACCAAGGAGCTACACATCTCTTACGGCAGGCAGCCGGGCCAGAGTCCGCTCAGCGCAGCAGATGCCGCTGTGCAGGAGAGAACGGTCATGCTGTACAAGGAGACTGACTTCACCAACAGCCTGGATGGGAGCGGGTATCGTGCTCCTGCAGCCTGCGAATCACGCCAGTATGAAATGCGCGGCCTCAAGCCCAAAAGCAATGGTGGGAATGGCCTGTTCAGCTACGCGGATATGGTGGCCGACGCGTTCTCTGCCATCTTGCTTGTCCCTTTGATTCAGTCGGGGGACGAGATCAGTCAAGCTCGTTTGCCCGCGCGGCAGCTCGTGAACCAGGAGCGGACTCTATTCCAGGCCGACAATCTCTCCAGCCTGCTTCCCGTTGGAGAGATGCAGTCCATGTGTCTACCCGGTGCCTATCACCAACTGGTATATACACCGGGTCTCGTCCAGAAACTCTTTGCACAAGACTCCGGCTCCGAAACCCTGATTTCAATGAACGAGATCTTCCAAGGCAAGGGATATGTGGATCTCAACGGCGACGGAAAGGTCTGGACAGCATCAGCCAGGGTGTCTTATGCCACCGACCCGTCTTCTTCCAATCCAGCCCAAGAGCTAGAGGAAGCCAGGAACAGTTTCTTCCAGGCCAAGACTTTGTTCGACGGATTTGGCAACCCCTTCTACGTCGAGTACGACCGATACAAGCTGTTCCCTCTCCGCACCAGGGATGCTCTGGACAACACAACCGTGGCAACCATGGACTATCGGACGCTGCAACCAGCCCGAGTGAGCGGCCCAAACGGCAACGTGTCGTCCGTCGCTTTTGATGCCCTCGGCATCATGTCCGCAATCGCCGTGTCCGGGAAACCATCCGACAACCTCGGAGACACCGTGGACGGTTACGACCCTGACATTACTCAGGGTGCCCTCGATTCCTTCATAGCAAATCCAACAGAGTCCGCAGCCGCGTCTCTGCTGGGAAATGCCACCACTCGCATCCTACACGACCCCTGGAAGCAGCGGAATGCCGGCACACCCGTGTTCACTTGCCTCATCTCCCGCGAGACCCACGTGAACCACGCCCCTCCTCAGCAAGGCAGGCGGTTATTCCAGGTTCACATCAGCTACACCGACGGCTTCGAGAGAGTCATCCAGACCAAGAGCCGGACCAAGCCGGGGCCTTTGTCGGACGACGGCGGACCCATAGCCAATGACCGGTGGGTCGGCAGCGGCTGGACAGTGTTTAACAACAAGGGTGATGCGGTGCAGCGGTTCGAGCCCTTCTTCGACACGACCGCGGCTTTTCAGCCGGAGATGGCAGTCGGCGTCTCGTCAAAGACGCTCTATGATCCTCTGGGCAGAGCGGTAGCCACGCTGCATCCGAACAGGACGTTCGAGAAGACTGTGTTCGGACCCTGGCACCAGCAGGTGTTTGATGTCAATGACAATGTCCTTGTCTCGGATCCAAGGGCCGACCCTGATGTTGGGCATCTGTTTGGGGGTCTTCCGGAGGAGGACATGGTGCCATCGTGGTATGATGGGAGGAAGAATGGTGCTCTAGGCAGTGCCGAGCGTGATGTGGCGATGAAGACGGCGCAGCATGCCAACACGCCGAAGTCGTCGCATCTCGATAGCCTGGGACGAGTCTTCCTTGTGGAGGACAGCACCAGTTCAGAAAGGGTCGGTTTCACTGCTGAGCTGGACGTCTTGGGCAATCTGCGTGCCGTCAGGGATGCACTTGGTCGCAAGGCTTTTGTAGCCCAGTATGATTTGTGTCAGCGGCGGACTCACTACGCTACAATTGACGCCGGATCAGTCTGGAACTTCGTCGATGGCACGGGCGCGGCTTGTATGTCGTGGAATGCGCGTGGGTTCCGGACTCGCCTGGAGTACGACAAGCTGCGGCGGAGGACGAAATCCTGGTGGCGAGATGCGGGCACAAATGTCGAGGTGCTCACCAGCCACATCTCGTACGGTGAGGAGTATGTGTCGAGCGGCCCCGGCGACACGGCCAAGGCACATAATCTGAGAGGCGAGATCTGGCGGGTACTTGATCAATCTGGCATGATGTTGAACAAGGCGTATGACTGGAGTCGCAACTTGACTGAGTCAAGCAGGAAACTGGCGAGGATCTACACCAGGACATTTGATGTGGCAACTGAGATGGATCTCGAGGAAGAGACGCACAATGAGACGGCAAGCTTCGACGTCTTGAGTCGTCCGGTGCGCACTTTCTCCCCGGACGGCACCATCACGTCGAGGGTGTACAACGAATCAGGCCTCCTAGACATCATGTCCGTCAACGCGAAGGGCGAGCAAGACCCTCAAAGCGATCCGTCAACCTGGGAGCAGGAAGTCACAGCAGTCGAGTACAACCCAAAGGGCCAGATCACGCGTCTCGCGTACGGCAACGGCACCGTAACGACACGGACCTATGACCGGCGCACGTTCGAGCTGAAGCGCCTGCGGACAACAGCACAAGACGAACGAGTCGTGCAAGACCTGAACTACATTTATGATCCAGTTGGAAACATCAGCAGCATATCCGACAGCGCGCAGCAGACCATCTTCTTCCGCAACACTGTCGTGAGCGCCAACAACGACTACACCTACGACGGCCTGTACCGTCTCGTCTCGGCGTCAGGCCGCGAGCACCTCGGCCAGCACGCCGGTCCGCCCAGCGCAGTTGACCCAGACCCCGTGTCGATGGCCGACCAGGCGAACAATGGCCAGGCCATGGGTCTTTACACCGAGACGTACAAGTACGATCTCGTTGGGAATTTGCTTTCGGTGCGCCACGCCAGCAGTGACTCGCGCATGCCGGGATGGACGCGGACATACGCGTACAACGAGGCCAGCGCCGCCAGCGCTGCCAGCGCGCTCGGCGAGCCTGGATCAAGGACGAACCGCTTGAGCCAGACGGCGGTCGGGTCCGTGACGGAGACGTATGGATACGAAGGTAGTGCCGGGCTGACGGGCAACATGACGCGCATGTCGAGCCTGCCAGTCATGGTCTGGGACTTTGAAGACAGGCTTCAGGCCACCTCCAGACAAGTTGTTAGCCAAGGACAAGTTCCGGAGATGACATACTACGTCTACACCTGGCAGGGCGACCGGGTGCGTAAGATTGTCGAGAGTCAAGCCGGGCCTAACTCGAGAGCTACGCCGCAGAGGCTGCACGAGAGAATTTACGTGGGCGATCTGGAGATCTTTCGGAAGTACAATGGCAGTGGTAATGGTGGCGAGGGCGAAAAAAACAACAGCCCAGCCGTCATACTCGAACGAACAACATTCCACGCCCGCGCGGCCGACTACGGTCTGATAGCAAACATCTGCTCGCGAACACAAGGCACCGACACCGGCGTCCCGCGCCAGACACGCGTCCAGCTGCGCAACCACCTTGGCAGCGCGACGGCCGAGCTCGACGGTGGCACGGGCACCGTCTTGTCGTACGAGGAGTACTACCCCTTTGGCAGCTCCAGCTACGCCGCAACATCCACCTCGGCATCATCGGGGGTAGGAGGTCCGGGAGTGGCGAAGCGCTTCCGTTTCTCGGGCAAGGAGCTCGATGCTGAGTCGGGGCTGTACTTCTTCGGCGCGCGGTACCTGGCGCCGTGGCTGGGGCGGTGGACGGCCGCGGACCCAGTTGTAGGTGCTGGTAGCGCGTATGTGTATGCTGCTGATAATCCCGTCTGTCTGATCGATCCGGACGGGCGGGATACGACGGGGCCGAATCCGAACGCGCCTACCGCGACGCCGCCTGCACCGCCTGCACCGCCTGCACCGCATTTACTGCTGTCACAGCAGGGAGGTGGGTCGTGTGGGCCGGACCGAGATATCACGGAGGAGAAATTCCTCAAGATGGTGGAAGACATTTTGATTGATGAGTCATCGCGCAATCAGGAGCTGAAGGATTTGCATTTCTGGACGGACAAGGACAAGGTCGCAATGACGAACTTGCTCACCGTGGTCCGCACCGGCACCACCGCCGCGAGCGTGAAGCACAAGGGCAAGGAGATGTTGCCTGATGAGTTCCGCGGGCAGGCGATCGAGGTCGGCCTGGTCGCCGCCTATGGCGAATCCAAGTTCAAATCAGACCCGGTCAACATGCGGGGGAAATACGAAAAGGGCACGTTCGTGGGGCCCGGCGGCACGGCGGTTGTGAAGGAAGACCAGACTCCAAGCGGGCGCTCGGAACTGGTGTGGCCGAACTATCCCAAGGAAAAACCGAACGCCAGAGGGACGGTGCAGTACATGCCCGTCAAGGCCGGGCTGTTCCAGCAGTCGACGGTGGGAGGGAAGATTAAAGGGCCCGTTGAGCAGGCCAAGACGTTCTTTAGCAGTTCATTTCTGCAGCATGAGAGCAAGGAGAGGTGGCGAGAGATGGACACGGTCAGTGCCGCCATTGTAATTCAGAACCCTGGCAAGCCGGACGATCCGAAAGTGCGGAAGACTTATGAGCCTATGGCGGTCGCTGCTCACAGGATTGCGGACCTTCTGCAGTATTATAATGTTCAGTGGAAGACGACGAAGTAGGTGATGCAGGTAGCTCTTAGTAGGGCAGTGAATCGATGTGGATGAGGAATTGATTTGGCGACATGCGGAAGGGGCAACGGGAAGGGCGATGGCTTTCTTTGGGTCTAAATTATGTTTCTTTTCCGGGATAAGTGCCTTATGTTGAGTTTGTTAAAGCGAAGCTTCAACTTTGAATGTAAGACACTGTAACGTACCTGCCAGGTACACAGTACAACGAATAAGGTACGCTTCGTTTCATTTACCAGCCTTTTCCACAGAGACGAGGGTACTAGTTCAAGTAGCGATCAAGTCCTACCTACCTAGCTGTTTAGAGCTTCATGTCGTGTTGGGGGTCGGGATTGCAACGGGCGGCTACGCGTGGTTTCCTTAGCCTTGTGTCGCAGGCCAGGCATGATAACGAGCCTCAGGAGACAACTGTACTTAGTAATCCAGCTGCGTGCTTCACATAAAACCTGTGGGCTAGAGTACCCCGCACCTTAGACAACAATCATCAACACACACTGCTGCTCATCATATTCACTTTAACCCTTTAAGCATGCTCAGTGCGACACCTTGGTTTGGCTGGCTGGCGGGCGAGCTGGCGGGCTGGCTGGTTGAGTGGTTGTTAGTTCAGGCAAAGTAAAAGGCAAATAGGACATGCGAATCCGGCTCCCACCAGGTTTGAGTCCGTGGGGACTTGGTGGAATTCACGCAAGCAGTTAATGGGGACATTTTATTCTATCAAAATTTAAATATACCGATATATACAGCAATATCTATATAAAAAAATAGAAAAGAGTGTAATTAATTAATTTATACTAAGAAGACTATTTTTTCCTTACTCTTAACTAAGAAACTTATAGTAGAAGGTATATATCCTATTATAAGATAAAAGTACAGTCTAAGCTTAGAGAGGCTGCTTATAAAATATTATTATAGCCCTATTAATTATTATTATACCCTAGTTGATTATCTGGGGCTTAAATTAATAAGAGTAAGGCTTAGAGTAAATAGTATTCCTACTAGTTTTATAGTAATATCTTAAAATAGCTAGCTAGACTAATATATATGATAAGCGAGCGCACAATATAAGCGAGCGCGCACTTTTATCCCCAACTACTAAATTTCATCTTTCAACTTAATTTTCTCAACTACAAATTATATTATCCTTAATTAATGAGGTAAATATTAATCTTGCCCTTTAAGCTCTTAAGAAAGACCCTCAATTAACTTCTTTTTGCACTTTAAAGATCTATAAAGTCTCCCGCTGCACCCTAAAATGCCGATGCAATGGTATTTCTTCCCGACGCGATATTATACCTAATTTAAGAAAACTATTTAATCTAGAAGAATAGATTATTATTCAATTTATTCTCAACCTAGATTCGCGAGGGTTTCCCCTGCAATTGCATGGTATTAAAGAAATAGCCAACCAACTGCTCGCTGACTGCAATACATTACCTGTCGGCAAGTACTGGGCTTCTAACTTCGTTAGGTAACAACTAAAGCTTAAGATGCATTTTTTTCGTAAATACAACTATTAGAGGGCTAAATATAAAGATCCGACGATTATTTGCAATTAGTTTAGGCTTGTGGAGAATATAATTGCGAAATATAATATTAACCTAGCTGATATCTATAACTTTAATGAGACTAGCTTTATAATAGGTATTATTATAAGCGGAATAGTTATTATAGGTATAGATAGACGTAGAAATCCAAAATTAATATAGTCTAGAAACTGGAAATGGGTTATAGTTATTTAGGCAATTAATATAAAAGGCTAGGCAATCCAGCTATTTATTGTAGTTGCAGGCTAATATCACCTTGCTAGCTAGTACTAAAAAAGCAACTTCCTAGGTAATTAGGCTATTATAACAACTTAAAATAACTAGACTAATAATAAGATAGGTTTTAAGTAGCTTAAGCACTTTAACTAGTATATAAAGAATTAATTAACTAGTTTCTATTATCTTCTAATTCTTAATAAGTATGAAAGTTACTACTCTATTAATTTTGAGAAATATTATAAAGAAAATAATATTATTATACTTTATATACTATCTTATTTATCTTACCTACTTCAGCCTCTTAATATCGGATATTTTAAGCTACTTAAAATAGCCTATAATTGAGTAATTAAGTAATTAATTAGATATTCTATTATTTATATTTTAAAGATCGAGTTCTTCCCAGCCTTTTATACTGCCTATAAAGTTACTATAATAAGAAGTAATATTAAGGGAGACTTTAAAGGGGCCGGACTTATTTCCTTAAATTTAAAAAGTATTATATTAAAGCTTGATATACAGCTATAGATTTTAATACTAGCTATAGAGGAAGTTAACCTTCCTAACCTTTAAGTCTTAAAGACCTTAAAGATTATATTTAAAATTAATTTGCAGTTTAAATATCTTAAAAGATAAGTAAAAAAATATTAGAGTAGCTTTTTTGTATTAATTCTTAAGATACTTAAGTTATTTTCTAAGGGAATAAAGATAATAATATATTAAATAGTATTATTAAAGTTTAAGAATTAGATTTTTTAACAGGTAAATAAGACTCTTAATAAGTAGTATAAAGTAAAAAGAACCTATTTATATTAAGAAGAAAAGATAACTATAAATAAGGGAAGGGGTAAGATAGATTAGAGAGATATTAATATATAGGTAGTAGCTAAATTATTAAGAAGTAGTAGTTAAGGGAGGTTAGTAATACTAAGAGAAAGATACTATAAAATTTATAGAAAGATTAATTATAATATAAAAACCTATTAGGCTATTATTAAGATTTTTAGAGAAGAGTATAATAATTAATTTTAATTAATTAGATATTTTGTTGTGTTTTTATTATTAAATTTATATTAAAAATTAGAGAAAAGTATGTATTTACTTATATTATATACTTGCTTATTATATATATTAAATATAAATAAGAATAATATAGTTTTATTATAATTATAAATATTATATTTTTTTTAACTTATAATTATAAAATATATAATAAAAGGTATTTATTTTTATTTATATTAATATAAAAGTATAGTTTATACTTAGAAAGGCTACTTATAAAATATTATTATAACTTTATTAAGCTATTATTATACTCTAGTTTTTTACTTAGATTTTAACTAATAAAAATAAGATTTAAACTAAATAGTATTTTAGTTAACTTTATATTAATATTCTAAAATAGATAAGTTTTAAGTTATATTATACTTAACTAAATATAAAAGTTAATAAATATAGAAATAAAGTAATTTTATTATAGTTATATATACTAGTTATAGATATTATTATATTATATACAATTTTAATTTATTACTCTATATAATATAATTTAGATATAAAATATTTATTTATAAGAAGCTATTTTACTAGTTAGGAAATTATTTTATTCTATATTACTATAAGTTTACTTTTATACTATATTTACTTAGTTATGTTTATTTTTTACTCTTACTTTAAATTGCTGTATTTTATTATTTAGTAGCTTTAACTAAAAGTAAGTATTAAGTTAATTTTATATTTACTTTTTCTCTATTAATATATAAATTACTAGCAGGTACCTTCTAAATCCAGTAATTATTTTGCAATTTTATTAGCCTATTTAATTATATATTAAAACTTAAAATTAAGCTTGTTTCTTTTTTAAGTCTTAAAAAATATAGGTTAGTAAGATATATTAAAATAACAGATAAATAAATAACTAAAATACTATAAGAAATAGAGGGATTTAATAAACCTATAAATTTATAAGTATGCAATTTATTCTACTCTATCTTATTAAGATTAAATATACTAAGAAATTATAGTATCTCTATTAATTTCAGCTAAATCTAAGAAATAATAAAAGTAAAATTATAATAGAAAATAGTATTAATAGTTATATTAGTAGAATTAGGCTTAATAACTCTAAGAAGCTAATAGATATAAAATTATCCAGCTAGTAAGCTAGGTT